ATACTATTGCGTACATCGATATAATGCAAAAACAAAATGTGATATATGTCACTCTCCATCATGATTGTCACGTCGGTCGGCATGCCACCGGTTGAACAATTCAACCGGTACCGGTCATGAAATCGACATGACACCATCTCCATCGGTATGACCGGTATGATCGTTTTACGAATTTCTTAGTATAATACGTAGTTTTAGTGAATTTAAGTATGAGTACATGTAATTTTATTTGAAATATCATATTTTATTCAAATATCAATATGAATTGTACGTAAATTGTCTTCAATAAATATGGTTTATATAGGATTAAATTCATTTGATATGAATGATTAAACCGGTTGTACCACTGGTAAATCCATTCCACTTGCAAACCGGTTTGATAACCTTTCTCTCCATATATTATTTATAGATATAATGCAAAAACAAAAGCAAAATAATTATTGGATAAAAGATAATTAAATATTAAATGAAGAGAGAGGGACAACTCCATAAATAGATCAATAACTATTTTTTTGGTAAAAACATTGTCCACCTTGGCCATTTGAAATCTCTCCAAGTGCTTATCTGACAAAAATATAATTTTGAATTGCCATAATATTATGTATAAATAGATAGATACCCAACTCCCCCGCAATCTATCATTTGTATCCAGTATCATGTAATTCAATCATCTGGCTCTCTCTCCAGCTAAGGCCTTCCGTCACAGCTCATGAAAAAGGTTTGATTGAGAATGAACTCAGTATCCCTGTCCCACCTAATTTCCTCTTCCCAAACGAGTGTTACACACTTGCATATACATATTTATAGCTATGAGATTATTTACTAATTGGGATTTTATAGCAAATTGCGATGGGATCCCACCATTTGGTATCGTATGTTATATGATTAGTTCGGTGAAGAAATTTCTCGACATATATCTAGTCTATTTAAATGACAACTCATTCTTAATAGTTACCTGCAACGCATTTCATAACCTAAGCACATAAAAAGTGCGAGGGTGTCACAAATTACAATTGGTCGTAGTTTGGTTGTGTTGGTTTTAGCTAGTCACAATAGCAATCAAAACACGGCCACGGTCATGACTTCTCAGCTCTAGCCATGACTTCTCAACCTCAGTCATGACTTCCTCAGTGTGCCCATGACTCGAACACGGGGAGACAAAGGGTTGATCGTGTTTGTGGGCGCGAGCTTTAAATTTATAAAGTCGAACCACACTCTCTATTCAATCCTAACTAAGACAAGCATAACCTAGCTAGGGTTGTAGTAAATTGGCTCGGTCATATTCCTAGGGATCCCAAAGTTTATTATTACTTTGCTCCGAACTACTATCTAATCGGGTAGGAAATTTGGTGAGGGGTTTGAACTAATTTAACCTACTCCTAAGGAAAAATAAAAACCAACCAGGTGTTTGGGAGATCGCTAGAGATGAGACGGTTTCCTAGGGTCAAATCCTCCTAGCTACGGTTGTGTAGTAGAGTTAATCGAATGTGGCGAGTGAGCTCTTTTCTGTGAACTTTCGTGGTGATCCACAGGCCTCTGAGTACGCCTCCCCTAAACCCATATATAGTCACCTCGATCTAGGCTATCGTGGCATTAAACTTATGGCTCATTTCAATGGACACTATCCACCGTCCACACCGAGGTTTTATCACGGGCTCTATCTAGGAAGGCTACCTATAGGCATGGTTTCGGTCGCCTCAACCACTATAGGCCCCCATTCATACATCTAACTCGATTTGCTTGATGGCGCATACCCGTCTAACTCTAAAACTCCAAACCCAGTGTAGAAGCGTTAAGTACGCTAGTAGAGAAGATTAGGACGACTTACCCAAACACAATCAAAGCTAGAATAACAATAAAATCAAATAGATAAACAAATTCATTCATAAATCCATTCATACACAACCTATAAACTAGGTTTCATCTTCCCCAAACAACCATTAGATATTCAAGTCACTAGAGAGGATGAAAAAGCAAACTAGAAAAGGGAAGTGGTGGAATTAAGCTTCTTCTCATTGCTTGCACCTTCTCCTTGCTTGTTAGGTTGATTGGATCTTCAATGAAACTCTCCCAATGTGTTTCTCTCTCTAAAAAAAATCCAAAACCCTAACTTTCTCACTCTAAGGTGGCTCTCCTCTTTCTCTCCAACAGCTCCACCATTTGTATGCGCTGGAAATCTCGGACTAGTTCACGACCTGAAGACGGAAGATTGTGGCCGTGCACTTGTGTGTCGCGGGCGTGATCATTTTCCTCAGTCTGGATCAAGGTTGCCCACGAAGAGAGTGGGGAAACTCTCTGCTATCCCAGCGAAGACTCCTTCCAGAGTTCGCGGTCAGGATGCTCTACTTCGCGGTCGGGATCTCTTGACCTTGGCCCGCGATCTTCTGGAAGACTTTGCGGTCGGGAACTTGAGCCCTTCAGCTGCGATCTTTTTCTTGTCTGGTTCTTCTCCTTGTTTCTACACATTCTTGCCTATTTCCTCCCCATCTTTGCTCGTAATATCAAATGCCTCCCAAAACAGTATCATAAACGAAAATGAACGAAATGAGCATGCAAATGACATTTTTAAAACAATTGAAGATCATTTTAACACAATTTCACCAAATAAATGCAAGGTAAATAATACCATTTCGGTGTTATCAAGGGTACAAGTACAACTCACAGTCACGCCCATGACTCGCAACCCACAGTCATGACTTGAATAAATGATGTTTTTTTTTTTGCAATTCACTAGCACAACGACTTAGTCACGGTTGTGACTTGGGCCGTGACTTGAAAAACTTCAAGGAAACAGAAAGATAGGGCATCCGATTTTTACTTCAAGAAAAGACCTAAGAGAGCCCTAGAGAGAGAAAGTGACGAAGAACAAGACCTTGGAGCTAATTGGAGCTTAGATTGGATGATTGAATCTTGTAGTTCAACCATTAGAGAGCATACCAACATCTTGGAGTTGATTATACACATCTTCATAAGTATCACCACTTTGGTTGTATTTTCTTCTTTCTCTATGGAGTACACCTCTTTCTACCGCTTGGGTATGAAGAACCCTAGTTTTGTATGTTAGGATCATATTGTATGAACCCATATTCATGAGTGTTGATTGTTATATTTTAATTTGAGGAATTATTTAGAAACCTATGATTCATGATCAACCTTGTATGTTTCCTAATTTAACCTAGAACGATAGTCTTGAATAGGTCAATAGAGCAACCTGAATAAGAAGTAGTAAATCGATTGTACAAGAGTCAATCAATTCATTGCTCTGTACTGGAATCAAAACCTAGTAGAGGGATTCTATTTGCATATTGCCTTGGGTATATTCCAGTGAAGGATAGTATCACGTCGAGTATTCTATTCAAGAGATCAAGAGCACTTTAGTCGAAACTTCAAATTACCTAAGGACTTTCCGTAGTATAAATATCAATTGAACTAGATTGGGGTGAATTACAATGTGGCCTAACTACAAACTAAGGGGATGTTTACCTGAGTAGTGTTTCTCAAACTTGGAAATCAACACAATTACCTGCTTTTATTACTCTTTGCATGCAACAAATTTCCCTACAATTTGATCGCTAGTTAATAGTAAGTTCACTGAGTACTTAGTATATCTAGGACTCAGGTTGAAAAATAGAACTCAATCCACTTTATTGCAGTCCCTTTCAATGGCTATACTTGGCCTATGTTAGGAGTGTTAAGTTTTAGTGACTCAAGTTTTTGGCGCAGTTGCTGGGGACGGCTAGGTTATTGAAGAAAAGTGAATTTATGTTGCTTTAGCTTTACTTTTCTGCATTTTCTTTCTTCCCCTTTTGTCTTCATGGGTTTTGTTTCCAGCTTGTGTGCAGGTAGTGCGTGACCCGTAGCCAGCCAGGTGATCTATTGACCACAAACTTGAATGGACTCTTCGTCAGTTTAAGAAAGCACTGAAGGAAAGATTGGTTATGGAGGACCTGGATGTGGTTGTTCTCATACGAGATAGAGAGTGACAAAGAGATCTCCTCTAAAGCACTAATGGGGGATCCCAAAAATCAAGTAAGGGATATGAATGTGTGTCAATCGCAGCCAGAGGCCCGGACCATGGGGTATTTCCTTTCCCTTGGGGCTGAGGACCTTAGATTAAGTATTCATCATCCTCAGTCAGTGGAAAATTTGAAGGTGAAGACTTTTGTGATGCAGATATTGAAGACCTGAGTGAGAAAATTCATAGCCCACAATCATCCCCCCTTCCAAGACCGCGAATCTGCAAAAGCAGATCACCCATTTACACAGGAAGATGACGAGACTCTTCGGGATGCCTGGGAGAGGTACTTTGGTCTGTTTACGAAGTGCCCCCACCATGGTTTTAACGACTCCTTCAAAGTGGGTAACTTCTACTCGGCCATCCTTCCCGAAGATCGCCAACAAATTTAAGCTTTGAATGCTTTCTACCATCAACTTGATATTTTTGCCTTATTCAAATTCAAATTCATACTCTTTTATGGATTTTTGAATTTTTTCACCCTTTTAAAATATTTTTCTAGTTTTTTCTTGTATGGAGGGTTCTTTACTTACTAGAACCTTATACCCTTATTGATTGAGGAAGAGTTTAGAAGCTTGTGTACCTCAACTCATGTGGTGGGTCAATGAAGTTAATGGATTTTGGAAGCTCTATATGTGCTCTTAAAAACACATCCTCAAATTTTCAATTAATTCGAAGGATGGAAATTTCAATTGTACTAGAGAGGAACTAGCATCCCTTCCAGGACTTCCCGACTAAAGTTCAACTCGTATCTCTTCCAAAAATCGATTTTGTGCAATGAAAATATGCCTCACATGTTGAGCTTACCCCACACTTTATTTCTCAAAACAACATGGCATTTCCGAATGAAACAATGTCTTTATAGATAGATTTTTTTTTTCATTTTTTTACAGATACAGTTCAACCTTTGAAAACTTCTGAAAGCAAGAGACTCTTCTGCATGGTCAGAAATTTTTAATAGATCAAATAACATGACATCCAAACACATCAAATGGTCATTATATTCCATTCATAGCCACTACAGTATCACATCCTTTATAGCCACTACACTATCTTTCCGAGATCAAGTGATGATTACTAGACTCATCGATTCCAAGTAAGATGAGAAGTGATCATCCTTGTAGGGGATGACTAAAGTCATTAGATGGAAAAAAAAACTTTAATACTTTCAAAAATCATTTAAGCACATGTTATAATCATTTTAGCATTGAAATTTTTTCAAAATTTGAACGACTAATCATGTAGCAAGTAGTAAGAACATCAAGACAAATGATATAAACCATTCCCACCCCACACTTTAAAATGGACATTGTCCTCAATGGACTAGAAAATTAGTGTGATGTGGTAAGGTTGGAACGAGTTACCTTGATTGTCATTCAAAATCCGAATTCATAGTTCCTAATAACTAATTCTCCATGATTGTTTGAAAAGACTCGAAATATCAAACAAAAGAAAAAGAAAAGATAGCTCCCTCAAATTCCTGATCTCCTAACTATTGGGTCCTCCTAGTGATGTCCCACTACCTGGAAGAGGGTCCTGAATGACCTCCCAAAGTCCTCCATCCATAATAACTTCACTGCTTCTCCGCCTCCTGTCTCTGGTTCCAGGCTCGAGTTTCCTTAAGCTCCATTTGTATCGCCTACTCTAAGGGATCCCAGCGTTGACGTTTACAACTCAAATCGAAAGATGTTATGCTAAAATTTTGAAAATTTTGGCATATGACCTTTGCTAAAACTTATCAATCTATCCAAGCACACATTCAATTAAGATCACCATAAAAACTATGCAATCTCATTTCTAAGCATACTAGCTTTCATTAATTATTCACAAACATTAATTGCGCCTAATAGGGATAAAAAATTAGCAACAGAAATCCCTACATAACTCAAGCAATTTTAAACGTTAAATCTTCAATCAAAGTCCTAAATTCATGAACAATATGCTAAATTCATCTAAATAACATGGATACTTACTTAGATTGATGAAAAGTGCACAAAATGGAAGGAGAATTGAAGAACGAAGAGAGAGAAAGGGGGGTAGAGGTGCGGTGGATCGAGCCGCCGCGTGTACTCCGGTGAGGGTTTTGGAGTCATAATTTCAAATTTTGCTACAAATTCAACCCCTATCCAAGGGATACCATGATTACCTCCGTTGAGTAACTCAAAATTCCAAGCTAAAAAAAACTATAAAAATTTAACTACGAAACGAGAAATCCAGGTTGTCTCCTCTATAGCACTATTGTTTAACGTCATTAAGCTTTCCTACATATAAAGTGATTGGCTTTTTTTGATTGGATTCTCCACTATGCACATGAGCTTTCCTACATATAAAGTGATTTCTCCGATGACAACATCAACTCTATCTCTAGCAGTGGCAAGAAATGGTCTTCCAAATAGGATTGCATACTCTTTGCTTGTCTTCATGTCTAATATGAGGTATTCGGGGAAGAATATGAATGCGCCAACTTGGGTGCTTAGGCATCGAACAATTCCAAGAGCTCAACAATGGGTGTTGTTGGCTAGCGCGATCTCGACTTTGATGTATTCTATGTCAGCTGGTCCCATCTCTTCATATAGATTCATTGCCCTGGATCCTCCTTATGTCATTGACTAGGATGAATTCGTTGTAACCCCAAGGAGTTTTCTTGATCTTTGTCTCCTTTTCTTCAAATCGGTCATCTTCTTCTGTAAAAATCTCGAGCTTCCGTTTTAGATTTTCTATGAAAACCATTTTCTCCAATATTGTCACTGCCACTTTTTCTCCTCCAAAAGCTTCTATCATATTTCTAAAGAGGGATGGATACTCGGCTGCTTTCTTCCCTTCTTCATTTTTCATGCTCGGGAAACTTTTGGTTGTTCCCATCCTTGTTGAGATGACTTTGACCTCCTCCTTCTTTTGATTTTTCTCTGTGTTTCTTCGTAGATTTCCTTGAGGCTTCAAAGGTTGAGCATCAATGAAGAGTGCAAGTTCTCTTTCGATGTTTTTGTAGCTTGTTAGCAATTCTATCACTTTTGCCTCCGCCTTCTCAAATCTGATTGGTTGCTGATTTGAGATACCTTTCCTTGCACTTTGTATTGAGTTTGATTGCTAAATCTTGGTGAACTTGGTTTCTTATGCAATTTTGCTTTATAAGGTGCATTGGTACACGTGATGTTGGGGGATGCCTCGAGCATCGTTCCTCCTAGAGGCAGGCTATCGACCATGATATGCGAGGTTGAGTGAAACTTTGGTATGAAGGATGACTTCCTTGTTGAGATCTTGCTTGATAATATTAGTTAATATAATTGACATAAGCATGTCATTGCCCTTCATGGCTATATCACTCAAAACCTTCATGGCTTTCTTCTCCACATGATTCTCAAACGAATAGGGATACCGTTGGTCCATGCCTTGACTCTATTCGGGCTTTCTTTAATTATTGGTTCAGCTCCTTCACATGTGTACAAAGGGTGGTGACTTCATCCTCCTTTCCTTGGGCAGCTTTCAATGGTTTGCTCGTTGATGGATGCTAGGATCAGTTCTTTGACTTCCTTGCTAGTGTGTCAAAATGTTATTAGCATTGTATCCCATAATTGTTGTGAAATCATCGTTGGCCAACTAGTTCACCATCATCATGGTATCTTGATCTAAGTCTTTGCCAAAGTACTTTGCAATCTGCTCCGATGTGAATACATGATGGGGGCATGCCTTGATGTACTCCTGGAATATCCTCCAAGCATCATAGAGTGACTCTCCTTCCTTCTGTTGAAATTGAGTAATCTCATCTTTAAGCTCCTCCATCTTCCATGGTAGAAAGTACTCCTCGATGAATGCTTGAGCAAGGTTCTCCGATGTAGTGAAGGTGCTTGGTGGATGATAATCGAGCTACTACTTTGCCCTTCCTCCAAGAGAGAATGGGAAGAGTCATAGTCGAATCTCATCTTTCATAGCTTCATCTCTCGGTATACAATCAACGATCTCCAAGAATATCTTCAAGTGTTGCACAAGATTATCGTCACTCAACCCTGCAAATTCTACAGCTTATTGCGCCATTTGGATTAGTTGAGTGCAGATCTCGATGTTGGTTGGTGGTGCAGTAATGCTTGAGGTGATTTTTGATGCATTTGGGCTTGAATTCTCATAAAGAGTATGTGGGATGGCATTTGTCTTATTTTTCTAGCCATTGATGGTGTTGAAGATGTTAAAGAGGCTTTTTCTTCTTCCGAATCAAAATTGTGAACTTTATCATTGTTCTCCTCCTCCCCAAGCTTGGCTCGAGATTGGTGTGGCTTAAAGGATCCTCTTCTCCTGAGCTAGATGCTCTTTCCATAGTTCTCAAGATGGGTGAACTCGATGCTCCTCCTTCTGGATGATTTCACGATCTTTAGGTTTTTGTTTTTACTTCTAGTGCTTACTGAACTCATATGACAACCTGCAAAACAAAATAATCTTAAAACTAAACATAATATGGTTAAATGTTTTTATATATTATAGAATTTCCTGGCAAAGGCGCCCAAAACTGCATATATCGTATTATAATCCTTGGGTTGCCTTGAATCGTATTCCATAAGGGCTTCTAATGCACAACTACTCACACCATACCATCTACAATATGAAAAATTGACAAACATCTTTAGGGGTCCACCCAATCATAAGTAAAGGAAAGGGAAGCGAGGAAAAGTAAAGTTGTTTAGGGTTTTTCAATTTATAGATGCATAAAAGTAAAGATACGTTATTGTATAACAAGGTAAATCTCGATCAACACCAGCCATACTAAGTCTCAATCATATCATGCATCAATGACTCATATCTATCATCACTCTACCCCTTTCACTAAAGCCACTCTCTACCAGTGCATGTGCCTCTTGCAACAGAGATCTAACTAGCTAATGCGGGCTTTCACTTCATGTCATTACCTAATTAATGAAGAACAAGGAAGTTAAGATATCACATGATTAAGTGTGGGCATCTATAATTCATAATGGATATTCTATAGCATCAATGATCTAACAATCAAGAATTTATACTACTCGAGGTATAGATGGTTGATTGTTCCTTCTATACTCGAGTAACATAAATGGGTTCACTAGAGGGTAATTTCTTAACAAGCTAGATGATACTAAGCCCAATGCATACAGTAGCACACTATAGAGTCTTAAGCATCGATGACAAGAAGGCATTCATACTAGATAAACAACAATGATCATCACATATGCATCAAAATCAAGCATCCATACACACATAACAAGCATCAAAATTAATATGCATAAACTCAAGCATCATATGAAATCATATCATCAATATGCAGAAAGATAAACGAGTTCACATCTTCATACAATCAATTTAAACTAGCTATACATAGAAGAGAATGAGAGTACTACCATCGATGATGAAAGCATCTACACGACGGCACCCTCTCCTATGAATGCTAAATTAATACTCAAGTGGAGTGTTTACAGAATTTTAGTGAATTTGTGCAGCCTACTGAACTAATGAGTCGAGCCCTCTATTTACACGGGTAAAACACAACCAAAATCCTCCTAAACTGACCAGGACAAGGTTTCTTTGACTTAGGGAAAAAGTCGTGGCCCAAAGATCTAATTTTGGGCTTGGGCCTCTTGGTGGCGGCTAAGTAGCGGTTGGGACCGCCCCTTTTCTTCTTGGGCTGGTCTTCTTGGCCCATGGACAACCTCTCATGAATATTTGGGCACGGTTTATGCAGGTTTCCATGAGCGACAATTGGACCCTATGTTGGGTTGTCATTGGTTCTTGCTTCTGCTTGAGCTTCTCTTGGGCTTTACTTGTGGTTAATAGTAGGATTCTTTGTCATCGGACCTCGTCTTTATCATGAAAAATACATATACTTCTCTTTATAGCTCCTTTGGTCCTCTAGAGTTTCCAATGCTTGATCCTAATTCTCCTAGGTCATATTGTACATTGAAAATCAATAAAAACATACCAAGAAGGCATGAAAGAGTACAAAAACACATCCTAGGTCTATCAAAGGCTCATTGATCAAATAGTTATAATTGAGATATGAAATACAAGAGAAAGGAGTAGAGTAGGGCATCCAAGGATTTACTATTCCTAGGTCCACTAAAAGTCTTTACTATTCTAGTTCGAGCATAGATGGTGTGGTGTGAGTAGTTATACATTAGAAAATCTTGTGGAATACGAACCTAAGGCATCCAAGGATTTTTATCACTTGCACAGTGGCGTAGCCAGATTTGAACTTGACTGGGGTCCTAAGTGGTGGGTTATATAGAAACTAAGGTGAAGATACATGAGAAGCTCTTAATATGTTGAGTGAGATGATTTATTATGGGGTCCTAAGTCCAATTTACAGCAATTATCTAAGCATTTTTTACTCATAATTGTTCCCAAGTGGGGTCCTGGGACCCCATTCCCTTGACTGTGGCTCCGCCACTGCACTTGCATGTTATATGTGCATCAGTGATGTTGGTTCCTCTCTAGTACAAGCAAAATTTACACCCGTTGAATTGATAGTCAACTTGAGAATGTGTTCTAAAGGCATGGATAAAGCTTCAGACACGATCTAGTTTCATTGACCCTCCACATGAATTGAGGTATAGGAGATTCTAGCTTTTTTTCAACTAATAAGGGTCTAATGCTCCAGTAACAAGGAATAACAATTTGGGGCTAGTACGTATGGGCATTGTTTCAAGGAATAACAAGAAAAGAAGGAGGCCGGGAAGGTGGTCTCGATCGAGCAGGTCTCGATCCCGATCGATGTCACAACCAGAAGAGTTAATCGGCTGACCTTTTACTGTGGAAACTGCTAACTAATCTTGCCAACTTTCATAGCCATAAGAGAAAAATCGTGATCACGACAATAATCGTGGCAGGAAGACATCCCTCATGACATTGATCAAAGTCAAACCACAATTGAAGACCTTCAAAAGTGACATCGTATTACAGGTCATGCCCAAGGTAAAGTTGTGACCTAAGACATGACTCATCTGCTGTTGCACGTTTTTAATGATGGTTCTGGTTCGAAGTCATGACAGAATGGTGGTCATTGCCCTTGTCATGTGCATGATGTAACCTATAGATCACTATAAGATCCCATTTTCTTTATTTGACGAAAGGGAGTCGACTTTAGAGTGAAAATTCTGATTTAAGACCTTGAACCTCTATACTACCACGTCCAACTAAAGCTCACTTTTCTTGGTTAAACGTAGAGTTAATTAAAGGATCTGAGTTATTTATATAACATGACTCATTTCAAATGCCGTCGTCACGATCACCCTCTCATCCTCTAATTCGTCTACGAACATCATCACGTCGAGCGTGGTGCGAGCGTGCGTTGGCCGCATAACACAATGCCAAAGTTTGGAAACACAATTGGAACATAGAAATCCAAGTTAGATGACACATCATGGATTCATACGTTCATCCTAAATAAATAAATAAATAAATGAAGCAAGTCATGCGAACACACGTTGACGAAGGTTTAATGATGAGTGGCACGATAATCCTGTCCGGGCTTCCAATCCTTGGGCAAGACGTCGTTGACGGTGACGACCCGTTTGGTTTCGTCCGTGGTAATGCGGAAAGAGATGGGCCCACACAGAGGAGAGCTACAGCTGTGTTGCCACAGCGCTCCCCATGAGGGTTTCATCTGAACCCACTCGTTGGAGTTTGCTGCTCTCAACTCCACGGAGCAGATGGTGCCGTCTCCCTCCACGAACTCCACCAGCACCTCCAAATAGTACGGGTTGGAGCCGGCGTCGACGTGGAACGTCATCGGGGTCCCATAAAACTTGCATGGATGCCTGATATAAAAAAAAAAAAATTGCACGTGATGAATCGGCCTGGCCGGCCTCATGCATGCATGTTGAATTACGTAACGTACGCACGTACCTCCTGTATTTGACGGTGAGCTTCCCGGCGGAGCGGAGAAGGTCTTCCTTGCCGGGGCGGGCCATGGCTCCGAAGGCGTGGCCGCTCAAGTCGAAGTGCTGGTTGGTGCCGGGGCAGTGGTCGGTGATGACGATGTTGACCGGGCGCTTGGAGCAGTCGGGATGGGATTTGCATTTCACCTTGTAGCACCCTCCGCACCCTTTCCCGGACTTGTAAAACGCATCCCCGCCGGCGGCTACCAGCTTGTGGAATGGGGGCTTCTCAACGCTGTCGGTGTAACCGCAAGCTCCACCTGAATTATAACAAAGAGAATTACTATTGTATTTGTACGTGTTCTTTCCGTCAAATTTCCTATATATATGTGTGATCAATTGATTATTATTACCGGTGGTTCCGGCGCCGGTGGGAGGACCGTACCATGTCGCTTGTGCTTCCAACCATTGGTGGTGGGTCTTATTTGTATGGCAGAAACAGTAATTCAAGGAAGCAAGAAGCTGTAACGAAAGAAACGAAAAGGTCCATCCCGACCATGATCTCGACGAGATAGGACCCATATGATCGGGATCGATAGATGGAGATTGCGATTAATATTGCGTACGTACGTACGTACTTACTGCCAATTTAGATATCGAGTATGTACGTACGTACAGATCATGAAGAAGACAAAACGAAATTAGCTGCTAATTGCACTCATATATCGAATGCTGACATGCATGCATCCAGATTGCTTTCGTCCACTCATAAATTTGTCTTATCGTATATTGATTTGCTAAAATTGTCAACCTCATTTAATTAGCTTCGCTTAGAAAAGTTGCCGAAACATGCGGGATTCCAATATATTTGCTACGGTGGCGGTTACTCGTCTCATAATCGTCATTCTGAGCGGGCGATTCATATAGAAACGATTACAATCACCATTTGTGATATGATGAACAAGAAAATACATGAATTTGTACAAAAACTATTCAAGAGTTACTTTAATTTGAATGGTTTAGGGTTTAGAGATTTAGGCTTAAGGTTTAGGTTTACAATTTGGAGATTTTCAAAATTGAGGGTTAAGGGGTTAGGGTAATGGATGGAATAGTTATAAATAATTCTATGTTATATCATCATACAAGACTAATGCTACCAATTAAAATTTAAAATTCGGTGTATTATGGTCACTTTTAGAGTTGAGTACATTGAATGCACTAAAAAGGTGAGTGCACCGAAGTAGCCACCATATATATATATATATATATGCCAAAGGCTATCCAGGAGATGGAAGATGATCAGGGACCGCCACTCATCCTTGGTAGACCTTTTCTAGCCACTAGAGATGAACTCATTGATGTCGGGAGAGGCAAGTTGACATTCCAAGTAGAGTAGGTAAGGAGGAGGAAATTTTTTTATGTCTTTCAAGTTGATCATTATATTCACGAATCATTTTATGACTTTGAAAGCGTTGCTCGAGAAAGAAATAGTTCCTCTTCCAGTGATGGTGTACCACCCGAAGAACTATCACATGTCCTATCATCTCAGATTCTGAAATCAAAGCAAGGACATAATTACTTACCAGGTCATCTCAAGTATAGATATTTGGGTATGGATTTCAATCTTCCTGTTATTATTCCTTCTTCACTGACATTGAAACAGGAAGAATACTTGCTTGAGGCGTTGCTGCAATACCACCTACGCCTCAATAAAGGGTCTAACATGCAAGCTAAGAAGGTCATATCGAATTTTCGCACACCTGGCCCTGTGAAGGTAACTCATATGTTGGATGGAGGTTATGTGTTCTATCATTGTTCTGGAGGGTATTCAGGATACCTTTCTATACCCATTGTTGAAATCTCCATGAACGTCAAGTTGAGGACGCTAAACAAGCGCTTCTTAGGAGGCAACCCAAGGTTAGTTTTCTTTTCTTTATTTTTTTTTTTAGTTGTGTCAAACTCATGCATGTTTAGATTAGGAGTTGGACATTAGCGGCAATGTTCCATCCTGAGTGTGGGGTGGTGAGTTTTAGTGTTTCGTTTTGTTCCTTTTGTCATGTGATGTGGTCAGTTAAAAAACTGCAGTAGGTTGTGCACAGGAAAACTGCATGTAGTCTGAATGTGCAGGTTCAAATGCTTGTGCTAAACCTAAAGGCTAAAAAACACCTAAAAAAACATTGTACTCTTGTGGTAACATGATGTAAATGATTTTGGTGCCTTTTGAACGAGCTTGTGCATGTTTGGAATCATCAAAATCACCCCACAAGTGTTGAATGTCAAAGATCTTCACAATTAGCTTGATGTTTTTGACTGGCTTAATGTGTTTTGAATTAGCAAACTCCTTTAGCAACATTCTCTTTTGAGAGGATAGTGTAATGCCTTTTGGTGAAGTGGTTAGGTGGAGAGCATTGACCATTCGATACGTTGGATACCTTGCTTAGTTGCATCTCTTTTGAGTTTCTGACTTTGCCAATGAGTCTCTCTGTTTTAAATGTTTTATATGGGGTAAACAGTATCTTTATAAATAAGAAAATCCTACTTGACAAGTAGAATATAAGAAATTTGCCATAACAATTAAAGTGTGGGTAAAGTACCAAGATCTTGTGAGGCAATTACTCTTTGCATAGGGGAATTAGGAAAAGTTCAATTGAGCATCGGTTTGTGATCGTACGATGTTGCTTATCAAATACAATCCCCTGCCGTGTTAAGTGTCATTTAAGAATGTGCTTAGAGGGCACAGATAAAGCTTCCGACACCCCTCTGTTGCATTGACCCTCCACACGGACCGAGGAAAAGAAGTTGAAAGAAGCCCTTATGCGAGTGCGAAGAAGCAGAAATTGCTCTTGCTCGGTCACCAGTAGTAAGAAACAAAACTCACTTGTACTAAATACGGTTACTCGGCAAGCAAAATCGGAAAGAGAGAAAGCCTCTCATTGTCAAGAAAGGTAGTGATGTTCTTAAAGTTAAAACCAAATTTACTAAAAGCTTCCCCATGCACTTTTTAGACTTTCATGCTTAGTTGGATGCTAATGGTTGGTGTAAGTAAGCTAGATTGTCCTCACGAGATATGCACCTCACTGATGTGGTTAGATTCTCCTAATAACTAATTAACTATTGCACCATAAGTTGTTAATTACCCACTATTGATGATCGGAATTGAGTGTTGCTAATTGAATTGAATTGTGATAAGTCGTACAATGTTTGAGTCTATCAACAGTAAAGGGTTGCAAAGACATTGAGTATGGGGTGAAAGGTATGATCATTAAAGCACAACTCATCCAGTGAGAAAGAAACTACTGATAATCACAAGCGTACAAGGATAAATTTCTGGTGTTAATGTTGTTTTCTGTGTGTCGTGGGTCTTGTGTTTTGAGCACGGTTGTCACTTAATGGGGTCTGTGTTTTGTTTCCTCAATTTACCTTTCTCTTGCTTAGTCATTACTTAGGGACAAGCAAGTATTGAGTTTGGGGTTCTGATCTTTGTTGAAAACATATTGATTATATGTGTTTAATGTGATTATTTCATTATAGGCTAAATGCCACATTTTGTCACTGAAATTACTAAATTGTGTGATGTTTAGTCACTAGAAAATTTTAATATCAATTTTGGTCACTCGAATTACTGAAACAGATCGCATTTAGTCACTGTCCCGTTAGTTTCCGTCCAACTTCATTAACGGAGTTGGACGGAAACTAACAGGAGAGTGACTAAATGTGACATGTTTCAGTAATTCGAGTGATTAAATGTGACATGTTTCAGTAATTTGAGTGACTGGAGTTGGACGGAGGCTAACAGGAGAGTGACTAAATGTGACCCTTTCATTATATGTTTGAGACATATAATGCTTATTTGAATGTCAATTGACTATGGAATGCTTGCAAAGCCATTACCATCCTATATTAGAGTTTTTTTTTTTTTTTGGTGTACTAAGCAAGAATACAAGGACATGAAAGCACAAGCAAACGACAAAGAAGGACAAGCAGACAAAAAAATGAGCCATTCTCTCCTCACTCTAATAGAGCTTCGGCAAATTTGAGTTGTAAAACAGTACTTTAGATCTACAGTCTAAGAACCTATTTATAGTACAACAGAGGGGGTACAAAAGGTATTTTTCTCCTAAAGTCGACCTAATCCTTCCTAATCCGACTTGAAGTCGGTCTTCATCCACTTCTTGACGAAGTAACTTGCAGAAGAAGCTTCCTTGTGGCCTAAAGAGAGTAGCGATATAGCAAAGATTGGGCCGTGCAGCTCCGTTTGTTCGTGGGTTGGGCTCTTTGGTCCATGGACTTCATCTCCTAACGATTTGGGCGCAACTTGTGGCAGCAGTGGTTGGACCCGTTGCTCAATTTTCCGCTCTTTCTTTCACCATAATGGACTGAGTCTTCTTCCTACACGCTTGTCTTGACATAATCTTGTAACTTGTAGTTGACTTCCCCGTCATTGGACCACTTCTTTCTCTTGAAATCTCCTTAAACTTTTCTTTACAACTCATTTGGTCCTTCGGGGTTCTTAAATGTTTGATCCAATCTTTCTTAGGTTGCTTTGTACTTACATAACCATCAATAATGTACCAATAAGGCATCAAACAATACAGAACATTGCCTAGTTCTATTTCAAACTCATTGATCAAATAGTTGTGATTTAGACTAGAATATCATTAAAATGACTAAAGATGCTTCCATAGAAGAGAAAATGTATTAAGATTGTGAGTGACAAACACTATAAACAAAAGGAGAAATGATTTTATTTTATTTCATTCTAGATGGTAGTCGATAGGGATGGCGATTACCCACCCAGGTAGACCCATTGATAATGAGTAGGGTATGGATGATGTTTATTAATCCTTGTTATGAAAACCGGGCCAGAACGAATAACCGTTTGAGCCGCTCGAACCAGACCTCCGGGTTTTCCGGTTTTTTGCCCCTGTCCCTTAAAAAAGGAAATTAAAAATTTGGAACCTAATCAACTATGCATCGGATTCGATTGAAAACCCCTAAACTTGGAAACATAAAACAACCAGCCGCCACAACTCTTCCCTCTTCCCGATCTTCGTCCAACTCTAGCCTCCATTGTTTCCATTTTCCTTTGTCGGTCGCCGATGGAACGCTGACTTCCCAGCCCTCTGTCCTCCTATCTAGGGGTGAACAAACACACCCGCAAACCGACCAAACCGTCCAACCCGACCCAATCCACCCGTATTTATTGCTAAAACGAAGGTTTTGGGTTGGGTGAGGATTTTCTTTTGTACAACCTGCCTCATTTGGGTTGGATTTGGATTTTGGATTACACAACCCGTAGAACCCGACCCAACCCGTGTTCCAATTATTGGTATGAGTTCAAATCTAAAAAAATATTTATGTTGTATATAGCCATACTTATGAGAAAATTAAGATATTTTGTCATGTTTTTCTCTTAAGGTCCGCCTAATCTAATGCATTCTCTGGCTTAAAATTTAGACATAAATTTAATATAGCTATGATTCACATAATTCTTTTTCTTGTGTACAATTTTAATAGAATAAAATATTATGGATGCACTCATTTGTAACCTTTTTAGCCTATTTTAACAAATGTCGTGAAAAAAACTAGACATAAGTTGAAGTAAATCAAATTTAATTAAAATTCAAACAACATTTGTGAATTTTGATACCTTTCACCTCGGTTTATTCGTTTGAATTTTTAATTAGTTATAAAATATTTTTATGGTGTAGAATAATTACATATTTTGGGTTGGGTTGGGTTTTTACTTTAAAATATCGTCAACCCGACCCAACCCAATTAGAAACAAACCGTAGGGTTTAAATTTTTTTGGGTGTGTTTGGGTTTAATATTTCCCAAACCGTAGTGCATGAGTCGGGTGATTAAAATGTCTAAACCCGGACCACCCGACCCATATACACCCCTACTCCTATCGCCTGCCTACTCCCTCCGACTCCTGTAATCCTCTACTTCTCCGATCCCTCACCTTCGTCCGATCTCCCCCCATCGCCGAAAACTCTTCGGCAACTCCAGTGGTAGCCGATGACACTTCAGCAGCCGCAACAAGTTCCACGAAGGATAAGCATCGGCGACGTCACTGGAGGACAGGCCCGGCCCAGACCCTGTGCTGGTCTGACCCACAGCACAGGGCCTCAAAATATTTAGGGCCTCAAAGCCCATACCTAATACATATATATAATTTTTTTTTAGGAAACGAGACGCATAGGCCTCTACTTTGCTCCGCCTTTTAATATCCCCTTCCCTTCCCAAAATCATCAATCATCAATCATTTCCCCAGAAATCTCCGCCTCTTAATCTTCCCTTCCCTTCCCAAAATAATCAATCATTAATCCTTTCCACAAAAATCTCACCTTCCCCAAAAATCTCACCTTCCCAAAAGATACCAACGTTTCAATTCATAATCAATGTTTATTGCTTAACGTCTCTATTCTCTAATTCCTTCTCCTTAAAAACCGCTCAGCCCAGATTCTTCCTCGCATTTTCATTCCTTTACGAAATCAATCACCTCCTGAAGCAGCCGATTAGCCGAAAATCAAAATCAATACGACTATCCTTTATTCCGCTCGCCTTCCCCTGGTTTCGACTTGGCGTCTTGGTGACTTCAGTCTTTACGCCGTCGTTCGGTAATTGCCAATCCGTAAAAATTCCTCTTGTCTTTTGTTGATTTTAGCGTGCTGCCTCTGGAGAGTCTGTTCTCCGACGTCCCACCTTGATACTCTGTTTCTGCTTGAGAATGGCGAGTTTGGAGTCATGGAGTTGGAGAAGGAGAAGCAATGGGGCCGCCGGGCCAGACCAAAATCCGAATGGGCCTGGAGGTTGAAATTTGGAATGAATCCGAATGGGCTTGCACTGTAACCATTAACCAAATTTGTGTTTATTTTTTTGCAGGGTTTCGTTTTTGGCAGATTGGTCATTTGGGCGAGTGAATCTGCCTAATTTGTTTTGGGAAGAGTGGTCCTGTATTCTAACCAAATTTTTGTTTATTTTTTTAGGGATTTTGCTTGGAAATTTGGATTAGTACTATTTGATTTTCGAGTGGTTATTGCCGAGTGTAATCATTAATTTTTTATAACAACTTTAATTATGTCAACTAGAAAATTTGAATCGGGTAGTTCTAACTTCTAAGCGTAAAAAAAACAGAGGATTGAGTTGTTAACTCATTTTTTGAATTTATGTATTTTTTTATTTAATAAAGTTTATTTTTAATAAATTTTACGGAAAATAATTTTAGGGCCACATTTTTAATTTTGGAACAGGGCCTCCGAATATTATGGGACGGCCCTGCTGGAGGTAGTGATGGCAATTTCAACCCGCCCCGCGGGTATTACCCGCCCTGACCCGCGATGGGGCGGGTATAACCCGACCCGCAGTAGCGTGGGGCGGGGCATGGGTATCTACTTCCGACCCGCCCTGCCCTGTCCCGCCCTGTTCTAGACTCATTTTATCTCAATTTCTTACAATATCTATATATATTTCTCATATTTTGACTTTTCTTCAACAAGTTAGAGTCGATCTTTCAACTTGTTAGGCTCAATTATCTATTCTATTATCAATATTTTTCATTCTTAAAGTGTTTTTCCCTACGTTTTATTGTGAAAAGTAAAATTTACTTGTATTTTTTCTGAACAACATGTAAGAGTGGGTCGACTCGCCCCGCCCCGTACCCGCGCGGGTTTTACCCGCCCCGACCCGTAGTAGCATGGGGCGGGGCATGAGAATTGAGGTACCCGCCCGCCCCATTGCCATCACTAGCTGGAGGATCCTCAACGCAGTAGCTCTTCCCCTGCTCTGCCTCTCCTGCCGCCAACTACTCCTCTGCACAGCGTCCCTTGCCCTGCCTCCCCTGCCGTCAATTTTTGGAGCGCAAGGTAAGGGATTGATGTTCGAGACTTTGGTTTCATGTATGGACTCTTGTACAAGTGGTTTTTATTTAGGTGAACAGTGTTGTTTATGTGAGATTTCAAATTTGGATTTTAGAACTTATGGTATTTATTAATTTATGTAAGGTTTGGATTAGAACTTAAGGAATATGCTCACGGGTTATTGTGTTTAATCAGTGTGTATCACTTATACTCTTCATTTATTAAGTAAAGGGTCAATAACGATTTTTTGCCAGCTCAATACCGGTTAGACCACTAAAGTGTGGGCCGTTCACAATATAAGCTCATGCTTTGGTTCGGACCCGACAACATTGCACCCAACCCAATTCATTTAATCTACACAATAAATAAAAGCCAAATGAGAAAACTTGAAGGCCCATTTCAAATTTCCTGCATCCAGAGTGAAAGTAGGAAGGACGTTTTGGTCTTCACAATTACGTTTTGTTTATTCATTAAAAAGACACTTACTAGCCAAATGAGAAAACTTGAAGCCCATTTCAAATTTCCTGCATCCAGAGTGAAAGTAGGAAGGACGTTTTGGTCTTCACAATTACGTTTTTTTTTATTCATTTAAAAGACACTTACTAGGATTCGAACCATGACCACTTTAAAGAAAAGCAAAGATCATAACCAATCACACTAAGTACATTTGTTGTATCTTTTTAAATTAAAACATATAATCGCCGAGAAGAAAAAACCCTTCCTCCATTTCAAATTTCCTGCTCCATCGGCGTTTGTAGGAAGGGTAGAATAGGGAGTGTCAATTTTTTTTCTTTTTCCTCTGTGGAACGGGCCAAATTACCGTACACATGCGGATTTAAACGGGTCCAGGAGTGTCAATTTTTTTCTTTAAGTCCTTTTATTTCTCCGTGGTGTTAAAATATATATGAAAAGGAAAAAATAACACTCCTTTTATTGCTAAAAAGAAAAAAAATTTAACAATAAACTGATGCATGGATTCCAATGGGCTAACCGCTAATCATAAAAAAAAAGAGTTGAATGAGTCTGACCTACACGGGATTTGCCTATCAAGTAAAACAAATGAACATTATGGGTTTGTCATTCTAAAACAAACTATTTTCTCTAGCGTAATATATATTATGCTATTATTTCATATCTTAGTGGCTAAAATATAATGTATTTTAAAGTTATTCAATGGTTCAACCTCGACAACCCAATTAGTCCAATTTTTAGCATTTCAAATATATATTATGTAATTATTTGATATCATAATGATTAAATTATAGGGAATCGTTTGGTATTTGTTAGTAAAAAACTAAACAGAAAGATCTATTTGATTAGTTTTAACATTAAAACGATCCTAAACTTTTTCAGTTTCCTTTCGAAATTGTATAGTTTTATTCCCGAATCAGTGATGTGCAAATGGCGAATTGCAGTCATCTCTTTTCTTTCTTTATTTTTTATTTTCAAATAGAAAGTTTAAAAATAAAGAATAATTAGAGTTTGGCATGGGTCGGTCAAACAGGCTGAATTTCAAGTTTTAGTCCGTTTTGATCAAGTCTAATTTATAATCACATGGTTCCCTGATACCCGATAAAAATCCAATTCAAACTGGCAGGTGAGTTCGTGTTTACTACCATTTTCTAGAGATACAGGAACGATGGTTCCTATCCCAAATCGTGTTGTTCATTCTTGATTTCTTTAGATTTTATCATGGCTTGACAAAAAACCAGAAAGCACAATGATGACAAGATGAAAGTTTTATAAAGCAAATTAATCGGCCAACGGGCCGAGTAAAAGCTAGCAACGATTGTGAGATGCTCATTTCCCGAAAACTGACGGGATAGGCAATTTTTTATTCGATTTTCTGGAATTCGGTTTCTATAAAACTTACTCCACCTCATCATATTACCAGAAACAATATTGTTTCACAAGGTAACAAGTACTTGATTTTGGTTCATAAGACTGATTTTTGATTCGTTGCATCATTCATGTCTCTTTCCTATTAAAATTCACTATTTTTATAACGTGTTTCCAAAAAAAAACTATACAACAATAAGCTATACATCTCATTACATTAACAAATTTCATACCTCACCTTCCTCCGGCCAATGACCGGGGCCTAGACTAGTAATTATTAAAGGAACTTTTATTCGATTTCGCTGTTTCTCTCTCTTGCACTAATAAAATGGAACAAGGGCTTGCTTTCGTTTCCACTCTTCGGGAAAAAAACTGAAACTTTCAATCAGAGAACCGGAAACGAAAATGTCCCATCACGGTGGATATGGTAATTCTAGCTTCCGAATTTCTGCAAATTGGATCTTTTTCACAAATTTTGTTGCCGTTAACTCCGATTAACCGATGATTTCCTCAGGCGATAAGGGACGCCCGCCGAAGAAGTACAAGGCTGCCGCCGCCAAGGTTTGTTCGTTACTGTGACTCGGTTTCATTGGGATTTCTTATTCGGTAAGGTTTCTTTCCCTCTTTTCTTGCAGGATGACGACGACGATGGTTATTACGGCAATGAAGCTGGTGGGCGAGGGGATGATGATTATGGAGACGGTATTCAGTTTTGTGAACTCGTTTTGAAGATTCTATAGTCTGATTTTGATTTGTGCAGCTGGTGACGTATTAGTTTGTGTTTCCGTTGGTGATGATTGGGTTTTGAAGGTGAGAAAGAGGTGAAAAAGAGGGATTTCACCAAATTAGAGCTGAAGCCTGACCATATCAATCGCCCACTTTGGGCTTGTGCGGATGGTCGGATATTTCTCGAGACTTTCTCTCCATTGTACAAACAAGCATATGATTTCCTCATTGCCATTGCAGAGCCTGTTTGCAGGTTTGGTTTCCTTGATTCTATACTCCCCATGTACTGAACATGGGAATCAGAGAATGGAAAAAATTTGTGGCGTTTCTGGATTGGATTTGTTTGGTTTTTATTAATGTTGTGCGGTTTTAGGCCAGAGTCAATGCACGAGTACAATTTGACTCCGCATTCATTGTATGCCGCGGTTTCTGTGGGTCTGGAGACTGAAACTATAATAGCCGTTCTAAATAAGCTGTCCAAGACTAAACTGCCCAAGGAGATGATTGATTTCATACATGAATCTACTGCTAATTATGGCAAAGTGAAGCTTGTTCTTAAGAAGAATAAATACTTCATCGAGTCTCCATTTCCAGAGGTGACTTGTCTTTGGTTCGCTTCGATGGAGGTATTTGAATTTGAATTAGAATAATTGCTGATTTCCCCTATGGCATTTACAGGTGCTAAAGAAGTTGCTCAAAGATGAAGTCATAGGTCGAGCCAGGATTCAGTCTGAGGTTTAGTTACTTTGTTTGCATTTGCCTTGTTGTTTCAAACATTCAGTTGTTCCTTTTTACGTTTATTTCCAAGATTTCTGCGGACTTAATTGTCTTATCTACTTCTCCTGTGTTGTGCTTTATTGGTATTATCCTTAACAGAATGAGCATGGACATGATGGATTCACAAAAAGCAAGACTGCAGGAGAAATTGGCGGCAGTCATGATGGGTTGTTGAATGAAGCAGAATTGGCTGCTGCTGCTGAAGATAAAGAAACTCACTCTTTCCAGATTGACCCCTCTCAGGTTGTTTATATTAATAATTTTTCCAGTGACTATATTTTTACTAGTTGTCTCTATTGATGATTGACCGTTCATCTTTGCACCTTTGAACAGGTAGAAAATGTAAAGCAACGGTGCTTGCCTAATGCTCTGAATTATCCGATGTTGGAGGAATATGATTTCAGAAATGATCCTGTAAGTCTACATTTGGCTGCCCATTCTTTCCTATCTTCACTGATAGCATGTATGCTTGTCTAAACATTAAGGAACTTCATGAAAGCCAGCTGAGGAAGTGATAGTATGACCATTTTGATTACTCTTGACTGTCGGTTCTGTTGAATATGGGTGTTTATGTTGGTGAGCAGACATCAGAATTTTAGTGTGAGCTTGTGTGCCTGGCTTTAAGTTTATTAGCTGTTCTTGTCTTGTTGCAGGTAAATCCAGACATCAACATGGAATTGAAGCCTCATGCACAACCACGTCCGTACCAGGAGAAGAGCCTCAGTAAAATGTTTGGAAATGGTATTTATGGTTTGAGCTTTCTGTTATATATTGCAATATCATAATGTGGTGAAGTAGTCATTATATAGATGTTGATGGTTTGGGAATAACTAGGACTGATTTTTGAAGTTACATCAGTGTAGCATTTCCTTCTAATTCCATCTCGGTTAAAGGGAAATCACTATCTAAATTGTTAAATTATATTTTTTTGGTTGGATCATATCAGTGGGTACTGGATTGTTATGTCAGCCACAGGTAGATGCGTAGAGTTGTCCTGCTTCCACTTTTTCTGGAAGACAGTAGAAGGCTTGTTGGGGAGCTCTCTGGACTCTTTCGCACTCAAAATAGCAGTTCAATAATTAGTTTCATGTTTCTAGGCTATTTATTACATAGCTTACTGTACATTGGGAACTCTGCCGTACTAGCTACTGAGACCCATAGGCCAATCTTTTTGCTCCTGTTGTGTCCCCCCGATGCCCGTTAGGTGGCCTAACTTCTTGTATTGATGATCAGCAGGGTCAGAGCACCTTCTTATTATGAGTGCTGTCTGACCTAGCACTTAGGAAACCAACAGTACCTCTGACATACTAAGTCCTATGAGCTCTGATAATGTGCAAAGGTTATTTCAAGATTTACATGAACCCCCGATAATTTGGATATGATGATTGCATTTGTAGGTAGAGCAAGATCAGGCATCATTGTGTTACCTTGTGGTGCTGGAAAGTCTCTAGTTGGTGTATCGGCTGCATCCCGGATTAGAAAAAGTTGCCTTTGTTTAGCAACAAATGCTGTCTCAGTTGATCAGTGGCACTTCCAGTTTAGGCTATGGTCAACAATCCCGGATGAGCAAATTTGTCGTTTCACTTCTGACAGTAAGGAGAGGCTCCAGGGTAATGCTGGAGTTGTTGTGACAACCTATAACATGGTTGCATTTGGGGGTAAAAGATCAGAAGAATCTGAAAAGATTATTGAAGAAATAAGGAATAGGGAATGGGGGCTTCTTTTGATGGACGAGGTAATTATTCAGTATATTATCTGATAGGTTTATCTTGTGAAAATCACAAAATTGTTGAAGAGGTTCTGTGACTTTTATCTGATTCAGGTCCATGTGGTTCCTGCACACATGTTCCGTAAAGTTATCAGTTTGACTAAATCTCACTGCAAACTTGGGCTTACTGGTAAGTAGTTTGATTTTAGGTATAATGTTATCCCTGGGTCAGGAATAGTTTTTATCCGTTTAATCTTATTATTGGTTCAATTGTAGCAACACTTGTCAGAGAGGATGAAAGGATCACAGATCTGAACTTCCTCATTGGTCCTAAACTGTATGAAGCCAACTGGTTGGATCTTGTGAAAGGTGGATTTATTGCAAATGTCCAATGTGCTGAAGTATGGTGCCCGATGACAAAGGAATTCTTTGCAGAATATCTGAGGAGGGAAAACTCAAAGAGGAAGCAGGTTCGGTTTTCAATCGCTCTTCGTGGCATATCTTCGTAATGCCTAAGAATGATTGTTGTTTCTTGTGACTTTGTAAGTTGAATTTGTTTTGATTTCAGGCGCTGTATGTGATGAACCCTAACAAGTTCAGAGCATGTGAATTTCTGATACGGTTCCATGAACAACAGCGTGGCGATAAGATAATTGTGTTTGCTGATAACCTTTTTGCTCTTGTTGAGTATGCAATGAAGCTACGTAAACCTATGATCTATGGTGCTACTAGGTGAGTTATACCGAGAGTTTCCCTTTGATCAAAGGGTTTGATCAAAGGGTGCTAAGCTTGCTATAAGTTCACATATGTTAACTATAGACCATTGTTTGTATTTGCAGCCATGCTGAGAGAACAAAGATTCTCCAGGCCTTCAAGACTAGCAAAGATGTGAATACGATATTTTTGTCGAAGGTATTTCATCTTTTGATGTCTACCCGTATTTCTTTGGTGTATTACCCTTTCAGGGGGCAATTGAACCCTTGACCTTCTCAATGGAAGTGTGGCTGATTGACCAGTAGACAATATGGGTTCCGTATTATTATTTTTACTATATCACTCAACTATTTGTTATAATCTACAGGTTGGTGATAATTCTATAGATATTCCTGAGGCCAATGTGATTATTCAGATCTCATCACACGCTGGTTCAAGACGGCAAGAAGCTCAACGGCTGGGTCGTATTCTTAGGGCAAAAGTAAGACACTAGTCCATTCAAGACTAATTTCATCCCTTTCCTTTGAAAGCAAGAGTAACTTCAGCAAATTGTATTTGTTTCTTATGTACCATTTTTGTTTAATGCCGAAACTTCGTAATCCGCTCATGTACTGTAATCATTTTGCTTAGGCTTCACTTCTCATGCATGTCCATATGGATTGCTTTTACATGATGAAGAGTGCGGTCAACAGTTGTTGACTGGATAAGTTAGTGTTGACTTTTGGTTAACAGGGAAAACTTGAAGATAGGATGGCAGGAGGGAAGGAAGAGTACAATGCATTCTTTTACTCTCTTGTATCTACGGATACACAGGTACAACTTTACCTTTTACCTCTGCCTTTGATTTAAAGATATTCTGATTAGGACCGTCTCTTGGGTACAGGAGATGTATTACTCAACCAAACGGCAACAGTTCCTAATCGATCAGGGTTACAGTTTCAAGGTTCTTTCCCAGTCCATAGTTTTCTTTAATTCTACCCTCGATATAGTTTATGCTTGATGTACAAGATGTGGAATCTATGGCCCAAGGCCACTCAAGACTTGCCTCTGGTTAGGATTACTATAGCAATGTGTTGAAGAGTTATTTTGTGGTGTGTATCTGAGTGAGGCATTAGATAACTTGTTAATTGGTCATTGCCGCAGTCTCAATCTAATTTATAGCCTCATTCTGGGGCATGTGTATCTTCTAGTATGAAGGTTTTGATGATCTGGCAATTGAACAGGTTATAACAAGCTTGCCTCCACCTGATTCAGGAGCTGAGTTGAGCTACCACAGCCAGGATGAGCAATTGGCTCTTCTGAGAAAGGTTTGCCTTTGTAGCTCTGCTGTGTTTGTGGACTTCAGTACAACAAAGTTAAGGGGGAATTTTTCTTGACATTGGCATATCTATCAGGTTTTGACTGCTAAAGATGACATGGTGGGTTTAGAGCAGCTGGAAGAAGATGCTGATGATATTGCTCTTCATAAGGCACGCAGGTTTGCAGGATCAATGAGTCACATGTCTGGTGCTAATGGAATGGTTTACATGGAGTATAGGTAAGGGGAAAAAATTCCAATTCTGTTTCGTGTATTCCCCTCCCTTTTCTCTGCTCACCTTCCATATTTTGTTTGGTGTGCAGTACTGGACGAAAACTTCCACCAGGTTCGAAGCCCAAGCCAAAAGATCCAAACAAGCGCCATAACCTGTTCAGAAAGCGTTATGGCTGAGATGAGAAATCAAAACTTTCACTTTCAGCTCAGTTCATTTTGACAACCCAGATGAGTGAAAGTTCATTGTGGTTATCTTGCACTACCGCTCGCGCTGAATGTTCTTAAACAGAGTTGTAAAAGTCGAGTGATATTGAGCATTATGAAGTGGTGTGATGAAAGAAAGTTTCATGTCTCATTGCAGAGGGCTGAAAGTCGAGAAACAATTCATATGCTGCGTCTCTGGCTGCGAGGAAATGATGTTAGAATAGCACCCCCCACTAAAAGATGAGATACATGTATCTTTAGTAGCCAGAATAAACCAGTGTTCAAGAAGATGCGATTAATCTCTCGCCTAGGCGCGATTAATAGCTGGGCAAGAGGAAATCGCCCCGTCTACCCCTGGGCGATTGATCTAGGCACCTAGGCATTCGGAGGCGAGTTATCACTCTGGTGGGCGACGCCCAGAACAACTAATAAAGGGGGAAAGGAAAGTGTAGCTTTTTTGTGAAATCCCAATTCCTATTCTATTTCTCATTTTCATTCGACCAGCCGATCCCACTCATTGATCAGCAGCGAGATACCTCCTCATGATTGGCGACTTGAGATGTTTGGGATAATTGAGATACCTCCTCATGGTTGGCGACTTGGGATGTTTGGGATAATGGAAAAGGGTTGTATGTGTATATGAATGGATGAATAATGATATGGCAACTTCGGTTTTGTGGAATATGACTTATCTATCATATTTTTTTAACGTTTAATTTCGCCTAGGCAGCGACTAATCGGCCTGGGTTGGGCGGTGTCTCCTCGCCTAGATAGCGCCTAGTGTCTTCTTGAACATTGGAATAAACTGGGAATGTTGTTAATGTATGTGGTTGTTTGTGTTAGAAACCGATTTCTTTCGGGTTTCTATCTTTATTAATATAATTATTATTAGGGAAATAATCGTAGGATTGTTTTCCTGTTTAAAAAATTTTACAAAAATAGCTCTCATTCTTTAAAATTTTCAAAAATAGCATCTTTTCTCAAAAATCGCTGGGTGGGAGCGCGATTCTCAACCAAAATTGCTTTGGTTTGAGGCAGGTTGGTTGATAGCAGCGGGTAGGGAGCGGTTTGGTCCTATAATTTTTTTTTTCTCGATTATTCCTAACCTAGGTGAAAATTTCAAACGAACGTATTTTTGTGCTCCGGTATTCGATTGTGGCGAATTTTTTTTGATTTCTCAAAACCTTTCGAAATCTTGCAAGTCGCAAACTTTCGGTTCCACCTTCGTCGCGAAAAACGTCGTTTGCTACCCCGAACGGGCTTTTTCCGATTTCGTCAAACTTTGAACGGCCATAACTTTGTGCTACAAAATCCGAACATAATTATTTTTATTTTTTTCATTTCGTGTAACTTTTCAAGAACTATAATTTTTATCATCGACATAATTTCGATATCTACGTGGATTTGTAAAAAGAAAATGTAAAGTTATTCCCAAAACACTGTACCTCCAAAAATAATTCCTATTTTGAAAATATTAGCTTTCGAGAAAGCCCACGAGTTGTGCTCATATATGGGCTCCTTATAAACAAGAAGACACCGGACTAGCTCCTGAGTGAAGAAAGCCCACGAGCTGTACTCCGATACGATCCATGATTTCAGCTTTCTGTATTTACACGTGGCAGGCAGTAAGTGGTGGGAAGTGCGTGGAGCTCCATCCTGAACCGTAATAGAACCTTACCAAACCCATTTGGCATTCGGGTATATATATATAATCCGACGAGTCGCGCTGCCTGTGTTTGTTTGAGATCGCGAAATTTCAGTTAAATATCAAGAAACGATTTCTGCTTCACGCGTCGGTTGCCATCTCTGATCTGATCGAGCCTCTCCGCACCGCCGAAGTGAGTTTCATGATCTATTGCTTCTTGCACTATTCCTTTATATCGTCTGGGTCTCTTTAATCATAGATCTGGTGTTCTTGCATTCTCGATCCATTTGATAGGAGGTTAGGGGTTATGGATCGAGTTTCGCGATTTGTATGCGGTTCAATTGGGTTGTTCTTCAAATATGATTCATGTCGGATTCAAGTTTATAGCGAAATTAGGGCATGAATTTGGCGCGTTCTGAACGAACGGATCTCAGATAAAGCTGTTTTGTTCCTCGGGGATGGATCTAATATGAGCAGTGTTCCTAAGCAATAGGAATTCTCCGTGTAACTGCTAATCTGTTTATGGGCGTGTGGAGATGCCGGCGTCGATTGGAATTTTGATTGGATCATGTGGAACTTGACATCGCACCTCTTATGCATAATTTGGATGGAGTATATGGCTAATTTCTGGCTTGTTATGCATAATTTGAAAAATAGATGTGAACTTAGTGGATGCATCTTCAGATTGGGGATGTCTCTTACATTATTTCATGATCGAGCATTGTGCTCATGTGAGTAGTTCTAATTGATTGGGTTGGAATGACTAATAATTCTAGGTGTGGCGTACTTGAATGGAACTAGGTGGTGCCAAAAACTGGCTATGCCCCGTATTGCGTGCTGTCTGTTTGCTTTTGAGTGTGATGCTAAACCCTAAACTCATTTGGTCAGTTGCAGAAATGGCACTAGGTGGAACAGCTCCCCCGCGAGGAAGTGCAGCTGCTGCTGCAAGCATGCGCAGGAGAAGAACCACTGGTGGTGCTGCTGGTGCTGGTGGTGGTGCTGCAGGAGGAGGGGCCGCTGGGACCATGCTCCAGTTCTATACCGATGATGCCCCGGGCCTCAAGATATCGCCCAATGTCGTCCTGTTTATGAGCATCGGCTTCATCGCTTTCGTTGCCGTTCTTCACGTTGTGGGTAAGATATACCTTGTTCGAAGGGAGGCTTGAAAGACTCGCGCGATATACGCCTTGTGAGTTGATGCCAGCGGAGCAGCTAGCTAACTCTTGTGCTGTTCATTTTCTTTTTCTCGGGGATTCAGTGTAACAGCCGTATAGACAGTTTTTATGCATCAATCGCGTGCCAGCGTTAGATCAAACCTTGTCTCATCTCTGCCTACTCTTTGATCAGTTGAATTTTGCTAGAGATTTGGTTTTATATATGCGCACAGGATCAGTTTTGCTGCCTTTTCTGTGGTGCTTCTTCACTTTGGACAAGTCTTGTGGTAGGTGAATGGATTTTCTAGAAGCTTAGGACAAAGAGTCGCACTCGGCAGCACAATCAGAAGATTCTATTGGGAATTTAGGGTAAATCGCTAGCTTGGTCCATTATCTTAAAAATAAAAAAAAATCGCAAGCTTGGTCACTAGAATAACTATAAAAAACTTACTTTTGCTAGTAAAATTATTTTTTTCAATTCTTGGTCCCATCAGCAGTTGCATCCACCTTTGTGGCGCCACGATGATACTGTAGTTATGTAGCACAAATATAGATGAAATCCATACCCTGCCCATATAGATGGGTATAATTGGCTTTGGGCAAAAATACCTATGGGTGGGTAAATTGTCATCCCTAATTGAGGCTAAAGAGAGAATGTAGAGTCTGATTTTTGGATGGTCTGATATCGAAATTTCAATTTTGGTTTGCTTATAATTATTTGGGTTTGGATTTTTAACCCAAGTAGATTCAACAAAATGGGTATGAGAACGCCTAGCAAGACGAGGACCCAAATCAACTCCGTATTCTACAATAATTATGTGCCCTCCGTCGAGACATGCATCATCATTTTACAAGTTCATAGTCGTATTAGTTATCTTCACGTTTGGGTACCTATTCCATCTCTTTGCTCGATCGAAATGAAAGATAACTGAGCGACTCACGATACTTTGGTAGGGGCTATGCCCGTGTTCTTATTAGTTTGAGTAGATGTGCTATGCACCCATTTGGATAGAAAATAAATTTCGTCGAGTTAATAATGATCGTTACGATAATTTTAAAGAGGGCACAAAGTAGTTTGTCTCGGGCAGGAATTTAGCGTTTGATCACGACCATTTAAAGAAGCTTGAGGATTTCTCTAAGAACAAGGAAATTCACAGGAAGTTTCTTAGTGTGCGCCCTCGGAAGCCCAATTAGTACCAGAGACCATACTCTCATCCATAGGCTTCAAACCCCCACAAGATCTTGCAACCGATTCAAACAGCTTCTCAATCTCCGGAGCGCATCTTATGAAAGTTCGGTTCCAGAAATTGTACCTCGGATTCTGCACATGAAAGTCGACCCCCAAATGGGGAGTTAATACTCCAGTTCAGACTGCAAGTTGACCCAAGACAAGAAGAGGATCGTGAAAGCAGTCCATGAACAAGGATTACCTTGATTAGCTCAATGAAAGTTATCAAAAGGCCCCACGGATGGGGTCTGTTAACGATCAGGCGTTCCAACAGGACTCTGGTAATCTGCTCCTGGATAATTTCCTATAATTTCACAAAGAGGATTTCCATTCTTTAAGATCCAAGGGGATCGATCGTGAAGATAGATGCAAGAAAAGACTAAGCTCGAGTAAATAATCAGGAATACCCACCTGATTTGACTCGGCAAATAAGTAGAGCAGAACAAAGGAGAAGTAATGTGTGTGGTTGTTGGGATAGCGCAGTTGGTTCGCAACAGCATTGAGGAAGAGGTATCGACCTTCATTGTCTAGCTCAACTACTAGGGTCTGGTAAATATCCAAAGCAGCATCCACTAAGAAACCAAGAGGGCCTGTATTCCCAGGTGCCTGTGCATGAGGTGTTCTTGCCTGGAGCTGCTGGATGGCCTGAATACAACAATTAACTCTTAGCAAAAGCAAAAGCAAAAGCAAAAACACAGGCATTGACCCAGAACGACTAAAGAAGGAACTGCTGCAAACTTAGAAAAGCCACCCAAGCGCCTACCTGCATCCCTGTGTAAAGGACGAGAGAATTTACGAGTGCTACATTGTAATGAGACCCGGCAGTTGAAGCCTCGCTTGGCATAAGAAGCAGCCTCTGCTTCAAGTTGGCGAGGAACAAGGAACCCTGTTGTCTTGTCTGCAATAAGCATGCACGCAACAGTTCCAACAGGATACCAGAAAACTGAAGCAAATAGCCAAAGCAGTTAAAGAACGCAGCAAATTAGGTTACCTTCAGATACTCATCCACATCAGCCTTCATGTTCTTTGCTCTAAGAGCAGCATCAACTTCAGACAGGATGTGCGGTGGTTCTCTAATTTCAGGAAGCAAATCAATCTGTTGACCAAGAAGATGCATTTCCAATCAGCTTTATTAATAAGAAAAAAGAATAGTGCCCAAATTGCACCACAATTTCAGCATCCATCAAACAGAACCTTTAAATTTGGAGTAGACGGATCTGGAAGCCTCATATTGCGAGGAAAAGCACTCAGAATGATATTGCGCATTTGTATGCAACTTGAAGGTATGACATCGCAGAAGGTGAAATGATAGTCGCACAGGAACTCAGGAAAATCGTGCAGTAGAACTAGCAGCACTCTAAGTGTACCTTTGTAGAGAAAGGAGATCTGCAGGAAATAGGACAATGAATATAGAGGGGAAGTCATTTTACACCCAAAATGGTTTACGACAAAAGAAAACCAACAGAGTTCAGAATGCATACTGGTCCTCGTAATTCAGCATTTCTTAAAAAAGGCTCTAGGAACTGAAACAGGTCCACCAGCAACCGTTGAACATAGGGCCAACCCTTTTGAGCATTTCCAGTAAGTAATTTTGGCATGAAGCTCCTGTGACTTACTAACTCAAGCCACGCATAGCTGTAGATACATAAACAGCATTTATTGGCTTAACAGGCAATCACTCTAGAGAGAGAGAGAGAGAGAGAGAGAGAGAGAGAGAGAGAGAGAGAGAGAGATGCGTTATAGAGGGGTTGTCTATGTGGAGTGATACTTCTAGGCTGAACAGAGATAAGCCTGCAGCCTTGTTTCGCATCAATACAGGTTTAGAAACTAAATTGCAGCCAGAAACTGCTCTATGAACTTGGTGTATATTAAAGTTGGGTACAAGGAGCACAACAGAACTAGAACAGGCTAGACTACCAGGGGCTGTTGGATCAACCAAGGAACAGGTTCCTGGTTCAGTTTGCCTAGGCTATACGGGTACCTCTAAATAATAATCAGCATTACTCAAGAGCTATCTAAATTTCGAACAAGGGGGAAGATCAACTCCATCCTCAAGATGAAAAAAGTCAAAAAACTAAACATGTAACAGATACTTCCACAGCCCGACACAAATTGTAGAACCTGCTCGAAGGACGTGTACATTTGTATCACTTGAGAAAGTTACTGATGTTCTACCTGAAAGTAGGAATTTTAAGAGGTTGCAAAAGATGGAACGCCTGAGCAAAGGAAGTCAGCATCTGCAGAGAGCCAATGTCTCGTTAGACAATGCGGTTGACAAAAAATGATAATGAACTGAAATAGATAAAAGAACTTTCATGCAAAGATTAACAATAAAACGAAAAGCAGATCAAAGGATAACAATGATAAAAAGAAGCATAAGGATATACCTGAAAATTTCCACCATCATTTACTGGCTCAAGAGTAACAAGATCTAGCAATAAGTTTATAAACAATCTGAAATATGGCCTTGGATTAAAAGATGGTTTCTTCTCCTCAGAATCCTTCTGTATATATCTTACAGTAACAGCCAGCATCTGTAGACCATAATGTGTAAGACAAATATTGGGTTCGGAGTCCGTGAAACCGGAAATAAGAAAAGGTCCACTCAGTTTACCTTTGACAGAAGAAAATGTTTACTTGATCCCTGCTCGGCCTGATAACACTAACAATTCTTAGAAGAATACAAAAGTGGAAAAGCAACGGAAGGGTCACATAACAAGCGCTAACGGTTACCTTTAGAATTGCAAACACGAGTTTTGCAAATATATCAATGGCAAGGAACGACATATTCTGCCCCTGTTGAGGCCCTTGCATCCCACCTGAATTCACCACCTCAGAAGATAGACAATGGTCGACCGAGAGTTCCTAATAACACCAGTGAAGTATGCTTACCATTATAATTGCTACTTACTTCTAGTGAACCACCAGTAACGAGATAGAAAATTTGACAAAGATTAATCACCATAAGAATGCGGAAAAACTGGTCGGTCAAATCATCACCCTTGAGGAACCCATTCTGGTGCAATTGTAAGAGGTAATGGTTATATGTGGTCTCATTCGAGCCTGGTAGTTCACATATCCGGTACCATTCGCGGAATAGAGCAGTAATCTACAACCAGTATCAGGGATGAGAAAAACAAAAAATGGACACAACAAGGACATGCTGTGAGTAAACTACCTCATTGACCAAATCAGAAACCACATGTAAATTCAATTGAACTAATATCAAGCTCAACACACCTGATCCCGGAATCCAGCAGGGTCAGGTTCGACAGACTCCACATTGTTGAAGTCGTCACGGCTAATTGAAGGCTGACTGGGAGCCTGCTAGAAACAGGCAGATATAATTTCAGATAGTCCCATTGGGAGAGAGAACATGAACCCACCAAATTAACACCGACCTTTCTCTGTCTAGTTTTATCATCTTTACCAACAGCAAAAGCTGATATAGCAGCGGCATTAGCTGTAGGATTCCTCACAATCTCAATAAGCTGTTGCAGCGATTCAGAAGATCCAGGTTTTGCAGCAATCTGCATGCCAAAATCATTAAGAAACCACAGTGGGACCAGACAATCTAACAAACAGAGAAATGAATCAAACCTTTGCCAACGCTTCAACAAGATTATGGAGTTCGGAAATGGCATTGTACTCATCGACAACCAAAGCCTGGATAAGTGAAACAGAGAATTCCGTCGCAGCCTCTGCAATTAAGTTGGAATAGTTAATAAGTAGTGAAATATCAACCAAAATAAACATCAAAACACTGTGATTCTGGGACCATACTATTCCTTCCACCGTCAATAAGCTTTGCAATATGAACATTGTACTCAGCAAGATTGAGCAATTCACTGTGTATAAGACCCATAGTAATATCTTTATTGAACTTCCGCTCCTCATCCGAGTAAATGACCTGGAAAATGTATTGAAAAATGACAATTTGTCTGCGAACTATAGTCAAAGAATGAACAAGAAAACAATGTTCTGAATAAGTTAATTGGACAAGTCAACCAAAAAGAAACTACAAAACATGCCTGAAAGAATTAAGCCAGACAATGCATACACTGGAACATAATTAAAAAGATTAGAAGGGCAAGCGTACATACCCAGCTTGTGAGTTCTTTAACCACAAGCTTGCAAACATCACGAATCGCAACCAAAATTGCAAGGCAAGCACTAACATGAAAAGTATTTGAGGTGTTCTCATACAATCCCTTGAAAACCTGCACAAAAAATAAAACGTAAACAAAATCGCGAAACTTGAGAACATGCAATAACAGCCAAACACTTGAATCAATACATGGCACAACAACAGGGAAAAAGCAAACCTTTTGAGCAACAGCTAGGGCAGCCTCATCTCGACTTATGCAGCGAAGTATGATCTCGGGCACCTCAGCAATCACTCCCTGAGCATGTACAGAAGATGATAAAGGAAGAAAAGTCAGGAGCTGCCACTAAACACTACTAGATCATAATGTAGTTGTAGAAAGAAGACGATAATGTAGATTGAAGGCTTGTCTTATCATTTGGCCAAAATACTCGAGTAGAAAACAGGGATAAACAGAAGAAACCTGTAGCTCTGCTTCTTTGCCATCACCAGTGACCAACGCCTCCAACTAAAATCATTTAATAAGTGGGATTAATGTACATAAAAATGTTATTGTACTATAACAAATTCAATGAACCAAGAAAATTATGGATCCATGCCATCATAACCATTTGTTGCCCAAGCAATGACACAGGTGACAAGAAGCTGAAGCACTTAAGAGAAACAGACCTTTTGGGCAACGACTTGGTACTTATCCAGTGCATCTCTTGTACTTAGGGAAGGTTCAGTAACACTATTCCCCACACGCTCAGAAGCAGTGGATGACGAGATTGGCTGAGAGGAAGCACCAGGTTCCTTTACAAAACATGAAAAAATATTACTAACCATGCTCAAAACAAATACAGCATACAAAAACAAGTAAATATACAAACACTGGGTTGTTGTCTAACCTTCATACTGTCAGAAGAATCTATGAGAGGAGGTTCAGTAGCGGGACCAGCAACGGAAAATGAAGATGAAATGGCATTCTTTTCAGAATTTTGCCGCATAACAGCATCTGCTCCGATATTTATCGAGGACGAGCTGAATGACATCAAGGGAATAATAATAATAAATCAGTTATGTCTCAGAATGGGTAGTACAAGACCGGCCATACCATAAAATAAAATAAAAAGATACCTTGGCAACAGTGCTGGACTTGAGTCAAGTGCCTCAGAACCCAGATACAACGTCTGAGATGCTGCATCAAATCCCAGGCCACCAACACTCGACGAATATCCTGTGCTGAGTTGACCCGACAAAGATCCATATGAACTTGTCAAACCACTGGCGGCAAAAGCAGCAGAAGTTGAACTACCAGCAGCAATAGATTGTGAACCCTGGGAAGATTGATTTTGCCAAGGAAGCCGTACAAAGTCCTGAATCAACAAGAAAAACAACAAAGAAGACAGGCTTTCATTCCCTTTATCACCAGTATACACTGAAGGCCAGGGATCAGCCACTGCTAAATGTAACTACATGCAAATTGCAATTAAGTGAATACCTCATAAACTCGCTGCTGAGACAAGGATAAGTGGCCAGGCTTCGGACGGAGGGCTTCAGGTAGCACACCTAAGGAAGCCTGGGTATACATGTTCGTCTCAAATAATGTTTGGCCAACACTGTCTCTATGTTTCCTTCTCAACTGTAGCTGATGGGCTATTTCACCATTAATAGTTTGTATGGCCTTCAGCAAATGAGAGAAAGATAAGCATCAGAATTTGGCAGTCAATAGAACTGCATTATCACGACAAGCTCAGTCCCACCAAAAATACACAAAAAACCACCTGGCTAGATTAATCACTACAACACAAGAAAGTCCTCATCCAAATACATATATCCAACATGATAACCAGCTGATATTGATAAATGATTTTCAATTGCTCAATGTCCAGCGGATTACCCGCAAATGTGTGACCAGAAATGGATCACCAACATAACTCCTACAGAAGGGAATGAAAGGGAAGAGGAACAATTAAATCTTAAAAGCGGAACCTTCTCTGTAGCAGCTTGTTCAATCAGGGCACAGCCCAAATCAAGGTTATCATTGGTAGCAAGCAGCACGGCATGTTCAAGGAGCTCATTTGTGATGCTCAAACCATGAAGTGAACTCCTCAGTTGGTTTGATATCGAAGTACGTAGAGGTTCCTGAAAGAAAAATTAGCATAGCTGATGATCAATTCTCAGAAGTTGAAAGTACTGGACATTGACTAAACTAACAATTGAGTAATATATTTAGACTATGTGATGGCAAAACCTTGCAAGTGACATGAGCTAGGCTTCCAGCCAGGCTAGCAACCATCAGATGCGCCGCATGGTATATTCGTGTCTCATCCGTTTCCATGGCATAGTCCTGTTAACCAGCCAATCATTTATATTGAAAGAAAATGGCATTAAACAAGCTACAACCACAACCTAGGAGCATCTTGCAGTAGTAAAAGGACCAAGGCTGCATGTTTCTAAAAGATGATAGATGCAGGACGAAAGAAAAAAGACAAGACAGCATGTTACAGAAAGAACACAATGGGCATGTTCAAGTGGTAACCTTTAATACAAGCTCCTTCGTCGTCTGAGTAGCAATGGAAACACTACGCTGAACAATACTGGCTACAATGTCCTTGACGGCTCTTTCAATTGCATGTGGAACCACTCTAAACATGTGAATGAGATTAAATTAGTATATAATGCATTGTCCTTTAAACACCAAGTATGGAAATCATAACATGAACCCCACCTTTGAAAATGCAAATGTAGACTCCAGCCCTGAAGCTTCTGGTTAATGATAACATGTGGAGCAATGTTGGCCATCGACACAGCAGAAAGCTGCAAATAGTAAAATATCTTGTTAAACACTAAAACTAATTATCATTTTCATCGAAAAGAGCTGCAGAAAGCACAACTGGGACCTGATTAACAGCATAAAGAGACTGTGCAGGAGTAGCTTGGAACAGTGCTTGTCCAGAAGGAAGCTGGTCAGACAAACTCAACACAGCTAATTTCTCATCCTCCATCATTGTGCCAGAAGAAAGGAGGACCGGAGCTGGAAACTAGGAGCACCAAAATCAAGTAGTTCAAGCTAAAGGGAGCATATCTCCTAGAAACAAAAGAATAATATTAAACAGCCAAATGAACAAACCTGAGGGAGCAATGTAGAACTAGGAGGACTAGCAACCTCAAGAGGTAGCTCCCCAGGGTTCAATGGAGACATCATTCCAGATTTGACTTCCGGGACAATTTGCGATTGAGACGGTGCAACATCTTTATTAGAAAAATCAGGGTTACCTTCAATCTCCCTTTTCCTATCTTTCAGAAGTGAAGTAGGAGTTATGTCCTTCATGTCTACACTAAGGTTCTTAAATAGGACCTAGAATGTCAGTAAAAAGAGTTAGTAATTGACAACTAAGTATAACCTAAGGCACAAAAAGACATTTAAATTCGCAATGCATTTCACCTCTATGTCAAACTTGAGATTCATTTTCAAATTTGGCATTGAGTAAATCTCAGCAAGCAAGCCCAGGATTCCCATTGTCCAAGGGTTGGGGGGCTGATATGCCAGACTGCTTTGACATGGTTCAAGAACCTAGATCAATGGAAATAAAGAAGACATGAAAGTCGGAATCGCAGCAATCAAGAGCATCTACTAGTGTTGCTAGATGATTGTACCTTTGATGTGAATGGAATAACAGCAATCATTAAGCCTTTCTCATATGCCTGCCAAAGAAAAGAAAGCAGACATACATGATCCCCAAAGGTCATCGTTTTCAAACGTACTTAAAAGACAAATCAAAGTAGGCATGCAGCATGTAGCACATTTATACGATCAGCTACCTCTATGATTAGAGATTTTGGATCTATCTCACGGGCCCTTAAGACCTGGTTCCTGCCAATTGTCAATTTCCCAAGCCAACTTCCCAAGTTCTTTAGCAATGAACGCTCCTCTGAACTCGATTTTATAAGCTCTGATCCTAACAGAACCTGAAATTGCAAGCAGTTGACACAAATTATTGACATGACCCGACGAGAAGTCAATGCCCCATGTTTTGCGAAGCTTAAAATCGGACTAACCTTGCAATTTTCATATGTGGCTTGAACAATGTCCCTATTCAGAGCCTTTAGATTAATTTTGTCAAGAAACTTCAAGTACAAGTCATGGAAATTCGGCTCAATGCTAGCTCTGTTCAGATATAAACAGAAATAGAGTAAGGAAAACCAACGGGAAAACTATACTGAACAGCAAATCATGAGAATGGAAACATGATGCATATAGTACAATCTGAGATCCCAACCTTTTCATGACCATATACTGAGCAAACCAGGGATAATATTGTTCCGTCAGTACTTCACTGAATTCTCTACCTTTTACCTCAATATTGGCAGTAGAAATATTGTTAATAATGAATGATATTTTATCTTGAATTTCAGAAGCAGGAGCCTGCAAGCACAAAGCACCAGGTCAGTACCAGAATCACAAGAACATAGTGCTGGCAATAATACCTTCACCAAAGCAAACAAATCATACCCAGGTGACCATTCTAATTATCAGCTAATGACTATTCGCTAACCAGATATGGAAGATCTTAAATGCATTAAAGAATGTTAACCCAACTCAGACAAGACACAAGTTACAACCACACCGGACAGTCACGTGAAAACTCAGATTTAACAGGCCAGAAAACAAGCAACTTTTCAAATTTGAAGTCATCCACAAGATCAATTGGGATTGAGACATCCTGAAACCTCCAGTAACTTAGTTAATAGACTAGGCCACCTTGCCAATAGATTCAAAATCGTAAGAATTGTTACATGTCCAGACTGACAATATAGATGAGCACCATGCATCACATTCTCCCGATTCCCAAACGCACCCTTCACAATGTTGCAGACAAACTGAATATTGTACCTCTATTGGTGTTTCTCTTCTCTCAGCAGCTGTTACTAGTGTTTCAATGTTCAGTGCTGAGCCGAACCCTGCATTGTTGAATAGCTGTAAGAAACAGTGGTGCAGGAATATATACTGAAAAAACCAGATTTAAATGATAACAAAAAGAAAAATGATAATGATAAGAAAGATACTGGTAGAGGTGACACTACGAGAAGGACGCAGGAAACCAGTTGAAGAGGCCGGCATAGCCTGGGTGCTAGAAACACTCTGCAAACAAACTCCAATTATAAAACAGAACAAAAAACTTTGGAAACAACAGTATCCCAAGTACCAAATGCAAAGCATACTCTCTGAGCTGCAGACAAGTCGGCTAGGGAGCCAACAGAAGGTTGTCCTCCAGTAGATAATAGCGGTTTCGAGTCATTAGATGAGGCTACAGGTAATTTGTGGCGGTCATCGAGGCGACCTTCAAGCCTCTGGTGAATGTTTGTAGAAGAGGAGGATTGTGGTGAAGCTGCTGTGGCATTAACGGCATTTAACTGCATATATAGATAAAAGCAAAAGATCTGATGTCAGGTATCACTCAAGTGACCCGGAGAATGATGAGGTTTTCATGCTGCTCTCTAAACAAAGCTGATTAAATTATTAGGTTTTCAAGTGAACCTTGGAACTAACTAATCAAGGCAGCTCAAGGAGTTATACAACAAGCTTATCACAGCAAACACGAGTGGATTTGCATGAAATGCATGTGGGAAGAGCTGAATTATTCTTGATGAACCATGGGCATCCCCCCCACAGAAATCAAATTACTATTACTTCAGTTTTGGGGTTCAATCATTCAGACCCTCAAAATCAAGAAGAGGACTAATGAATCTATCACAAATAGGGGAGCCGTCATGGAAATCATTACCAGCACTTATCCGAAGATGCTTTTTACCCCAGAATATATAGCATAGAAAGAAAAACGAAAAAAATCCTTACCTCACCAGGTGTAGCTTGCGGTAAAACATGTTGATGAGTAGCAGAAGTATTACTACTTTCTGATTCCAAATTCCCAGATGAAATTCTGGCTAGAGCTCGTTCAATGAAAGCAACAAGTTCTGAATGGGCTCCACGAAGATGAGATATTTGCAAGATATGATTGCAATACTGCGGCCACTCAATCAAACGATCCACGAACTGTTCCAGTGCATTGGTGCCAAACACAAACATCTACAGGTAGCACTTCTCTGAGCCAGACTACACAACGAGGTATCAAAGGAAATTCAGTCAGCAAGAATAATACATACTTTAGAATCTGGAGGTTTCCGCAGGGCGTCTAGGACACCACGTAAGGCAATCCCGAGAGTCAAATGAGTAACAAGTTGGTGCTTGATAACCGAACCTGAAATGGAAAAGCGAACGGAGATCAGAATTCTACCACAAGTCCAGAACCACAACCAGAGAGATGGAACAGTATTCCCAATCGCAAGTGTTACAAAAGATGCAGGAACTCTCAAGGATAAAGTGAGATCAGATAATCAAAATAATTGAGGAAGTCTGCAGGCACAAACATAAGCAACAAACTGAAGCGAAAATGCCAAAAGTACCAGAAAAACAGAGCAAACGAGCTAAAGTAATTGCCTAAACACTTTCCAATAAGAAAAAACTATAAAAGAGTAAAATATAGAAGATGACCATCTACACAAATAATAAGTGACTCACCAAATAGAACAGCCGCAATTCTAAGCTGCCTTTCAGGATACTTGGGGAAGAACCTGTATTCCTCAAATAGATTGCCAATCATGCACTCAAAAATTGACTGTTCCCTGTTGATGATTGTTGCATTACAATTATAGATTACATACCCATAACAATAAGGCTATGAAATTGCTCAAAAGGCTGCAACAAACATAAACAACCTTGCAACAAAAAAGAGTTCGAACATCCCCCGCCAGCTACACACACTAAAAACTCAAAATAGCCTTTGTACATTCACTCCTAGGCAACAGACGTTACCGTTATCCAATGAAACCACCGTTTGGAAAAAGGCCATCCTCCTATCTACAGTGACTCAAACCTACTGTACTAATTCATCTTTTAAATTTTAGTACAATTTGAGAAGATTATGAATTCGACCAAAGATTTATTTAAAGCCATTTGTCTTACTCCAAATAGGCCAATTCAGGAGTGAAATGGGATTCAGAAGTGGTATAGAAGTCCCCATACTGACATTTAACAGAATGACAAAAGAACAATACCTCGCAAGAGATGATTCCTTGAATCTGGCAAGCATTTGAACCATTGCATCAATTGTCAACTCGCCAGAGAACATTTGATGGAAATAAGAGTTTGCCTCTGCCTCAACATCCTCTGAATATCCATCAGGGGCAGATAACTCAGCAGAGCCACCATTCTGCAGCCTAGGATTTGAATCCACAATTGTTGCCTCCAACTTTTCCACTTCCTCGGGAAGTTTGATATTGAGAATCAAGGGACTGTGAGCCTTAAGAGCCTACAATATCATATCTCAATTAAGGAAAATTCATCATACGGCAACAAATTCAAGAGGAAACTTGTAGATTTGAACCTTCAATATGGTGGAGATAGTATTGAAATCAAAATTCCCAGCAGCATTCCCATGATGAAAAGGTTTTCTAGAAAAATCTTGGGAAGCGCCAAGCTGAGATTCCTTTAGAAACTTGAGGCACTCCTGAGTTACACCATAGAGTATAAATTAGAACCAAAAATTTATCTATAGAGCTGAGCATTGACCCACTGTGGGCAACTGTAACAGCAACTAAATAAATTACCTCAAAAAATGAATCCTTGAATGTAACTAAATTACTAGTCAGCCAGCTCTCAAGGTCCAAAAACTCCTTTCGCGAAGCTAGGGCAGCCAGTCTTATGCCTACGCGGAAAGGAATCAACTCCAACAATGATGACAGGATCTATAATTGGAAGAAGAAAGAAAATGTGGGCATCAGTACAGGATCTACAAAAGGTAGAACCAAATAATGGAAGCATATGAATTAGTTAATAATATCTATGAAACAACTTCATGTCAAGTTGAATCCCTTTCAACATTTTCAAGAGAAACAAGTGATAGCATCATCAGTACAAGATTTTACATGTGACTGCTAGTCAGAAATAAAGTCTAGAATCCAAATATACTCGAGAATTGAAGATGTAAAATAAACAGTTACCTTAAGTTCCTGGGACAGATCTACAAGTTTGCCCATGATCTCTGGATCCTCATTTTGAACATCCACAAAGCCCCTAACAACAAGGCCAGGATTTACATGCCATAGGTACAGGATCATGCCAGCACAGCTGGAGCTTTTGACGATCACAGGGAATACGGTAAAAGACACCTCATATTGGAGCAGGTTATAGGCAGTCTGCATGCAAGTACAATTGATCAACCAAAAGGGATATCACCAGAACCAAAAGAAGAGACCATGAATTAGTCCAGGAGCTAACATTGACATGAGACATTCCCAAAAGTAAGATTTCTGGGCAGTGCTCAAGAGGATATTCCAGCAATGCTCGCACATAGCTGGCATGACCCTTCTCAGATAACTGACAAAGAACGTCTAAAAGGTCAAGACACAGCCATGCGTGATTGGCACATCCAGCTTGAAGCTTGTGACCATTAACTGCATCCATGTAAGCCTGCAACAAACAGCTGGTAAAGGTTACAACCCTGGCAGAAAATTCAGCAAGAATGCAAGAAGTAGCACAAAGAGACGGCTCCACCAGCTGCCTTCCAGAGTGAGCAAAAGTTAACACTTCAGGCGGTGCCAAAACTGCATATTTGAGAAGGGACAGCTGGCCCTCAGTATTCTTCCAGGGAGACCCACAGATAGCATGAAGAGGAAATGGATCCTAAACCAAACAGTAAGGAGAATTAGAGCGTGCAAAGAGAATAGATCGAAGGACAGGCTAACAAATACATATACCCATATATATACACATATCACTGAAAAACAAATACCTGGCATGCACATCCATAGACAGACATAAGAAAAGAAAAGGCCTCTTCATTTGGAACATAGAATCCCTCATGATCCAAGCCTTCAATTACTTTAATCCAGTTCGTATCTGGTGCCTGCATCCACAGCATAGAGTTAGCAACTGATGTAAGAATCTCATATAGTTTATATCTAATGAAGAGCACATGTGTAGATATGCACTCACCAGCTGGTTGATTGTTCTTACAAAGACTCCAACATTCCAGGAGCTGACAGTTGCTAGATCATTTGAAATATTGTAGCCCAGAGCAGTACTGAAGGTTGAAAATGTACTCTGGTTATCCTCCAGCCCAGCCTGGTTGCATACAATTTTTCCAAGAATCTTAGATATGGTAATCTCAATCAGTGGCTGAAAAAGGGTCAATATCTCTTGGCAATGTGTGGCATCCGACGTGCATCCATATCCTAATTCCTTCACAATATCTCCCACACTCATTTCCTTCTCCATATCAGCTAAAATTGCATCAAATTCACTTTCTTTGCTTTCATATAACCTGTCAATGGTTCTGCAGAAAACACACAGAACAAGCATAAGACTAAAAATAATCAGGAAGCAGAGAACAGCCGTGAAGTAGATGACACATTGTCAGGGAAACAAAGATGGGAAATAGAACCTTAAAAAGTTTGCTTCGCGTAATTCTTCTGAAAGTAGTGGAGATAAGACAAATGGTACAACATCTTTTGTTTGCAACAGTGATAGCATTTGCATAAATTGATCAACATGCTTCGAGAGACCCTCTGAACGCTGGAGGAACATAACGATTTTCTGGATCTGCTCCGTGGAGGTTATAGAAACAGGATCGGCACAGAGTTCCTCAATCAGAGACATGCAGAACTTTTTTGCTGCAAAGCGATAATTTTAAGAGCCATGCGACAAAGTATAACAGAACTTAAATTTATGAGAGGAAAAAGAAAGGTCATACAAAAGGTACTTCAAGCTTACGCACCATGCATCCTAGAATCAAGATTATCTGAATCAGACAAAGCAAGGCCAACACCAATCTTTTCATGTACAGTTAAGTGCAGGGCAGTAGATAGATTCTCCAGCAGTTCCTCACTTATATCTACACTACGTACAGACTGACAAAACACTGTAGAGAAATTTGGTGAGTCCATCAGAAACTTGAAAGTGGACTCAAGAACTGGTTCAAGATGGACGTTCTGCAGATCTGTCTTGCGAAAGTAAAGTTGTTCAAAGCATATCTGAAGCATTAGAATGCTTCCTTCAACACCATAATCACTGAACTGCCATGAAAGAAACCATAGGAGAGCAAATTAGTCAGAAGAATAAAGCCCTGAAACTTTTTTCGCCAAACAGAGAGAAACCACCTTAATTAACCATTGGGTAAATCAACATTTCACCAGGAACAAGAAAAAAAGGATATCAACAAAAAAAATAGGTTCACGAATGAACTGCAATTCCATGCCCCCCAAGCTGAATGGGAGTGTACAACCAAGTAATTCAATTCATTGTGAAGATCAGATGAACCTTTCATTACCATAACAACGTGCAAGAATTACAACGAAATTATAATGCTCACTGAACCGAAAGGGACAAACAACTCCGAGAAGTTCATATATCTCTGCTCGAGAGAGAAGAAAGGCAAGACGTGAACATACCCCCAGGATTGATATCGATCTTAGCCCGAAGTAAACAAACTCGGTAAATAACTAGCGGGAATGGGAAAAAGAACCCTCTAGGGTTTGCATATGTACGAATTGCACAGTGAATCAAGGATGAGTGCAGGAATTAGGATCGGGGAGAGGACTTGAGAGCAGAAGAAGTGAGGCCTGGAGTGCATAGGGAGGTACCTGACATAGCTCCCGGAAAACAAAGTCGACGTTCGTTCCATTCAAGCTCTGCAACAAGGACCGAATCTGGTTGGGAACGGTAGGAGATAACTTAGGCATCGAGGACGAACTGGGAAGGCAACCAAAGATTCCGCTAGGGTCTCTTGCTGGAAGCGGCGAAATGCGGGAGAATGGGGTTACGATGGGGAGGGTTTCGAAGATTTTGCCGATACGAAGAGCTGTGAGCGATAGAGACGGACAGAGACTGGATACAAGAGAGATTTTCTTCTATTTCTCACTGCGGAACAACGAGTGACTTCCCTTTCTTCATTGGGCTTTTAAAATTTTCGTTTCTCGCCTTCTCGGCAGTGGTGCGGGAGGGCATGAGATTAGTTGCTAACTTCTAAGGGGTGCAAGAGGGATGTTAACGAAGAGTCGAGTCGAGTCGAGCTAAGCTTAATTTTGTCATAGATTGGGTTCGGCTCATTAAAATATTTCCAATTTGAGTTTGGCTCGAGTTCGTCGCGATTTTTATATACAAGGTCGAGTTCGGCTCGTTTATGAAAATGAAATCTCGAGTTCGGCTCGCCAAATAAATTTTAACGAGTCCAAATTTGAGTTCAACTCTTAAAATGTTCATATTAGCTCAAAATTCAGCTACAACTGAGCACAAAATTACAACATGTAGAAAAGTCTCTAACGAAACAAAACACAATATTTATCGCAATTTTAATACATAAAGTCCATGAATTTCAATTCTTTATGATGTCAAACCGTTAAAAGAGCTTGTTCGCGAGCTTTCGAGTTGAACATGGTATCGTTCAAATTCGGCTCGTTTAATTAACGAGCTTGTTCGTGATCCAGCTCGATTAAGACGAATCGAGTGTCTGACAACACCTAAATTAGTGTTATTTAACCCTCATATCAAGGTTTGTTTTTATGTCAATTCATGAGTATAATTGTTCGAACATTGTCGATTACTTCCCTATTTCGTTCCTATGTGAATTCGATGTGATTTTAGGGTGTATTAGACGATATGTACGAATTAGGTGCAAAACAAGGTCACAAGTGTAGCAAGGGGGCAGGAAGCTGAAGATCGTGGCCTAGAAACTAAAGATCACGGGCGGGAACATAGACCGTGAGCTCAAGCTGAAGATCGCGACCAGGAAGCCCCAGATTGCGTCCACGTATTGGAGGGCTCAAGGCACAAAATTTGCGAGGAAGATCGTGCACGCAACTCGTGGATCGCTATCGTGAAGTCAGCCCGCGATCTCCTCATTTCTGAAGGCCAGGACGACAACGTTTCAAAATTGCAGCCTCGCTTCCGAAGATCACGACCGCAATCTCTGTGCTTCTGGCCGCGAACTTCTTCGTCCCCAGATTGCCTATAAATAGAAGACTTATTTTTCCCTTTTAGAATAGCTGATTTTGAGAGAAATTTATGATATTATAGAGAGAGAAAATAGAGAACCTGAAGGAAGGAGAAGGAACTAGAAGAGAGGGAGCATCATCCTCAACCCAAGCCTTATTCAATTTCTTCTATGTTTCTTCTTCTCTCCTTTATGGAGTAGTCCTCTAAGATACTAGGGGTTCTAAACCTCCAACCCTAGTTTTAGGGTTTATTATGTATGTATGAATATTTTAGGGTTTGAATTAATGAATGTGTTTATCTAGTTGATTCTATTGTTATTCTATCCTTGTTTCTATTTGGGTAAGTCTCCCTAATCTTCTCTATTAGCCTACTTTATGTTTCTACGCTGGGTATAGAGTTCTAGGGTTAGACGGGTATGCGTCATCAAGCAAATCGAGATAGATGTATGAATAGGGACCTATGGTGGTCGAGGTGACCGAACCCCTGTCGTAGGTTAGCCTTACTAGATAGAACTCGGGATGAAACCTTGGTGTGGACGATGGATAGTATCCATTGAAATTAGCCATGAGCTTAATGCCCCAGATACAATAGCCTAGATCGAGGTGACTATATATGGGTTTAGGGGAGGCGTACTCGGAGGCGTGTGGATAACCAAGAAAGCCCACGAAAAAGAGCTCACTCACCACATTCGATAAGCCTATGTATTTATGCATGTGTACTAACCTAAGCTAGGGGGAGGATTAGTTCCTCGAAGTACCTGCTTTTAACTTTGATCAATCTCTAATCTAGTTATCTCCTCAAGTCCTCCACTCAAACCTCCAAAACCGATTATCTAATTAGCAACTAAGTGGGAAGTAGGCTGGGGTACCAGCACCCAAATAAATTACGACTTTGATCACCACTATACGATAATGTCATCTTAAGTTAAACTTGGCTTAGGATGGGGTAGTTGTTGACACGTGAAAACCATTGACAATAATCTGCATGGATTGAATCGATCAATGTCGAACAAGTTTTTCTCGAGTCGGACGTTGAGTCGTTCATGAGCGATTTGGTTCATTAACAGCTTACCGTGCAAATAATTTCGCTATGGTTCTCATAGCGATTTTTGTGAGTACGTACTCACACGGTCAGGATTGAACCATGTCACACAAGCCGAGAATTGAGGGTTGGGGAGTTGGCTGGAGGATGGGCTTGGGAATGGGGAGGAGTTGAGGAAACAAAGTTGGCTGAGCGACTTAGATGAGAGAAGCGGGCCCACCAAGTAAAAGAGAGGAAATTCAAACTCTCCAATAGTCCCGTCCAACAGACCCCTCCTTCTTTCTCCTTTTTTTCTTCTAACTCTCTTCATCTTTCTCTCTTCATCTTTCTTCTTTTTCTCTTTTCTTACCTTCCCCCAACCCATAGCTGCCCAGCCTAAAAACCCCTATTCTCTAATGAGAAACGCGGAAGGTTTAATCATGGAAGGCGACGACGACAGGCTAAGCTTCGATGACCAACCATTTCGACTACCCAGGCTTCGACGAGGAAGAGTTGGACTAGGAAGTTTATGACAAGTAGTGCTTTCGATTTCGACCTTTGAGTTCTGCCTATTCGACCGAAGAACGATCGATTATCACCACGAGGAAGAATCTGCCACTATATTTAACTTTCATGTGGGGCTCTTTCCCTTTGATTGATGTTTCATCCTTCTTGTGTCTTGTTTAGGGTTTCGAGAATACGACTTTGGGTATGGTGGTAAGAGTTACTGTTTGGGAATACGAGTCAAAATGAAGTGTCTTATTCACAATACTAGTTTGTGTTCTATTGATGATATAGTTTATGTAATACCGGCCTAGGTTTTGAGAATATGTGTCCGTTTTTTTAGAATATGAGTTTGATTCGTTGGGAATACTAGTTCGTTGTTTGTGGAAGACTATTGCTATTATTTGAAGTTGAATACTAGGTAATACTATGGACCTTGAGAATATGACTTTGAAGAATTGTGAATACTAGTCTGTTTTTTGAGGATATGGGTATTGATTCATTGTCAAACTAGTATGCTTTTTTATAATATGAGTATCGATTTATTGTCAATACTAGTTTATTGTTGATAAAGTTTAAGTCATACTAGTCTTGTGGTTTGAGAATACAAATGAGACATTGTGAATGCAAGTTCTGTGTTTTGAGAATACGACTTTGGTTCATTGTGAATACAAGTTTTCTATTGTGAGAATATGAGTAATGCTTCATGTCTATTTTTTAGGCCTTTGGAATAATGGGTCGTACTAAAAAAAGGTTGTCAAACGTAAGAGTCCAGAGCTAGTTACTAATGTTGAAATTGTTGCCATTGAGGCTACTATTAATGAGGCTATTGCTCTTAAAGCTGTTGCTGCTGAAGGTGATACTACTGAGGCTTCTGCTGCTACGGGTAACAAACCACAAGCAGGAAGGAAAGTATATAACACTCAACATCGTTGCCATCCATCAACAATATTGGGTGTTGGAAAGTTCTGAAGCATGATCCGAATTATTATTAGGCAAGTCGCAAGAAAGTGCAGGAGGCTGGATTTGATGGCTTGTTGGAGATAAGGATGAGTGGATTTGAGAAGGTGTTGTTGTCCACACAGGTAAAACACTATGACCCTCCTTTCAGTACCTTCATTTTTGGAGTGGGAGCAAAGAACAAGGTTTTTATCCTGGAAAGACGAGGACATGGCTCTTGTATACGGGCCTACTCAAACCGGGGAGGAAGTAGTGTTGGGAAAATGCGAGGACAAAGAGATGTTGATTCAAAGTAAAATGACGCAACGACAACCGTTTTGTGAAGAAATTAGGCGGCCACGACGTCATTCTAGGAGAGTCGTCCACTTTATCAAGAATTTATCCCAGAGTATATTGATCCATTAACAACGTGTTTAGAGTGCTCTGATTGGCCGAATGATGCATAAAGGGTGAGTTTTCCTCCTCAGAAAGTCGAATCAAAGATCTATAAATAGGGCTCTAGAGGTAGAGTTCAGAGAGGGAGACGAGAGGTCAAGGAAGAGTCATTACTTTGCCAACAGAGCAACCCTCCCGACTTAGAACAAGACCACCCTAAGAGGAAGAATCGACGGCAAAAATGGTGCCTATGGCCTGTGTTCTCTGTTTCAGCCGACAATTACCGTGGCTTCTTGGTGTCTTTGTTTCCACAGATGAACATCTAGGAATCCCTCCCTATGTCAGGCTAAGTACCTTAGTTGCATAGGTATGTGAACCCTAGGGGCTATAACCATGTAAGCTTGATTATTTGGTTTAATACGATTGTTTGATTTTCATATGCGTGATGCTTGATTTCCTCTATTTCGTTGTTTGTTGATTTGAATGATTGCATAGTCGATCTTTCACTCCTTCGAGGTGCAAGGATTGAAATTCTATTCTTTTAGGATGGGCTTAGAAATAGCAGTCCTACTCGATCGAACATCATTCAATCGAATGGCATGATGCCTCAAGGCAAGGGAGAAATTCGAAGGGTCCTTGTCTCCCATTAGTTTGGGTAAATGCTTCGACACAAGGTGGGATCTAACAAAACAAGAAATCTGCAGCTCGTATGCTACGATCATCGAGGGCGTGTGCTTAGGAGACCAAGGGGGAACATCTAGGAATCCCTCCCCATGGTAGGCTAAGTACCTTAGTTTCATAGGTATGTGAACCCTAGGGGTTATAACAATGTAAGCTTGATGATTTGGTTTAATACGATTGTTTGATTTTCATATGTGTGATGCATGATTTCCTCTATTTCGTTGTTTGCTGACTTGAATGATTGCTTAGTTGGTCTTTCTCGCCATCGAGGTGCAAGGATTGACATTCTATCCGTTTAGGATGGGCCTAGAAATAGCAATCCTACTCGATCGAACCTCATTCGATCAAATGGCGTGATGCCTCAAGAGGGAAATCTGAAGGTTCCTTGTCTCCCATTAGTTTGGGTAAATGCTTTGACACAATGTGGGATCTAACAAAATAAGAAATCGATAGTTCGTATGCTACGATCATCGAGGGCATGTCCTTAGGAGGCCTAGGGGGAACATTGCCTATGCAACGTTTTCCTTCTCTACTCTCTCAATTCTCTAGTAGCTTAGGATTTACTTTTCTGTATCGCTTTACTTTCTGAACTCTTATGTTCTACAAAACTGGAGGAACCACAACCTCCCAAATCAACCTCTTCTTCTATAGAGCAGTACCTTGCATATAAAGGAAGGGTTTTGTGAGAGGACCGAGTGAATAGGGTCTTGGCATTAGGGCGAGGTAAATTTGGTAGCGGCACTATAGTCGACAACAAATTTTTGCGTCATTGTCGGGGACATCTCGCAAACTTCGAAAAAGGAAAATGGGTAAGATTTTATTCCTTTTTTGTACGTGTTTATTTTTTAGTTTTGAGTCAGCAATAGTCTTGGTAGAACCGGCGGCCGAAGCGCGAATTTTTCTCCATAAAACGGCTGCTAGAGCTCTGATTCTTCCTTGGTGTTTTTATTTCATTTTTCTTTAATTTTCTTTTCGTGTTTTGTTTTTGTGTTCTCTATGTGTGTGGCTATTTTCCGAGGACCAAGCACAGTGATCCCAAAAATGGTGGTCGGCCTCTCTTCTGTGCATGAACCCTTACAAACCAGGGCCAAAGTAAAAAAGCTTCTTAAATGAAGTCCTTAAATGAAATGGTGCACTTCTGTCCGAAACCTTGATAATCTCCCCCAGACCATGAAGTCCTTAAATGAAAAGGTGCACTTGTGTCTGAAATCACGGTCTGAGCTTCCAGATCATGACCGTGATCTGAGACCGTGAAGTGCGCGCGATCTGGGTATAAAAGAAGGATGAAGCGGAAACTTTGAGGGAGAGTCGAGTGAGAGATTGTCGTCTTCTCAAATTTTTGAGAGATATGTCATAGATTGTATGGATTAAGCGCTATGTGTGTGGGTTTGTGTTTAATGCAAAGTTTGAGGTATTTTCAGAATTCTTGAGTTGTGTTCTTCATTTCTTATTATCATGCCAATTTGATCTAGGTGGAGAGAAACCCCCTTGTTGGCTAGAGGCTTTGTGAAGCAGGGCTTTTTGGCCATTTGTGTCACCTACGTAGGGAAATTTAGGACAAGCCTCAAGGTTCGATTTAACACTTTGATTTGGTTGTTATTTTGTCGTTCGAATTAAGTTTAGCAACCCTTGGTTCAGCAGCCAAGAGAACTAGTATCTTTACTAGTTGCGCTCTCCTCATGGTGTATGAGCACATTCCTACACATTGGCATTCTATTCGGTCGATCTTGATATATAGCTACGAGGAGCAATACACGGGTGAAACTTTCTCATATAGATTCTAAAACCATTTACCTTCTTGCTTATTTCAAATTGTAGACCTTACGTTTCACTAAAAACCGATTGGTAGATAATATTTTAAATGGTTGAATTAGGAGTACATGGACCGACCTGGGTTGACATTTTAAAATGCTTACCCTATATTACACCCTACTAGAGTTTTTACTTGGCCTGTAGTCTGGATTTTATTGTGGTAGTTGGAGTGAGTCAAGTTTTTGGCGTTGTTGCGGTGGAAAGGTTATTGTCTATTATTAAGAAAAAGTCATTTGGTGTTAATCTAGTCTTTAATTTTTGCATTATTGATTGTGAATCTTGCTTGCCTTGGCTTGAGTTATGTTTCGTGAAGTGTGTGCAGGAGGTGTATGACCCGAAGTGATCCAACACCTTTGGAGCCACTTGACGAAAACATCAACCGAATTCTCAAACTCTTGGCTCAGGAGAGGGAGTAGTGGGAATCAAGGGAAGCATTGGTGAATCGGGGACAACCACACGTTGATCCTGACGAAGAAGTTGAAGTTGGAATAGAGGAGGAATTTGAATCGGAAGAAGTTGATTTTGAGATGGCAGATAATCAACATGGCCACGAAGAGAATGAAGAACCGAGGACCATGGGCTACTACATGGCTCCACGGGCGGTGGATATCCAACCAAGTATCTTGCATCCACCTGTGGCCGCCAACAATTTCGAGATTACGCCCTCCCTTGTTACAATGATCCACAACAACATTCAGTTCCATGGACTTAAGGATGAGTCCCCAATGAAGCATGTCTAGAGATTCCTTGAGAGAGCGGGAAGTTTGAAGATCGATGGGGTATCCAAAGAGGCTCTTAAGCTGAGGCTTTTCCCCTACTCTCTTGTGGGGAAAGCGCTCCAATGGCTCAACAATAGGCCACCCCCTTGATTACCTCATGGGGCAACTTTCTCAACAAATTCATGACCCGATATTGTCCACCTTCCAAGATGGCGGAATGACATAAGAAGATTACTCACTTCGCCCAAAAGGAGGAAAAGACTATGAGGGATGCACGAGAGAGGTACTCTGACTTTTTCCTCCAATGTCCACATCGCGGGTTTGGAGAGAAGTTCCAGATTGAAACCTTCTACGACGATCTTCATCGAGAAGATAAGATTCTTATTGACTCTTTGTGTCAAGGGAACCTGATGAACAAGACCCCACCCGAGATGACCACTTTGTTTGAGGATATGGCGACAAAGGGGTATGATTAGTGTTTGACGAGACGTGGTAGAAGGAAAGTCGGTAATGGAGTGCACTCCACGGAGGTCAATACTTCGCTCGCCAAAAAGATTGATGAGTCGATATCAACGCTTCTATAAGATAAGAAGCAACGCAAGAGGTCGTTGATGGCGTGTGACTTGCAAACATATCTGGGGGGGATTAAATATATGACGGGGTTACCCGATATTGTAATAATCCTTGATCAACAAGATTTTTTTGATTTCTTTCATCTATTCCATGATCGAAACGTGGGAGGATACAACACCTTGTTCTTGCTGCGTCTGGATTTCAAACGGTTTAGAAGCAAAAGCGATTCCCGTAGTAGTGGCGAGCATAATGGGAGCAGCCTAAACCGTGGACCTTTTCATTTTTATCATATTGAAAAACTAATAAGAATGAGGGGTGTTAAGCTTTTTATCATCCTGGCGTCGAGGATCCACACAAGGAAAAGCACTTGCCATTCGTTGGTTATTAGGGCGCTCTTAGTTCAGTTCGCTAGAACGTGGGTCTCCAAAATCCAATGTCGTAGGTTCAAATTTTCTCAATCTTTTCGACCTCTTGGTTCCGTAGGAACAAGTCCCCCAGATATCGTCATTGCTTCTTCTTTGGGAAAAGAAGTTCACGTTGGATCTTATTGATAATACAGAGAATGGGTCTCTCATCTTGATAGAGATGTGCCAATGATTCGTTATTGGAGCAAATAGCAACAACCACCATTTCATCTGACATACAGAAAAAAATTCCACGATTGAACTACCAAAATAAAATAGAATTGGAGTGGGCTAAAAAAAATATGAGACCTACTTTATGCCGATACGAACTCAATTTATTTTTACGGGATAGAAAAGGAAACCCAAAGATCCGAGATCTCTTATTGAATTGCTCATTCAATGAGCATTCTCAATATTATGCCTACCAACGTGTTACATAAGGCAAATATTGTATAATTGTTCGGTTTTCCCCAATTTTTTCCATTCCTCTGTGTAAATAACCTAATATCGGTTCATAGTTAGTGTTCAAGTCCCAAGCACGGCATTGTAGAGTGCCAATTGATGAAACAAGCAAGCACTCTGGAAGAGCAAGTGAGTTTCATCGCCAATTCTAGGGGGACCAACAACAATAACTCATATAGCAACACTTACAATCCGGGTTGGAGCAACCATCCCAACTTGTCATGGTCTTCCCCAAACAATCTAAGACCTCCTGGTTTCCAAGGACCAACACTATCAACCAAGGGTTCTTTTCATTCAAAAAGGCCACAATTTCAAGGCTCGAACTTCCGACAAAAAATAATTTCAACCGCAAAGTGGTCAAAGGTTCCAACAACAACAACTCGAAAAGTTCACAAAACTAGAAGACGTAGCCACCACCTTTGTGAGTACAAGTTCTCAGAAGTTCAAGAAGATTGAGCAATTCATGGAGGTAGAGACAAACCATTTTACTTCGGTTGAGGCGGGTCTAAGAATTCATTAAACTAATCTTTAAAACTTGGAGACCCAAATCAACAATCTTGCCCGAATCCTCAACGAAAGACCTAGAGGAGCCCTACATTCCCAAACTATTGTCAACCCCAAGGATCAAAATGTTTGGTTGAATTCTATTCTCTTGAGGAGCGGGAAGGTAACTTAACTCCAGAAGTTGTTGCTAAGGAGACAATTGAAGAGAAGGAAGCCCCTCCAAAGGTCGATGAACTAGAGCTCTCATAAGAAGAGGGTGGAGAGGCTAAGAAGGCACCACCAACGCCACCTCTAGTGGCTGAGTACAAGTCGTGGCTGAGTACAAGTCTCCTCTCCCTTTCCCTACCAGGGTGCACAAGGACCGTTTGAAGGTGGAATGCGACAAATTTATGGAGATGCTCAATATCTCAATTCCTTTCTTGGAAGCGATGGCGTACATGCCAAAGTATGCCAAGTATCTCAAAGGGCTTCTTGCGAAGAAGCGAAAGCATGAAGACCTCACCACGGTTACCTTGGGCAAGGAGTGCTCGGCCTTCATCCAGACAAGTTTCCTAAAAAGCAACAAGATCCAGGTAGCTTCACTATCCCTCTAGAACAAGTTTCTTAAAAAGCAACAAGATCCAGGTAGCTTCACTATCCCTCTTTGCATTGGAACATTGCACTTCCAGCCTGTCGATAGAGCAACCTTCCTGACTTAGAACGAGACTACCCTAAGAGGGAGAATTGGCAGCAAAAATGGGGCCCAAGGGCCAAACTTTTATGTTCCATGCGCCAATTCTTGTGGCCCATAGTGTCTTTGTTTCCACAGATGAGCATCTAGGAATCCCTCCCCATGGATGGCTAAGTTCCTTAGTTGCGTAGGTGTGTGAACCCTAGAGGTCCTAACCATTTAAACTCAATGATTTGGTTTAATATGATTATTTTATTTTCATATGTGTGATGATTGATTTCCTCTATTTTGTTATTTATTGATTCGAATGATTGCTTACTCAATCTTGCACTCCTTGTAGGTGCAAGGATCAAAATCTTAGTCGTTTAGGATGAGTCTAGAAATAACAGTCCTACTAGATCGAACCTCATTCGATCAAACGGTGTGAAGCCTCAAGGGATAAATCTGAAGGGTCCATGTCCCCCATTAGTTCAGGTAAATGCTTTGACACAAGGTGTAATCTAACGAAATAAGAAATCGACAACTGGTATGCTCTGATCATTGAGGGCGCATGGTTAGGAGACGTAGGGGAAATATTGCCTATGCAACGCTTTCCTTCTATGCTCTCTCACTTCTCCAGTAGCTTAGGATTTGCTTTTATGCACCACTTAACTTTAAGAACTCTTATGTACTGCAAAACCGGAGGAACCTCAAACCCCTAAATCGACCTCTTCTTCAATAGAACCGTAACTCGTTTACGAAGTAAGGGTTATGCGAGAGGCCTTAGGGATTACGATCCTAGATTTGGGGCCAGGTAAATTTGGTAGCGACACTACATTCGACATCAAACTTCGAATGCCTTTGGTGGGGAAATCTATCTTTCCTCATATGCACCTAAACCCAATCACTAGGTTTGAATCTTGATAGACCATTGATTGCACATGTTTTTACCCCTATTCTTGATCCGTTTGAGATGTTGATTCTCGTGTTTTAAGCCGATTTCACGCTAGGTTGTGCATTTATGTCATATTTCAGGGCTTAGCGTTGGCATCGAGGCGAAGAAACGAGTTTCAGGTCAAAAGGAGCATGTTTGGGTTGAAGTGTGATGGAGGAGCAAAAATACCCGACCATGAGCAGAAATACCCGGCCGAGTATTATTTGGAGCAGACTAGGGAAAATGTGTTTTGGGCGTCTGAGAAGCAGAAGGGGGCCCGAGCAGTAAGCAGAAATCCCCGGTCGGGTATTCTTGACCCTGACCGGGGATTAACCCCTGTTCCCCGACGGTGCGTTTTGAAGATACCCGATCTCCACCTAAAATACCCTACCGGGTATTCAGGCCGGGGATCACGATAGACAGCTTCTTAAGGGAAAAGAAGGGCAAAAGTGAAGGGTTCCGAGTTTTAGAGAGAAAAGGCAATACCTAGAGAGAGAAAGTGACGAACCTGATTCTGCAAGTGTCCTTGATCGATCTCCATCACCATTGGAGCCCGACTTGAGCTTGGAGAAGAGTTGATTGAGTGCCAGAAGCAGATTCTCATCCTTCACAGTATGGTTTCCGCATCTGAACTAGATTTCCCATCTCTCTCTATGGAGTAACTTTCTTATTCACCTGGGTATGAAGAACCCTAGATTTGTATGTTAGGTCTGATTGTATGAACCCAAGTACAGATTCAGTGGTATGATTATGTTCAATTGAGGTTTGATTTGTCGAATGGCATGAATCCTGATCAAATTCCTGTTGTTTCTGCTTTAACCTAGAAAGAGAATATCTGCCTAGGTTGATAGAGCACCCTTGATTGAAGGTAGTGAATTGGCGACTTTAGTCGAGGAGTCAATTCACTATTCTGTACCGAATTTACTTCGGTAGTGGAGGTTTGGTTCGTTAGGGCCTCAATCTGTTTACTCCGCTGGAGACTCAGATTGAGAGGGTCTGGAGACCTTTAGTCGAGACTGCAGACTGTTTAAGAACCTCCCGCAGTATAACTATCATTGAAATTGAACTTGGTAAATTACAATCCTGCTTAACTGCAGTCTAGGGGGAACCCTATTTGGGTGACCTCTCTCGACTTGAAAACAAACTTTTAACTGCTTTGCTTGTTTGCTTGTTTGGATCTTCACTAAAGTTTCACTGCTAAATAATAAGAACTCACGGAGTAGTCATCACACTTAGGACCCGGGTTGACATTAAAACCCAAACCCGCTATACTACGCTTTAAGAGGTGGTTACACTTGGTCATTTTCTAGAGTGACGGTAGAAGCTAGTCAAATCTCTGAAATTTCCTATGCTTGTTGACATTCTTCAAGATATGTGACTCGCCACGGATTACACCGTGGATTATGAACTTGACTAGATCCCAAGTATAAACTCTAGCCAGGTGCAGTATAGGGAAAGTATGTTTTAATTGTCAAACACTCAAACCCGGTCGGTCCACATATCCTACTTCAATCGCTTAAGTTGTTATCTAACAAACGATTTTGGGTTTAAGAAACTAGGAAAATTACAAAATAAACAAACAAGTAAAGTAAGTCGAGTTTGACCCAATAAGAGAAGAATTCACCCTGGTATTGCTCCCCCTAGTCTCGTGTTAAGAACCAGTGAATGAAACCCAAGTGTGAGGGATGTTTTCCTATACCTTGAGACGGGCACAACTAGCTAGGAACCCTAACTCTCTTAGTTGACCAATTAAGGATTGTTGCATTAATTTAGTATACTAAGTCTCTTAACCTTTCGACTAAGGATGACAATAATAGGCTAGGCAATCTAGCCCTCTTAACTTATCAACTAAAGTGTGCAACTCAACTCTCGAAAGTTAATCCGGACGATGAAGAGCGACCAATCATAAAATAATCATGGTACCACTATGATACTTGAGGTTTTGGCGATAGATCAACCCAAAGGGGGTTACCCAAGTGGCTAGGAGATCAAGCTCCCTATGGGCCAAATGGGGATTTTCACCTTCTAGGTTAATTTGACCCAATAATGAGATAATGCAAGCAACGCTCAATTATTTATGATTAATACCTTAAATATGATATAAAACACACAATTAACACAATAGAATCATGTTCTTACATCCTAACACACATCTAGACTAGGGTTCACAATACCCAAGTGAAGAGGAACTCTACTCCATAGCTAGGCAAAGGAAAACAACAAAGATGAAAGAAAGAACCATGGCGGATGCTTGTCTTCCCTCCTTGTTGATGAGAATTCTCTTGAGAGGTGAGAATCTTCATTCTTCTAGCTTGAAGAAAGCTCAAATCTTCTTCCTCTCTCCTTGTTTATCACTTTCTCTCTCTAGATTTTGAAGAAGACCTTTCTCTCACTAGGGTTTCCCCTTGGAGTTTCTCTAGTTGGAACCCTAGAAGGGAACCAAAAAATGTAAAATCAACCCAAGATCCAACCTTCTTCTCTCTCTCCTAGCAACCTTTTATTTATAAAGCCTGACAGTCACTTTCACGGTCTGCACTTCATGGCCGTGACATTGAAGCTCAAACCGTGACATCAGACAAAAACGCAGCTCATTGGTGTTGTTTTGGTCTGACATCATGATCACTGGACATTTATCACAGTCAGGCGACCGTGATAATCTTCAAGCCCGTGAGACGCCAAAATTCTTCTATTTTCGGCAAACTTCACGCCCGTCATACAATTGTCACGGTCTCATTTCTTCACTTTTTGGCGCTTTTCGACTTCCAATCGTCCCAAAACTCGTCCTCGATCTTCTGCACGTGCTAGGACCTGAAATATAACAAAAGAAGCACAACCTAGCGTAAAATAGGTCGAGGGACGATGATTCAAAAAGTCAAACAAACAAGAAATGAGAGGTAAAATATGTGTAATTAGCCACAAATCAATATGTTCAGTGCATCTTTCGATGTTCAACCTTGCCTTCTCAACAAATTCTTCACAAATTCTGCCTTGTTACACCATCTAAGTTCACCCGTTCATTAGTAGGTAACGGAGTTAAATCCAAAGGAGTCAAAGGATTAAAACCATACACGAGTTCAATATGTGAAAACTTAGTAGTACAATGAATAGCCATATTATATGCAAATTCTACATGAGGTATACATTCTTCCCAAGTCTTAATAGTACTCTTATTGATAACCTTAAGCATTTGAGACAATGTTCTATTAACTACTTCAGTTTAACCATCAGTTTGCGTATGACAAGTAGAAGAAACAGTAATTTAGTCTCAAGCTTACCCCATAACGATTTCCAAAAGTAACTTAAGAACTTAGCATCACGATCAGACACAATAGTACGAGGCATTCCACGCAATTTAACAATTTCTCTAAAGAACAATTAAGCTACATGAGATGCATCATCAGTTATATGACATGGTATGAAATGTGTCATTTTCGAAAACATATCAACCACCACACATATTCGTTTAGGGCAATCCCAACACATAATCTATAGAAATATCAATCCAATGAGTAGTAGAGATAGGAAGTAGAGATAGTATGTCTATAGTTATAGAATACATAAAATTAAATATTTTAATAATTAACTAATATTTTAATAATAAACTAATATGTAAATATTAGTTTTATACTGTCCACGTCCCATAAATTAAACATAATGGTTAGATAAGAATAAAATTTTTTGTACAAGCAAAAGAATGTAAAATTCAAATCACAAAAAAAAATCAAAACGATTCGATTTCGGGTTCACTCGAACCGAACCAAACCCGCCAGCATAAATTTCGGGTTCCAGTAACCGAAACCCACAAAGTACAGTTCGGGTTCGGTTTCGGGTCGTGTGGCTCGGGTTCGGGTTTTCGGGTTTTCACGGGTTTCGGGTTCGGTTACCCGACCCGAACCGACAGGCCTACTTGAGATTGGAGATAGAGGGGATAAAAAGTTGGTTTTACAACGAATAGTGGTGGCTATTGGTCTTTAGGTTTATGGTTGTGCAGCTACCACAACCTATGTCTATCTTAAAATGAGGAATCATTTATTGATTTATTAAAATTAAGGTCGACTCTCTATTCAAACTAATGGGAGATAAGTAGTGTCTAATTTTGTGTCTTATTAGTTTGATCGAGTCATTAGTATATTGGAGGTAACCTTCATTTTGTCATTTGCGCTCAACTTTTGATGATTCCCTTTTAGTTGAGTTGTTAGTATATGGTTGACTTGAATCAACAACGCTTCATTTCTTTTTAATTAGTGGCATGTGGTTCCTAAAAGGAGAGCATTGAACCCTTTTATGTAGGATTATGATATTTTAGTTTTCAATTATCTATGGGTCGTGTGGGAATTCCAACGAGCTTTTATACTCTATATTTACTGACAATTAATTAACCAATAGCATTTTAACGGGAGCTTAACTATAATTATGAAATTGGATTAATGATACATTTTTGTATTTTATATACTTAAATGCTGATGGTATTTCTTCAAATATTCAACCTATACATTCATTGTTTATGTATCAGCTCGATCGAAAGGATTGTTAATAAAATTAAACGGATTAATAAAGTTAAACATACCATAAGATATAAATACTCAAATACAAACATTCTGGCCAACGGGTCGGGTTATAAGCTAGTTGTTTATAAGGTATTGGTTCTCTAACGATTTTTAAATGGCTCAATATCAATTGGATCACTAAAGTACGAGCCGTTTACAATATCGGATTATGCTCTGGTTCAGTTTTGACAACATTGGTTAAGAGTTTAGACAAACCCACCTCAATCCGGGATTTTTTCCTATAGGCGTTCACCGCTTTCGACGGTTGTAGTGATTAGTGAAGTACAAACATATATAGTTTTTTTGTGTATTTTGTGAATTCATTAAAAAATATGTACTTTAGGAAAAGTTTCTCAAATCCGCCCATTGGTTGGCATCCTATAAGCATGTGTACTGTGTAGTATGTAAACGGTGAGTAACCTAATTCGAATTCCCAGAATATTTCCCACCAATAGTCCGATTTCCCTCATTCGAATATCCATTTCACTTCCCCAGTTCACCAAACCAACCTAGCAATGGCGCAGAAGGAAGCTGGTTCGTCTCTTGATACCCTGATATTGCGTTTCAATGCCAAAACCACCGAGCTTCAGGATCTCGTAGTCGCCCGAAACAGTGAGAGTCACTCCTTTTCAAACTTTCATCGCAAGCTGCCTGCCTCCCGCTCATGCTCGTCTCTGTCTTTGTTTTCGCAGTGTACCCAGCGAGTAGCGTCACTGATCTGTCAGCAGTTGACACAGCGCTGAAAGCTATGGAGCTTCAGGTTCACGCAATCAAGGGCCGGCTGCGAGAGGAAACAGATGCCATCCCTAAAGCTAAGGTGCGATTCTTCTACGTTTCACATATTGATTTCCCTTTTCATTTCGATTAGGGTTCCCGACTTACGCTAGTTGAAATTTGGAGTTTCTTAACAAATTCGAGTCCCAATTATTCGCAATGGACTTGATCGAATCGCTTCAATTTAGCTGATCCTTAATTTAGGAATTGTTAGGTTTGGTTTGGGTTGGAATTCAGATTTTGTTCTTTTAAGCCGCTTTGTGTGATCGACGGTAGCTTTTGCCTTAAGTGTCGCAGAAGCTCATCGATGCATCACTGCGGCAGCAGAAGAAGCTGCAGGGTATGTCAGCCTATGTGCCGGTGTATCTGCCTGAAAGACCAACCATGTCTAATTTGGAATGTGAACGAGGGTAGGCGGATTGTTTGATGCCTTCTATCGATTTTGTTCACCAAAAATTCCTGTAGCTTGTCATTCTCACAATTCCCTTTTTCTTTATTTACCAGCGCGTCGCGGGAAACTTCTGATCAACCAACCAGTTACCGGTCTGTGATAGTTGAGGAGGAGCCTGCAGCGTTACCTAGGGTACTTTATTGTTGTTCAAAGCAAGCAAATAAACCCTTCAATCTCTTAAGCTTATCTACTTGTGCACCCTTTGCTGGAAACTTACAGCTCCGTTATATAGAAGAAACATACCTAGTTTCGTATTGTGGGTAGCTATGAAGTTCCTTGTCATTTAGCTCTGAACTGACTATAGAAAAGTGTATCCTTTCTGTCACGAACACCCTAGTTTTCCTTAGTAATGCCTAGAGAATAATAGTCTCTTGAAGTGCACGGAGTGCATGATTATTCAGCTACCCTTATTTTATTTATTTATTGCACTTTGTGATATGAGGAACCCACTCTGTAGTTGATATTCAAATCTTTTTTTGTTTTGATTACAGGAGAAAAAGGGTCGTGGATCTCCACCTTTGTGGTATATAACTTCCGAAGAGCTCGATTCATTAAGCTCGTGAGTTAAATCGTTTCTTTCTCTTCTAGACCTTTGTCTTAGTTCATCCCCCCTAGACTATGTTGTTGAACTTTCAGGTGTTAGAAAATATGACACTGAAACAGGTTGAATGAAGTCATCCAATAGTTTCAGGCATTTCTTCTGATGGGCATTTGAAAGTTCTACCTTCCTACTGCAGATACATGAGAGGAAGACTCACTCTAGATAAGATCAATGCAGCTGTCAATGACATTGCAGCTTACGCTGAAGCTAATGTCCAACTTCTTGCAGCTCCAAAAAAGAAGGTTTAAGTTGACTGTTGTTGTTACATTCATTCCAGACCATTTGATTAGGTCAATATACTGAGCTACCTTATTTTGTTTGAACTTTGTGAAGATATCAGAAAATCTATGGGAAAAAGCTTTGGTAAGTGCAAAAAGTCAGAGGGATTTCCTTCTATCCAGGCACTCATGCTCTAAGATGGAGCGTATTTGAGCAAATGTTTCTTGTTTATTTTCTATTGGACGATGAAATGTGCAGGAGCTGAGGGATATTGCAATGACTGACGCTGCCAAGGGGAAACACTTCTTTGTTGAAACTGACGTGAAGGGACCAAACCTGAAGCTTGACAACAGTGGAAAAGCAATCTTGACTGTAAGTAGTCCATCAGCTTGGTTCCTGGTTGATCACACAGTCAATAGTTGACTGCTACTCATTTGGGCAAAGCATGTGTATCGGATAAGTTCTAGGAATCTGAAGAAATGAACACATCACAGCACATGGCTTTCAGTTGATGTCATCTTTCCTTTGCTTGGGTGGCTTGACAGATTCTACGCCACCTTGGACGCATCACGGAAACTCGTATTGGTCATCATCGGGTGATCATTCTCTTGAAGAAGCCGTAGTGAGCGGGCAGCTTAAAACATTGGGAAGCTTAAAACTTGAGAGAAGCTTAGAGATAAGGAGGTAAGTTTGGATGTATGGCAACCATCTGTGTGCATTGAATGAAGCTTAGCGAACCCAAAATGAGTGGATCTCAGGCTACTTCGATTCCTATGAAGACCATGAAGATGATCAGTCGGATTGCAATTTACTGGTATGATATTGAGAAACCATGATTTTGACTTGTCAGTGTAGGTAGATAGATTCTCTACTTGTAGCTGCCAAAACAAGTGAAGGGGGTGATAGTTGATACTATTGGCTTGAAGTTGCTTACACTTGTATGGTATCTCCCAAAATTCTAGACGACCATCTAACTAGTAACGTCAGAGTCCCCAACATCAATTTTGACAGTATGGAATCTCTATCCTCTAGGCCTAGGAGAGTCTTAATCCGATAGTCCCTGCCTACTACTTCAGTATAGTAACATTCCTAGGAAACTATGTGGGTAAAGAGTTTTTATGTTTTTTTTGTTGTTGTTAATTGCAACCACCAAAAATCGGAAGTGGACAGGAGTTGGGTTTATTATTTTGGGTTGGGTCACTGGTTGAGTGAGTCAGTTTTCTGAAGTGGCAAATCCGGTTTCAATTTTTGTGGGTTAAAATATGCTGATTTGGCGCTTTTGTTAGCCACATCAGTAAAAAACTGACGTCGTCAACAAAGACTAATGGAAGGTCACGGTCAGTTACCAAATTTGAATTATAAACCAATTTAATAATCCTAGTGACAATGCTTACAATGTACCCTTTTTCAATAATGGTCAATGATAAGGAGGAAGCTGGGCTCTTCTACTTCTTTTTTTTTTATTTCTTTTTTTACTATAGAATTTTTGTGTGTACATAACTGGATTAGTTTTTAATTAGTGCCAAACTATGATCTGTTCTTTCTATTAGTGGATTTGTTGGATTCTTTTTTAATGGGAAAGTTGAATTGTAATAGAAATAATTAAATAAGAGTAACGTAGTAATTTGTGTTTCATACTCACAAATATAATCAAGCCAAATCTATAGTCAAAATCAATAGGCAAACCATAGACTCTTTTAAATTCATAATGCTCACAAATTCATCACAAACCTAGAATTTTCCAAAACCTCAATTTTCAAATCTAGTTGTGGTGAACTTGGGATAAAGATTAGAACAACGGGGCCTCCGGCTTACCCCAACAAGTGAAGAAGGAAAACCTATAAGTTAGAAGCATGAGGCATAAGTAGTACCGTTGGGATTAATAAATGTCATCATAGAAATTACCATATGTCGTCTTAAAAATGGTTAAATATATTCTCTTACGCTTTTGACTATTTTTCCAAATTTATTACTAACAAACAATTTCGCGTTGTCACCGTGGTTTTCTTGTCACTAATGAAATGTTATTTTCCGATAAATTCATTAACACAACAAAAAAACGAAGAAATGAACAACAAATCAAACCCAATATAATCTCATTATTGTTGGGTTCAATCATGTCAGATAGGGATGGCAACCCTGCTTGACCTGTCCGGTACCCATCCAAAAGTACCCTAGACGGGGTCAAAATAACCGTCCGTCATGGCTAACGGGCGGATTTGGGTATGCCCGAAACCTGACAGTAGCGGACAACGAGTGAGGATGGATCTCGTAGTATCCTCCCCAAAACGACGTCGTTTTGGACTGTAGGTATACAACTGAAAGGAAGGATCCAAAAACTCAAATGCAGCCCTAGGAAACTTCACTTCACACACACAACCAAACTTCACTTCACACACGCAGAAAGTTTCGTGGCCACTTCAAATTTTTCACTAGCCATCACAGTTTCGTTATCGCCGCAATCTCTAATCGCCCACCACCCAATTCCACCGCAAACGGAATAATCCCCTGCTTCTTCTACTCAAAATAGCGGGTGTCGGCTGTCGACTTCGCCCTGGAAGTTGCTACGCCACCTATTCGCTCTTCACCAAACTCAGCTGCAAGAGGAAAACAACCAGGAGGAGTGCGTTCGGGGGACGAAGGAGTTGAATTCTCTGTACGGAGGCAACATCTATATTATCGGCAACAGTGCGCTCGGGGGTGGCGACCATATCACCGACATTAGTGTATTTGTGGGGCATTTTCTAAATTGTGTTCCTCGCAAGGTCCACCCTAACTTTTCCTCTCAATAGCAGACGTCGACCGTGGGTTCCTCGCAAGGTCCACCCTATTGTGAGCTTCTGATCCCGCCATCGTTGGTGGGTAGGGGTGGGCATCCAGTTCGGTAAGCCCGAACCAATCCGGGCCGAAACCGAATTGATACGAACCAAAACTGAACTATCCTTATCCGGTTCGGAATTCGGAAGTCAAAACTTAATATTTCGGAAATCAGGGTCTGTCGGACTGAACCCGATTTCCGAATACTGAACCGACCAACCGAACATACACTTATAATGCACAACCCAAACCCAAAGCCCACAACTGACAACCCCAAACCCACACAACTCTTGTGAAACCCTAGCCCAATATCTGCCCACCTCCAACATCACTGTGACCACCATCTCCTGCTTCATTCTCTCCCCCAGCCGACCCAACAACCAAAATTCTCAGCTCTGCTCCCTCCCCCAGCCGACCCACCTACCAAAACTCTCACCGGTGGAATACAAGATTTGCCAGCTCCGACGGCCGACACCATCGCCCCAACCCAGGATCTGCTCGACGCCATCATCCCAACCCGGGATCTGCAGTGCTCGACGCCATCGCCAACCCAAGACCTGCTCGACTCCTTCGCTTCCCTTCTTCGTCGGAGTCGTCACAATCATCGATGTCAATCGTCACCGTCGCTGTCGCCGATGGGTTGTTCTCTCCGTTAATCGCCATCGTCGCCTACCCACTGAGTTGTAATCTCCGTCAATCGCCGTTGCCGCCGAGTCCAGATATGGGAGGAGAAACCGATGCTTCTTTGTGCTCTTAGGAGAGAGAGAGAAAGAGAGAGAGAGAGAGAGAAAACTTGTTATGGGTAGAAATGATAAGTGGGGGATAATGGTAAGTGGGGGAGGGAGAGAGACCGAGAGTGGATTCTGCAATTTCGGGTGGAGTCTCAAAATCGAATCGAACCGAGATATATTTCGGTTCGAACTTGGTTTGCTCCTTGAACTACTTTGGGGACTCGGTAATCATCTGTTTGGTTCAGTTTGAACCGAACCGACCGAATGCCCACCCCTATTGGTGGGGCTCTAGGTCTTTCTTCTCTTCTTCCTTCTTGGGGAGCAAGGACACCGATTCTTCTTTAGAACCATGTTTTGATACCGATTGTCACGGGCCTAAATCTCGATCGTGCAACCTTAACTCTCAATTTTGTTAGGGATGCTAAGTCACCCTTCTCACTCACTCAAACTCACTCAACTCACAAGAAGAAGAATACAAGAAGATGAGAGAAATTCTCTTGAGTGTATTGCTCATAAAATGATGGATGATTACAAAATGAGGAGGATGTGTTCCTTATATAGGCCCTCCTCTCTTACAAGGTGCTAATATCCCTCATAATGTTCTTCCCCATTACTACACCCTTTTAATTGTCCCCCATAATGCACACCATTATACAACCTCATACTGTGGCTCTTTATGTGCACTATTAAACTCATCTTTAAGATGAGAAATCCTGGGAGCATCCTATGCTACTAGGTCTTCTATAACGCCACACGTGCTTAACTCGATCATGACCCGCCACATCACTCGCCATGTCACCCCGCGACGCGACATTCTCCCTCACCTATTCTCACGACGCCCTCGCCGCGTCTTTGCTATGGAATGTCTCGATCGACCTCCAACAATCTTTCCCGACTCTAGAGCCTCGGTCGTGACAATACCTTCCTAGGATCTTGAAAAGTTATGTGGAATAGAAAATTTTTCGCAGCGATCGGATACCCGAGTGCAAAGTTACGTTCGTTTGAAGTTTCAGCTTAAGTTAGGAGTTGATCGGAAAATAAAGTTTGGACCAAACCGCTGGGTAGGGGGCGATTTTAGACCAAACCGCTCCAAACCCAAGCGGTTTTCAAAACCGCCCCATAACCATGCGATTTTCAAATAATTGTCGTATTTTTGGAATTTTTCGGAGTTAGGTGGTATTTTTATAATTTTTTTTAAACAATGGTATTTATGAAAAAATTCCATTATGTCTTTGGGATTTGCCAAATGAAATCGAAAAGGGTCACTACTCGCTAGTCTTAGGTAACGTTTGCTTGTGGGATTTGGGTGATAGTTTTGGCACCTAAATCCCAAACATCAAGGACTTGGCACAAATCCATTGTTTGCTAAGAGACACAAATCCGTGAAAAAATGGTTTAAATCCGTGGGCCCCCATTTTTTTATATCCAAATCCATGGACCTTACCGATTTCCAAATCTCACATGTCACGTGGGATTTAATAATGAAAGTCAAAGTTGTGAAACAAATCCATCATAAATTCATGATAAAAATGAACTAAACAAATAATAGACTTTTCCAAAGGTTTTCAAAACTCAAAATCCTCGTTTTCAATTCCACCAAGCAAACGAGCCCTAGTCTCCCTTACACCGACGACGCCATGACGCGGCTGACTCGAACCATCATCCAGCGATGAGGGAACATATCGAAGTTCGAAACACGGAGGAGGAGAAATAGAGTGACAGACTGCGCCAAGGCGAAACCCTAAAACCGAAAATCATCCAATCATCCGGTTTCAGGGTTCCCTTAGATTCCCCCGGATCCGGACGGGGAGCGGAGCGGAAGAACCAGGGAGCTCGAACAGAGGAAGATTCGTCTGTGCAGGCCGAAGGGAGAAGAAATAGCTGAGAGGCGGCTGCCGGGGAGATGGGGAAGAAGAAGAAGAGAGTGTCTTCCAAGGTCTGGTGCTACTACTGCGATCGCGAATTCGACGACGAGAAGATCCTAGTCCAGCACCAAAAAGCCAAGCACTTCAAGTGCCACGTCTGCCACAAGAAGCTCTCCACCGCTGGCGGAATGTCCATCCACGTCCTTCAGGTCCACAAGGAGTCCGTCACCAAGTACACACCCCCTGCCTCGCTCACTGTTTTGCCATTGTTCAGATTCATACGTGTGAAGAATTTACCTTCTGACTAAGATATGTCTAAGGTTCTTTTCTAGTGCATTTTTTTTCCACGTAAGTAATGCCCTTTCCGCTCTCGCTAGTTGCTCCAAGTGATTGCGTTTTCTGTGGTTACACAGACCACTGCTAATAGTACTAGGTTCTCTTTCAAAGGGAAGTCAGAATTTTTTATATAGCAGAGTGCTAGGAATCTCGGTGTATTGATACCTCATGGGTGGCACACCACTAGAAACAAGTTATTGGAGATGGAAGGGCTAGAAATAGGGTTCGTCTTCTGTGAAGAGCAATGCTGTGTTCTTATGACTTTCTGTGAAGAGCAATGCTGTGTTCTTATGACTTTTGGGTTTGTTGGCAGTTTGAACTTTGAACTATTCAATTATGATGTTGCCTGTGTACAACAGATATTTCTAAAGGTTTTGCCTTTAGCTGTGTATCGTTTATGTGAATAATGTTCTTCTTGTCCTAATGTGCTTTTCGCATTTGATCCAGAGTTCCTAATGCAAAACCTGGAAGAGAAGCAACTGATAGTGAAATTTATGGAATGCAAGGAATTCCGCCTGATGTATTGGCTGCTCACTATGGGGAAGATGGTAAGATTTTGGCTGCACTTCTTTCAAATTTAGAAATGCCAAATTCTCAAGATGATTTACTTGGTATGCCTCCACTTGTGGAGTTGCTAATCTGCTGTTAGAGATGTAATTTCTGATAACCATTAAATCTCATACAGATGATGAAGCTCCATCTAAAACTGCCAAGGTGGATACCCCTTCTACTCCATATGTAGTTCCAGGTTCATTGCCTCTTGGATATCCTCCACGACCTTTACGCCCGGTGCCCCCAGTGTAAGTTTCATACTTCTGTTGTCTTTCACTTTTACATATTCATACTTTTATGATTTGGATGCTAGCCTTGCTGTTTCCATCTTCATCAGTATTTCTGGGGTTGAATGGATCTTTTGGAACTCTGTACAGGAAGGATGCTAGTTTAATAAGTTTCCAGTCAAGTGTGTTACTTTGTTTGACGGAATCCATCTCATGTAGCTCTCTAGTCATGGGTCGACTTAGGGCTCTCTATAACTCACATTCATAAGGTTCATTAGGCAAATGGAATGGAAGATGGTGTTCTGCCTCTGAATAGTTTCTGGAATTTCCCAAAAAATTGGTAGTAATTATGAGCTATAGGGCTGGCCGTCCAATCCACAGCAGGGTTGCGTGTTAGAATCCACTCGAAGAAAACAAGTAAAAAACTTAATTAACCAATTCAAAACTGCTCAGGATCCATTTGTAACTGTTTAGATTGGCCCTTTATGTTGAAACACTCTTCTTCCAAAAGGAGCCTGTTATCTTTCGAATAACATGTCTGGTGACATCCTCGGTTGTTATGAACTTAATTTTGTAGCATTCCATTTCGAGAATCTTTTAAAGTTAAGAGTAGCGAAATGACGATACAGTAGAAGATGTGAGTAACTTATGTGTTTTTTACATCTTTCTCTTTTACTGCAGTTACAGTTCTGGTGTGTCTGGTGGTTGGCCAGTTCCTCCACGTCCCCAGACTTGGTATCCGCAGAATCCTACTGTTTCGGTTCCTCCTCCAACTCCTGCAGGATACGGTCATCAGCCATTGTTCCCTGTGCAAAATGTGAGGGCTTCTTTAGGCCTATCGGCACCGGCACATGTACTTCCTGCTCAAGTGGCTCCTCCTGGACTGCCTTCATCCATACCTCCAGTTCCTGTGTCGCAGCCTAAGTTTCCTGTAGTTAACAACAATTTACCTCAAAGCCAACCATTTTCTGCTCCTTTGCCACCCCCTAGTATACCACCTGGAACTTCTGCAGAACCGAGAGGACAAGCAGATATGCACTCTGGAATTAACAGTTATACCATTCCAGCTGGATACCAGGCTTCTAGTGTGCTAGGTTGGTTCTTTTTCTGCCATTGCTTCTATCTCTGTTTTTGCAACTAGCTCCTATTTTTTAATTGAATGAATCCATCTAAGAAGGTAAAGAGTAGAAGCCTGCTGCGAAGAGTGAACCAACTGTCTAGGAAGGCTGATTTTTTGGCAATTTTTGTGGTCTACCTCATGGAATCTGGCCTGTCAATGTAACAAGATAGTATGTCGCTATTTTCATGCATAGTAATTTCTGTTTGTGTCAGACATCATTATGATTTTGGTGGTCAAACTATTATATTATACACTATCCATGCTAACTATTTAGTCTGCCCATGTTTATTGTAGGTTCGGCATTTCCTAGTTCACATTCCTATGCCTCTGGTCCAAATACTGCGGGTCCATCTATTGGACCTCCTCCAGTAATAGCTAACAAAGCTCCTGCTAACCAGCCGAGTGAAGTGTATTTAGTTTGGGATGATGAGGCCATGTCCATGGTAAGTCAGCTGGTCCCTTTATGTAAAACCTTCATGTGTGTCTATAAAATATTTTAGAAGTTCAAATTCTTTTCTCCTAATACTGTGATTTCCTTGCAGGAGGAAAGAAGAATATCCTTACCAAAGTATCAGGTGCATATTGAAACTAGCCAGGTAAGTGATGACTACCTCTTTAGTATTTGGGAAATGTTTCCTCATCTGACGAGTTCGGTACGCTTTACATTCTGTGTTTTCTGATAAAACATTTTTATGAATTGTTTCCTATTCATATGGTGTTTCTGTGTGCCTATGAATTCCCTTCAATCAAGAAATCCATAGTTAACAAATTATGTCTTCTGATTGGCAACCTGTTGGTTGAGCGGCGCAAGGTCGTGTGCTTGGCTTCTATTGACGTGTTTTGCTTGCCTATCCTACTCAACATGTAGTTATGGCCTTATGGGAGATATGAGTATATACATATTTATTAATGCTGGTAGTTAGTAATTACCCTTTTGGCAAAGCTTGCTGGAACAAATCAAAGGTTCTACATCCTAATCCTATCATCATTCTCGGTTGAGCAGCGTGTATGTATTTATTGCTTATTCGAATTGAATTTTATGTATTTTCCTTTTATTGTTTTCCCTCCCTATGCTTCACTTTGTGGGTGTTGTGTGTGGAACAAAGATGGTATCCAACGGAATTTTCTCCATGCATAAGATCATTACAATTACAATTTACTTTTACGGCCGAACAGTGAATTCAGACTTTGGCCCAGGTCAGCTTCTTTTGCAAAGTTCGGTATCTTTTGCAGAGGCAAAGCATTCAGATATACGGGACCATCAATTGTCTTCCTGGTGTTTCATTAAGTGATCATTCTTTTCTGTTGTGTGTTACAGATGAGTTCCATTGATGCAGCTATTGACCGAAGAATTCTGGAGAGCCGGCTGGCTGGCAAAATGGCATTCTAGACTCAGACTTTTGCCATTCATGGAAAACTCTAAGCCAGAGAATTCCTTTTTGTTGAGAATGCATAACCCTTAATGAACTGCTAGGGGATTACTCTTTTGATGCCAAACCAGTCTTCCTCAAACGAAGCAGCCGATGGTGTATATTGTTGTATTCCTTACAAGAACATACGGAAGAAGAGCTATTCTTTGGAGTATAACCAGGAGTCCAGGATACAGCAACTTGGCCGATAATAGATTAAGTTATACGCATTTATGTTATTCTAGTACTGATATAGATTTGAGTTTTGGTTTGAATGATGCTGCATTTTTTTGTTTGTTAGGGTAACCTTTGTTGCTTAGAAAAGAGTGTTCAACTGTAACGTTATGTGGGAATATTACATTGATTTATGTGTCTAAGCTCTCAAATAATTTAGTTGTAGATGGCAATTTCAACCCGCCGTGGGTATTACCCGACATAACCCGTGATGGAGCGGGACATGAGTATCTACTTCCGACTTGCTCTGTCCACCTCGTCTTGTTCTTGGCTCATTTTATCTCAATTTCTTATGATATCTATACATATTTCTCTTACTTTGACTTTTTTCAACTAGTTAGAGTCGATTCCAACATGTTAGACTTAATCATCTATTCTATTATCACTACTTTTCATTAATACTGTGTTTTCCCCTTCGTTTTATCTTAAAGTAAAATTTGTGTGTATTTTTTTCAAATAACATATAAGAGTTGGTTGACCCGCCCAGTCCCGTGCCAGCGCGGGTTTTAACCCTCTCCTCCCGACCCGCAGTAGCACGGGCGGGGAATGCGTATTAAGGTACCCGCCCCTCACCATTGCCATCACTACCCCAAATGCTTCTTAAATGTATTAATGGATATGTGACTGGTCGGGGTGGGGACGGGCCGGGGCTGAGGTGCTACCCAAGCTTGACCCCACCCGTGAGCGGGTCTGGTTGCACGACCCGAATCGTCAATGTGCAGGTCGGGTTTGACCTGCCCTAAAACAGGCTAGTTCAGGTCAACCCGCCTGGTTGGGCCCTAATTGCCATTCCTAGGTATCCATGGCATTAAATAGTAAAGATAGACAAAAAAAAAAAGAAAGCCAAGAAAAAAAAACTTCGAAACGTAAGAAACAAAAAAAACCCCTCAGCAAGACAAGAAATCCAAAAAAATAAAACAGCAACATCATATCTCCATTAGAGCCACTCCAAGCTCCAATGATCCAAAGATGAGCAAGAGCAAATCATATCTAAATTCTTAGGGAGAAAGGAGAGCAGACTTTTCAAAATAAAAAGAGAGAGGATTTCTTAACACATATGGATATTAGTATTTTCATTTTGGATACTAGTATTTTCATTTTGGATACTGATTCTCTTGGCTGGCTTGACTTCCAGCCAAGAAGCCATAAAAATCCACTTAAATGAGCCATTTCTTAAGCCATTGAGTTCCAACCCTTTGATCTCAGCTTCGCCTACGTGGCCATCAATTTGGTCGTGTGAGTATATACCATGGTTCAAATTTCAAAAAGGCACACTTAACCTTATGCTTAGGAATACCTAGGCGTAAGGCAATGACAAAACATCTCGCCTAGGGATTTTGCGCCTAATTAGATATTGGAACATGTCAATGGAGTAAGGCGACATATAAGTCTTTCCAAAACATTACTAGATGGAGCTAGGAAGTCAATATTAAAGGAGAAAGTTAATATCAACTATGAAATTAATTTTCTATATCAATATTTTCAATAGCTCAAAAACTTTGTGAGCCATTGAGCTATGATTCTATGAATTCTTGAGCTATGTTCTTGTGGTTAAGTATTGAGTACATTATTAATCACTTTAACTGAAGTGAGAAAGTGTTGTAGATTATTATTTCATTCATCATGTAGTGCGGATAGCTATTTTTCTTCCCGCGTCTAGACATGCTTAGTCTACACGAGCTAGGTACTAGGCAAAGGCTCAAAACCCGCCTTAGACCTAACACCTTTTTGAACCTTGTTATATACTAAAAAAAAAACTTGTTAGCCGATTAACTTTTTCCCTTTTGTTGAACAACCACCACCCAAATCGCAAGCCTATAATCAAAAGGTATTGTTGTTGCTTCTTCCTTAGCAAAAGGCACTACTTGCAAGCCCTAAAATCAAAAGGCGTTGCTTCGTCGACAAAAAGGATTGTTGTTGCTTCCTATGTCTACGACGACGATAGGGGTCCTCTATACCTTGTTGTGCCACTGCAGCGCTGATGGAGGACAATGATCGATTTGGCCTCTGGGGCGACTGGAATCTTGTGGAATTCATCAGATGGGGTATGTGGCTTTCGAGTAAGAGTTGAGAATGAGAGAACTATAGCTACTGCAGACTATTCGAATGCACGAAGAAAGGGAATTGTCTATGTTCGACATCAATTAACCACAAGGGCCTCGACTGTGGAGTGTGAAGGGTGGATTGAAATGGTCGTGGCCTCAAAATAAAAAATTGAATACCTTTTCTTTTTCAATGGTTTGAGTTTTGGCTTTGTACCGTTAGTTATTCGGTTTGGTTTGCGGTTAGTCCACAAACTTCAAAATAAAAAATTCTGCTAGCCGAGACTGAATAAAATCCTCTTAAACGGTTTGAGGTGAATTGCTAACTGCGCTTCTTCGATGCGGCTTGGTTTAATCGCAAAACCGCATCAATTTGGAGCTCGTCTACTATTAATTAGAATTTAAGAAATTTTTGTGTTTGAAAAGGAAAAAGACAAAGAGATGATTGATTATGCACATGCTTTAGCCCAACAAACAAAAAATTCTATCAAATTGATCGAGAATCTCATCATCTGTAAGGTGGGCCAACCGACCGATCGAGTTGGGTTGGGCGTAAACCTCGGTCCTGTGTAATATATTTTTGTTGTTGTTGTGGTTGTAATAGAGTTGCAACAAGTATGCAAATAGAAAACAAAAATAGTTCGTAATTAAGAGAAATCATGAAAGTTCACAACAACAAACATAATATATAAAAATAATAGGAGGAATAATATGACATGAGGAGTTATGAGAACTTTGAGGGACAAAATACATAAAAATGATATTGACAATGAGGTTTCGGGAAGAGTCATTTGAAAATGGGGAAAATAACATATGTAGAAAGTGGGTCTAATGTATTTGATCATAGATTCCATTGAATGAAATTTATTCCGACAATTGATAAGATCCACAAGATAACTTTCGGAAACAATAAAAATCTAATTAAAGTGGTTGCATTGATTTTATCTAATTTCTATGGTGTTGCCAATTCTTGTTGCCACAACAACTGATAATAGCATAAGTAAAGATGTTTTAATATATGTTTTCACATGTGAAAACACAAAACAGAAAATATAAATGATACTGAACAAGGTCTTAGAACTGACCCTGTGCTGAGACGGAAAATAGAAGCAAAATATATAAAAAATCAACGAACACTTAATAAAAAGATGGAAGAACGTTGAATCTGGTTTCGCCAGTTCCTTGGTCACTTTCGTCTTTTTCGATGGAAAGTGTGAGATTTCTCCATTGTCTGCCTCTTCGCTCTTTAGCAAGAGAGATGAGTAAAGATGCATAACCAAATATGTACAAAGAGGCAAGTTTCAAAAAAAAAAGAAAAAAACAAAGCGATATAATAAAAGAAAAAGAAAACCACTGAAAGGTTCCCTTATGTCATCTTGGAAGATCACTTTCTTAGGAGACGAAGCTGAGAACATAAATGATTTCTTACCGTACATTTGGTGTGAACAACCACTATCTAAATATCAGTTTGATCATCTTCAAAGTGGAATTATTTAAAGGAGAGTTCAACTTCTGATATTAAGAACTTGCTTCAAACGCTTCATACTCATGAAAAACAATTACAAGCATTAAAACGAGTATACATATCATGAATGCTTTCACCTTATGGCATGTCAAACGCTTCATACTCACGAAAAAGAAGATATATGCGAGTTTCCTTATGTTTAACGTCCCTTCGTAGGTATTTAGGAGAGCAGTCTAGGTCTCCCCCATTGGCTTATATTGTTCAGCTCAATGAACTTCATCAAAGCCCATGGCAGATTGCATTCTTTGAATGGTCTTGCATTGCTAACGAAAATAACGGGCATTAGGCACCCGACAGTAGGAAGCTCCTTTTCTCTGAATTCTCTCTAGCCTTTCATATTCCATCTCTCGCCGGCTCTAGCCCTTCGTTCTTTTTATTTGCATGTCTTCCCTTCTATACACTTTGTTTCTCTGCTTTTGATTTCGGTTCCATTTTCTCTTCTTCCAGCCTCTTACTTATGTTTGCTGTTCTAATCCGAATCTTTAAATCTAGAAAGCCTTTTTCTTGTTGTGGCAAAGGGAGGATGGTGTTGGCTCCATGATCAGCTTGTTTTCTCATCTTCTCGTCTCTCGTCTACGCCCTTACTTCACTGTAGCAGATCTCGGTGTTTCGAATATGTAGTTGCCCTCTTTTGTGTGCCGGTTCAAACGTGGCTGAAATTTTTTGAGGGCAGAGATGGTCCTTGTGATTTCAAGTTGTTTGGGCATTCAAACGCTAGAAATGTGTTTTTGGTTATGTGAGTACGTACGTAAACCAAAGTTCATTCCTTGCACACAGCAAATTCACTTGTACTCCATTGAAAAACAAAGAGAGGAAACAACATTATTGCACTAATTATTCATTAGTGCAAATACCCAAGACGTAAAAACACACACTTGAAAAGCAAATTACAACACCTCATCCCACTCTCTTGCTTGACACTCGCAACTCCAATTAAAAGACAATTAAGCAAGTACGTATGGAAAGAGAAATACATAGCACAATTCCATCCCATTCCCTCTTTCGTTCACTCGGAAAGATTTAGCCTCGGGCATATCATTCGTCGTTGAGCAAGTTATCATATAGGCTTTGTTATTTCAGGGTTTGGCCGTACCACATGGTGCAAACATCGTTAGTGAAGGAGCCGGACGTGACCGATTTGCACTCGTCCAGTGAGGTCTTGGCCGTGGAAAGACACTTCTTGCAATTCTCGACGTTGGTCCCGGGGACGCAACTGGCCGAGCCCGTAACGCCTCCGATGACGCCCTTTGGGTACGACTTGGAGTCGAACAAACCCTCCTTCTTCGGCGTCGTGTCCCACAGTCCCGCGACAACTTCGTCTATGCAGAGGGCGTAGCGATTCAGACAGGGCGCCATTGCCGGATTGGGTGCAATATGGCCGCATTCCGCTTCGACGACGACGACTCGAGCAGCAAACCCTACCACCGCAACCATCGCTATCGCCGCGACAAATTTACGAGCATCTGATGCATAGTTATGGTGCGCCATGGGTTAGCTAGCGAGTCTATAAGCTTTCTGTGGTACTGTGATTATGTGGTTAGGTTTTGGTCTTTTTTATACAGGCTTAATGTATATGAAGTTGCAACAATATTATTCCCATTCTGCGGCAGTCTCGTAGGTACGTTGTTGTCGTATTTAATTTCTTCTATTCTAGTGACATAGTCATATAACCAAATAAAGGGTCTATCTGGCCACATTTTATGCCCTTTTCTGCACTTTTTTTACATTTTGTTTCTCTCTATAGTTTGTAGGAGATCCAACTCTTGCACCTTTAGTATTTTTTAGTTAATGGGGTCAACACTCAACACATTGATTTTGGACGTTGATGGCTTGAAGTTTTTGGAATGCGTGAATATGAGGGGACGTGAGTGGGAGGAGGATAGGATTTGAAAATGGGGTAAATTGCAAGTTTGGTCACTGAATTTATTAAAACAGTTTGTTTGCTACTAAATTTTTTTATTTCATTTGTGATCAGTTAAATTAGTTTAATAGAACAGAATAACAGATCTTTCTAGATGTAAAAGTAAATAACGAAAAGTGAGAGAAAGTAGATAGAGAAAATGCATTATTCCTCTCTGGTTAGCTGAGTTTCCGACCCTTGGGCTTAGCTAGCTGCGTCGGCACTTGCACCGGCGCAACTCCTTTTTCTCCTCTTTGTCTTTTCTAATGAGCGATTCACCACCGGTGAGCACTGTTCTGCAATCGGAGATTTCGGCCCTCACCCCTCAAGAGCCGTCAAAGCCTTTGGCCAAATATGTTCGGAATCTCTGAAGCAAATCGTCTAATGTATATTAAATCTTAGATTGTCAATAGAGGGCTTCGTATGCCGAAGTTTGTTTGAGAGGAAGGTGCAGCAAGATGTAAGTTTTGTCTCGTAGGTCAGTTTTTGAATTCAGCTCCGTCGTTTTTTATTTGAGGACATGGATGAATCATATTTGGCGTAGAGATGGGATTGTTAGGGTCTCCTTTCTGGGTAATCAGTTGCTTCTCATTCAGTTGCCGTCACAGTCTACTTGTGAGTGGATTTTGGAGAGTGGCTCGTGGTTCTACTATGAGAATCTGTTGTACCCAGGGGCGGAGGGAGAAGGTTAGAGGGTGGATCCCGGGAGATAAAATGATATATTAAGTATAATCAATGCATTCAAAAGCGCGATTCTACCTAGAAGCGGAAAATAGGTAAAATCGTAAGCCGTAGAATCAAAGCGTAAAAACGTAAGTTTTTGACGCATACTGTAAAATAACGGAAAATGTGTTAAGTATGGCATATACTATGTAAAATATGAGTACACATAGTTTAGATAATTTAATAAATACCTGTAATTCATGTCTAAAGTTGAGAAACTCATAACATTTTAACAATAAGTTCATAAACATATATCTTAACCATAAACTACCTTCCCCTCTAAGCAAGTGATTTTGGGAAGGCTTTAGTTGGTGAATTAGATTACTCTATTGAAACTAAGAATGCACCCAAGTACTTGATATGTATCTTTTAATCTTAAATATATCATATTTTTTTTGTGATTTACTTGTAAAATATAAGTATTTTCGTGAATAGAATACTCATTTAGTCAACTAGAAGCGTAAAAGCGTAAAGCGTTTTGGTGAACCAGAAGCGTAAAAGCGTAAGCTTTTATGCTTTAAAGCGCATTTCAGTCCCGATTTTATACACTTAAGATTTTATATGGAAACGAAAGCGTTTTAGTGTTCTAGAAGCGTAAAACCGTAAGTTTTTAAGTTTTAAAGCGCGATTTTGACTGCATTGAATATAATAGTTAATTGGATATGAAAAATAACACGTATTTAAATGAGAATGGTTGACCTTTGAAATAATGTATGAGTTATAAATTGTGTACTGGCATATTCAATATTTTATAACGAGCTACCAACAAATCACAATGGTGCATATGATCGATCAAAATTAAAGATGTACTTATTTAATATCTACATCAAATTTCCACCAAATCATAGCTAGTTTGTAAAAATAATTTTATTTAAATAAGGGATAGTGAGAGTGTAACGGGTGGCTCCAAAAGACAAAAATGAAGAAATTAGGATAATAGTTAATTAAGAATGAAATTCAGGACACTTCTAAATGAGAATGGTTGACCGAGAGATCATGTGTTCCGAATCTTGGCGACCCAATTTGTAAAGCACATCTTATTCGGATTCGCGAAAATTTTAAACACGTATAAGTTGGTTTTGGTTAGCAGGGAACCCGTTAGTAAGTACTAAATACTATAAGATCCATTATTAAATTTAACCCAACAACTCGAGTTATTGATATACTAAACCGTCTTGATAAAAAACATCATTCAAAAGAAAATGTCTAACTAGTTAGATCATAAATAATTGTTTGATACACATGAAGTGATATTCTTGATAGTTTGGATATATATTTAAAAAACTACAACATTATATCATGAATTGTTTAAAAAGCTTTTAAAGCTATTTAATCGTAAATATTTTTTTATAAATGGACCCACCCTAAAAAAAATTCTGGCTACGCCCTGGGTTGTACCTTCGTCCTTGGTTTATTGGCGTTAGTGATGAAGATATGGGGCGACAGATGTTGCCCATTTGGGTTCGCCTCTCAAATGTTCCATTAGAATATGTGAATTTTCAGGGGTTGAGTCGAATTGGGAGTTGGGTTGGTTTTCTATTAGGTGTTGATCATTCTACTAGGGTGGGTGGAAGGTTTGGTCATGCTAAGGTCTTAGTTGAATTGCAGTATACTGGTGAGTTCCCGGATCATGTAACAATATGGCCTGATGAAGAGGGTCCGCTCAAGGTGAGAGTGGAATACTATCGTCTTCCTCCAATATGTAAGGAATGAAATTGTTTGGGGTTAAATGTGGGTGTATGAGAGATAAGGAAGATACTTATGGAGTTAAAGGGAAGGCAGTGCTGGTAGATACGGATACAACAGGGCAACCAGTAAGAGAGGTCAAGGCCTAGTAGGCAGAATCATCAACTGTCGTTAACCTCTCCTAGTAGTACAGTAGTTAAGGAAGAGGTTGTGATGGAGACTCATTCTCCACGCCATAAGACTTTCAAAGGGTGGTTAGTGGTGAAGCTGGTGAAGTTAATACTTCCTCCTGCCCCAAAAATCTCTCAATTTATCAAATGCTCCATGTAGCCTCTTGCTTTTTTCACTTCTTTTTCTCAATTTGATTTCTACTTGAGCTTATCTAAAGCCATTCTCCCCCAGGGGCAGAGCTACATTGGTGCTTGCCCCCCCCGCCCCCCCCCCCCCCCCCCCCCCCCCCCCCCCCCGAATTTTGAAGATCGCATATATATTGTCAAGAATTTTGGTATTTATGAATAATTTAAAGGTATTATAAATATAATAGCGTGCAATAATTACAATAAAATTGCTTGTAGTTCAGCAGACTAGTTACTTCTATTTTATCCCATGTACTAGTGTTCGATTCCCCGTGGAAGTAGTTTGCTTTTTTCTACACTTTTTCGTTTAACAAATTTTAATAACTGCTCAAAATTTATAATAATTACTTCATTAGTTCAATTTTGTCTCCTCCTTTTTAGTTTAATAATTGCTCAAAATTTAAGATAGCAATTCAATGAAAAATTCGAGAAAGAATATACATTCTCCTAATTTATATTGAACATTTATAGATTAAAGTTTTTGGATCTCTTGTAACGATCATCATTAAGTTGTAACAGTGTGTGCAAGCTTTTTGGGGTATCTGGGTCATGTGCAGCTCATCATGGGAAACAGTGGGTGCCAAGGGTGCAGAAAGTGCAGGATGTCTCTTCTCCAGTTCAAGTAGCAACAGAGTTGGTGGTGCAGAATATTCCAGTTGCCAAGCTAAGAGAAAGTGATAAGGGTAAAGAGGTGCTGGAGAGTGTAGATCCTCAATTACAGGTCATTTTTACTAGTCCTTCAATGGTAGACGATGGGAGGATTGCTCCTCAGAACTTGGAGAAATTATTCTTAGCAGTGGCTGGTTCTTCCTCTCCTAAGTTGCCAACAAAGGATGAGTTTCAAAGAGTAGTCAATGGTGCTAAACCTCTGGTCTGGTCACAAGACAGGGCTAAAGGTTCTATTCAAGCAACGTCTTCTTCTTTCAGTGTGTTGAGTCAACTGGGTGATAAAGAAACAAGTAGGGTTCTGGATGCTCCAAAGAAAAATGATACAAGGAGGGATAAGTGGAAGGGGGGAGGGGGCAAACCCCCAACTTCTAAATGATTATACTATTTTGGAATGTGAGGGGGTTTAATAACCTCCAAGCAAAGGGACTTGATGCAAGTCCTTCATAGAAATAAGGTTGATGTGGTTGCTGTACTTGAAACTCGTATAAAAGCAGAAAAAGCTAAAGAGGCTGTAGAAGAGGTGTTTGCAGGTTGGGACTTGGGAGAGATGTATTGATTGTGTTGATTCAAACTTAGGCCGAGTATGGTTATTCTGGGTTCCAGAGATTAGAATTCAAGTGCTTAAACCGGGGAAAATTTTTGTTCACTGCTTGGTGGAGGATGTCAACAAGGACAGTTTTTTTTCTGACTGCTGTGTATGCTTCAAATGATGAATCTGAATGTCTAGCAACATATAAAGAGATAGCTAAATACAAGGTTGCAGGTTATCCGTGGATTATTGGTGGCAGTGGCGGACCCAGGATTGTCGGAGAGGTGTGTCGCCAATAAAATCCAATAATAATTAAATTAAATAAAAAAATTAAGTAGAAATTAAAAGAAATAATTCATAAAGTTCACAGTGTCATGTTTACAACGAACTGCGACGACTTTTCACATGTTGAAATGTCTCTAAAATACATTCATCACTTATGCTACAAAGAAAATCTTTTTCAATATACACACCTAAACAATCATTCATAAATTGTTCACTCAACCGATTTGAAGATCGTTCTTGATTATCTTCATAGCTGAAAATGCTCTTTCGCAGCTTGCAGTTGCAACAGGTAAAGTCAACACCAACTTCAACATCAAGTAAACTAAAGAATAAAGAGTGTATGCCTGGGCCATTGGCTATTTGGCCTATGGGTTATTTTTCTATTTTAATTATAGGCCCAGACCCAACATACATCACACATATATATTGTATGGGCTGAGAGTCTGTTGTTGTTGTTTTTTTTAATAGGAAGTGATAGGATTATGATTTATGAGTTATTTTAAACAAAATTAATAAGGATTATGATTAAGATTGATTTATTTGGATAATAAATTATTCGACTATAATGAAGGTGCGTTGGCTATAATTATTGAAGGTATGCGGCTATCCTGAAGTAAAAAAATTTGTACAAAAAATATGGAGGTTCTTCGTAAAATTCTCGAGCGAGGGTGTGTCGGATGACACACCCTTACTAGCCTTAGGTCCGCCACTGATTGGTGGGGATTTCAACACGATACGTGTTCCCGAGGAGACATCGAATCAAAGGAATCCTACTGCAAGTATGGCTGGCTTCAACTCTTGAATTGGAGATATGGAGTTACTGGATTACAGGTCAACTGGGCCTCATTTCACCTAGACCAACAGACAGGTTAATCGGCCTATTGCTAGGAAACTGGATAGAGCACTAGTTAAACTTGAATGGATTGAGAAATTTAAGAACTGTGTTGTTGAGGTGCTCCCTGCCAACTTTTCTGATCATTGTGAGGTGCAAGTAAGCACAACAGGCCCTATCAAATCTATGCCTAAACCGTTTAAATACTTTGAATTTTGGGCTGAGCATCCTAGGTTCCTGGAAATTGTCGAGAAGGCTTGGAAGATTGAAGTCACATGGAATCCAGGGCAAATCATTTAAAGGAAAATGCGTGAGATTAAGCTGGCTCTAAAAAAGTTTAACAAGGAGGTGTATGGGAATCTTCAGGATCAAGTAAAGGAGGCTGCTGATGCTTTACAAAGTGCTAATATCAAGGCTTTTTCGACTCCCACAGCAGAGCATTTTGAATCTGTCATACATGCTAAGGATAGATATGATCAAATATCAAAGGCCTATGAGAGTTTTTGCTGGCAGAAATCCAGAGTGTCATGGTTAACAATTGGGGATAAGTGCTCTAATTTCTTTTATCAAGCAGTGAAAATACGCAATTCCAAAAGGGCGATTAGGAAGCTGGTGAAGGAATCAGGGGAAGAGGTTTATCAAACTGACCTGATTGTTGAAGAAGTGATTGGTTTCTATAAGAAGCTTTTAGGAGAGACAAATTTAGAGATTAACCCTAGTGAGGAGGAGGTGCAACAACTTGTTCAGCATAAAATCCCCCAGGCTGAGTGTGCTGATTTGATTAAGACGATTACAGTTGAGGAAATAAGAAACGTGATTTTCGGTATGAGCTCTCAAAAGGCCCCAGGCCCTGATGGGTTCTCTGCAGGATTTTTCAAGAAGACTTGGGGTATTATAGGAGATGATGTGTCCAAAGGGATTTTATTCTTCTTCAATTCAGGTAATCTTCCTAGTGGTATTAACTCCACAGCGGTTTCTTTACTGCCCAAAGTTCCAAATGCAGATTCCCTTAAGAATTTTAGACCTATTTCTTGTATAAACTTCCTTACAAGATAATAGCTAAGATTCTGGCTAATAGAATTAGGGGGATAATGCCTCTGATTATAAGTAATTCCCAGTCTGCATTTATTCAAGGAAGAAGTATCATGGATAATATACTTTTGGCTCAGGAGTTAGTAAGTGGGTATAACAGAAAGTGTCTCTCATCTCGTTGTGCTATCAAAATAGACATAATGAAGGCTTTCAACTCAGTTAGCTGGAGGTATCTATTCATCATGATGAGAACTATGGGGTTCCCTGAGAAATTTTTACTGTGGATCAGGAGCTGTTTGCAAACTGCTCATTATAGCATCAATATAATTGGCAGTCTCTGTGGATTTTTTCGTGCTAGGAAGGGTGTTCGTCAGGGTTAGAGTAGTCAAAATCCCGATTTAAATCCTAAAATCCTACGGTTTTACGATTTTACTTACCTATTCCGATTCTGATTTCACTATAAAATCTACGGACCTTATAATCCTACACTATTCACGATTTAAATCCTTAAAATCTTCAAAATCTTACGATTTTACGATTCAAATCTTAGAGTCAATTTTACATATTTCCCCCAGAATTTGCAAAATTACGCCTCTTTTTCTTCTCCTTCACCAACATCATCTAGTTCTCTCACACTAATCACCATTGATAATAATCAATTCACATCAACGTATTAGTCATCATCGATTCACCACCTCTTAACATTAACCTTGAAAATTTATCATTCTAAGTGTTATGTGCTTTTGTGTTATTCATGATTTTCCTTACTAATATTATTTCGTCTTCATTTTTATATGGACCTTAAAATCCTACGATTTTACGATTCGATTTTATGATTCCGATTTTACCCCATTTTTGATTTTACGTAAAATCTAGATTTTGACTGCTTTGGTCAGGGTGATCCATTATCACCATATCTCTTTACAATAGCTATGGAAGGACTGTCTACAATGTTGAAGGAAGCTAGTCTGACAGGGGGTTACCATTCCATCCCCAATGTAAGAAGGTTGCTCTTAATCACTTGTGTTTCGCTGACGATCTGCTTATCTTTACTAAGGGCTCTGCACATGCAATACTGCAGGTCAAAACTATTCTGCAACAATTTTATAGGATCTCGGGTCTTAAGTGCAACCCAGCCAAATGTGAAGTCTACTTTGGGGGTGAATCAGTGCTGTACAAAAGTAATGCCCTTGCTCTTCCTGGTTTCCAGGAGGGGAAATTGCCAGTTAGGTATTTGGGATTGCCTCTACTGGCTGGTAAACTCTCGTCCACTGAAATTGATATACTGGTTGAGAAGATTACCAAGCGCATCAGACCCTGGCGTGCTAGAGAACTTACCTACGCAGGGAGGCTTCAACTGCTGAATTCTGTGCTCCTAGGCATAGTTCAGTATTGGATGCAGCTGTTTATTTTACCTAAGCAAGCACTAAAGAGGATTCAAAAGATCTGTTCTCAATTCCTATGGCATGCATGCTCCATCCGCTTGCTCTGGCTTTTTCTAATGAACTCTGAGACTCTATGGGTTGCGTGGATGAATGAGTATAAATGTAGACACCATGATCTTTGGTCGTTCCGAGTGCAATACAGTAGTTCATGGGCTTGGAGGAAACTTCTGAAATTGAGGGATATGATTTCTCCTTGGATGAAGAAGCAAAATGGCATTGTTTTCCGGGGATCAAAGGAGATGACGGTTTACTCAGTTCATAGGGTATGGGAAACCTTGAGAAACAGGGCTCCTACAGTCTCTTGGTATAAACTTGTCTGGGGAAGGAATTGCCCTCCACGCTTTAGCTTGATTGTCTGGCTTATCATGAGAAAAGCCATTGTGACAAGAGACAAGTTGCTGAAGTGGGGTAAAATCAGGGATGCTTCCTGCCCACTCTGTGGTTTGGCAGTAGAGAACAGAGACCACCTCTTTGTTCAATGCCCGTTTTCACGTCGTCTTGCTGCTGCACTGAAGTGTCATCTCCTGCTGCACTCAGATTGGGAGGCAATGGCAAGCTCAATGATCCAGGTTGGCAATGCTCGAACAAGAGATTGGCATGCCCTGATTTGGTGTCTGTTAATGACATTCATCTGGAAGGAACGGTGCGGAGTGACTCATGGATCTCCCTGTCTTTCCCCAGAGCAGGTTGCAGAGTTGATTAGGATGGATTTGTTGTTTATCTCTTGTGGGAACAGAGGGATCCGGGATGCACTTGTGGGGTTGGGTTACCTATAGGTTTCTATTTGTTGGTAGTCATATAGTACACATACTTACAGATAGCAGTGGGAGTTAGTTTGTTTGTTCCTCTCGGGATTGTTATCTTTACTCGTTGTATCGGTTTCTTCTCGGAATAAAAGCAACTGATTCAACGAAGAAAAAAAAATTATTAGTTTTTGTTGGTTGTTTAATTATTTATCTTAAACATATTGTACTATAAATTTTAGTTTAGACCATATTTTTATGTCTTTTCATCCTTTTATGTTATTACATTTTTTTTAATTCTTATGATAATACGTAAAAAAAAATGTCGCCCCCCGACTCACGAATCCTGGCTCCGCCCCTGTTAGTGGCATGTCAAAATTTCCGAATGTCTTCTGCAAAGCCCTTATAGGGTTCTTTCATTAGCCTGATTAAGGGGAATTTGGGATTATTCCTTGCCATCTGCATCTCCTGAAAAGATTTGTAGCCATCTTTGCCTCTTTATTTTTCTAGTTTTTCATAATGAATTGGTTCTGACATTGCTCTTTTCTCCTTCAATCTTGCTTTACAATCATAACTCCCTATCGAACTTTACTCGTAAGGCAATTCATATCTTCCTCTGTTTTTCCTTCTCAACTTTTAACCTCCAGGTTTTTTTTGGCAGGGGTCCAACACGAGGTTGGGGTTATACAAGTTGTGGTTTGCACCAATTGGAATGTTGCAGTCTACCTGTGGATGACCCATTCAACCACAATTAAAATAGAACAAAGGTAACTTCTCATACTTCACTTCAAACCCCCTATATCATCCTGTCCTTTAAGCTTGGGCTTAGGTTTCAAAGGTGTATTAGATGACACTTTATTTATAGTGTTTGTCACTTGGATTCTTGATACATTTTCCCCTCTCACCAAAACATCTTTAGTCATTTCTCTGGTATTTCTTATCTAAATCACAACATTTGATCAATGAGCCTTTAATAGACCTATAATATTTTTTTGTACTCTTTGATGCCTTCTTGGTATATTTTTTTAAAATGGTTTTGAAGGTACAAAGCAACCTAAGGAGATTTGGATCAAGCTTTGAAAAACTATGGAGGACCAAAAGAGCTATAAAGAAAAGGATATGGAGATTTCATGACAAAGATAAGGTCCAATAACTAAGAAGACTACTAGAAGTCGTTATACAAGCCTAATAGATGAAGACCCGGAGCAAGTTGAAGAAGAAACCAGTGGTGCCCCAACATCGGATCCAACCCCGCTGGAGGAGACTTGGTCATCAGTGGCAGATTTAGGGGGGGGGGGGCATCCCCGAGCCACGACCCAGCCCTCCATTGGATCCAGAGCTAGTATAGCACTTGTAAATTTTCAATTTTAGGTACTCATTTTAGTGCTTGTCGGGTTACAGCCCAACCCTTTCCGGCTCTTTCAAATGTAGCCCAGTGCTCTACCTTATCCTGGATCCGCAGCTGGTAATCCGTGGACTAAGGAAATGGATGGTGGTCGCATCCATCACCCTACAGCAGCTCAAGCCCAAGCCTTCTTTGAGAAGTTACGAAGCCTACAAAGACTAAAAAACCCTTTCTTAGTCGGTTGAAGAGAATTTTAGCCGAGTTCTTCCCCGATAAATAGAGGGTATGGCTCATTAGTTAATTAAGGCTGCATAATCACACAAATACTTCGAGTATAATTACCCCATTAATGCTACATGAGTATAGAGGCAATGACCAACCATATATACATTGAGTAGTATCAATGCTTGATTGTTAGATCATTAATACTTTAGACTATTGATTATGGCTCATAGAGGCCCACACTTAATCACGTCTATTCGTACTTCCTTGTTCTTCACCAATTAGTTGATGGCATGCATGAAGCGAAATAACGCATTAGCTAGTTAAATTTATATATCAAGAGGCGCATGCACGGATAAAAAATCACCTGAGTGGAAGGGATAGAGTGATGCTATAGATGAATCATTGATGCATGATGTGATTGAATATTAGTATGTATGATGGTATTTGAAGCTTACCTTCTTATAGAATAACGTATCTTTACTTTTATGCATCTATAGTTTTTGTGTAAGTCGATGATGGTTTGGCGTGAGTAGTTATTATGCATTAGAAGAGCTTGTGGAATACAACCCTAGGCGCATCTAGGATTATCACTTACATGTTTGGTGGATCAGTTCCTATCTCCTTTTCTATTCATAACCCTTAGAAAATCGTCCCAAAATACAGTCACTACGATTATCCACCCGGACTATCTTCCCAAAAAGCTCTCATATCTTGTGTGCCATCTTAGTATTTTTGAGGGCTACAAATAGTAGTAGATAGATTCTAATCCAAATATCTATAGTGTTGAACTTCTTAGCTTTTGGCTTGTGAAAAATATCAGTAGTCGCGAGGAGATTATTGTCATAATGCCAAGGGCATCCAAAAAATTACCATATTTCTGTCACTTTGGTCCAAGAACAGGAAAACAAACAACTGTTCGCCTAGTTCCGTGATTTGAAAACTTTGCTCTAAGTTCCATGCTTTAGTTAAATCTATCTTCGTGGATTTGACATAGCATTTTTCCGTAGCTACCAAACGTACCACTAAACCCAACATCCTTACCGCTCGCACCTGATCTGAGTCGAAATCTCGTTACTTCAACAATCAAAGGTTCTTCCTCTTCAATTATAACATTATGGATTTTAGGAGGCAAGTCCCTCTAGGGTTCTCTCTGTTTCAGCCACAACTTTCTCTTGGTAATTAGACACAGTTTTCATAGGCACAACCTCTTGCCCCTTAAGCGGGTCATGAACCAGTTATGTAAGTTTAAATATCTTTTTTGGAGAGGTAGACCGTTCTTGCTCCATCTTTATTAAGCTACACGTATCGTTGTAACAACTGCTGTGATATTGAAAATAAAATTAATAAACGTAACTCTCCAATAGCCTAAGCGGAGAAGGCAGAATAGGGTGTCTACAGATCTGTCAAAGACCCTTTGATTAGAAAACTCTTATCTCAGGAAAATTGTCTCTCATGAACCCTAAAACATAGAAGGCAGAGCTGGAGTTATAAACTTTGTCACACAAAGGTCTCGCGCAAACTAAGAGACTATTTAGTATCATTGTTGGTTTTTTTGGTCTATTGCATCTATCAAATTAAATGAATTGAGGATTTAAGAAATATGTTTAGTATGGTTATCATTTTTTGGGGGCGGGATATGGTCACTTCCCTTAAGGGGGTTGTGAGATTCACAACCAAGGGTATTTTGGGTATGAAAAAAATGAATTTATTAATTATTTTTTTGTATTAATTATAAATTGAGAATTAAAAACTCATATTAAATACATACTTTTTTTAAACTATAATAAATACAACTCTCTCTTCCTATCTCTCTCTTCCTTTTCATGCAGCCACTCCACTCCGACCGGCTGACTTTCCGACCGACAGACTTTCTCCGACGAAATCCTTGAATCAGACTCGCCCCGTCCACCTGCAAAAAATTACCACTTCGTCAGTGCGCTAGTGGTACGACCACTGCCACTGGTACCACTACCAGTACATCGCTATCACTATCATCTAGTATCTGGTAGTGGTATCGTACCACTATAATTTGGTACCATTACCATCTGGTATCAGGTAGTAGTAGCGTACCACTATCATTTGGTACCACTAACATTTGGTACCTGGTAGTGGTACGCGTACCACTCCACATAGTACCACTACCACTAGAAAAAAAACCAGATATGAAAATCCAAAAATCTCAGATCTGAAAAACGAAGGGGAGGAGAAGAGATGAGGCACGGAGAGGCAGAGGGACTCACACAAAGAAGAGATATGAAAAACGAAGAGATGAGGTAACGACAAGGGTGGAGGGCGGCAGAGGCTGTGGAGGGTGGAGGGAGGTAAAGGCCGACAGCAGTTGTGGATGGAGGCGGAGGCCGGCGGCGGTTGTGGTGGGCGGAGACAGTAGTGGAAGCCAGCAGCAACAGTCACGTCTGATGGAGAGACGGAGGAGGCAGAGAGGGAGGAGATGGTTAGGGAGGAGTTAGGTTTTTTCTTTATTTATACGGGAGGGAGAATAATTGGGTGTGGTAACATTTTTCCATTCCAAAAATATCCTTCTTTTAATCCTAACCATAGATTTGAAAAAAACAAGAAAGAGACAGGAGGGAGAGCGTATCCAATGGCTAAAAAGTGGGTTGTGAATCTCACAACCCCCAAAAGGGGCTGTGACCGTATCCCATCCCCATTTTTTGTTGTCCAATAGGTTGTGAATCGATAACTCACAACCCGATCCAAATCAAGGAAACCCGATTTCAAACCCACCCACTCTTCAAATCCCATGGATGTCAATATTTTGGCTTTCTTTATTCCAGTTTGTTAAGACAAACCCGGACCGTTCGATCGAACCGATAAACCAGTAGTTGATCTCCAAATCGGAAATTCAAAATAAAAAAAATAAAAAAACACATAAGCAACGAAGCAGTCATTGAACCTACCTCTGCTTTTCCGAAGGATTTGTCAGATCTTCGATAGCCGTCGGACAGCCGCTTCCCGTCCTAAACGTCCCAGATCTGCGGCACTCCGCCGCCTCTACGTTCTAGCAAATGAAAAGGAAAGAAGAAGAATCGCAGAAGAATGAAAATTAAATTTGAGAGTTTAAGAGAGAAAGAGAAAGACAGAGACAGAGAGGGGATGAGGCGATGAGCAACGCTGCCAGGGGTGGGTGGAAGAAAATCGAAAAAAAAAAAGAAGAAGGAAGAAAATAAAAAAATGAGAGTTTGAGAGAGAGAGAGAGGCAGTGAGTGTCGGCGCTTAGGGTGAGGATGTGGTTAGGGTTTTCTGTTTCCCTTTATTAGGATTTTTTGGTAAATAATTAATTTTACTTTAGTCATTAAATTGTTAAATTATTACCTTATTGGTCGCTCTAAAATTCTTCATTCGTCGCCTTAACTAAATTAATTTTATTCTGATGCGCTTAATTCATTTATTTGTATTTTAAACACTTAAATTATTAAATTATTATTTTATATGTCTTTTATTTACCATATTATTATTTATTTAAGATATCGATTTTATAACGGTTTCTTAACAACTCAATACCGGTTGGACCACTGAAATGTGAGTTGTTCAGGATACGGGTCATGCTCGGTTTAGAGGACATTGCTTTTTTTCCCCTCAAATCCATCAGAGCTCACTTCGTCTTCTTTAAACCGCCAACGACACTCGACCTCTACCTCATCTGCTCCGTCGAGCAGCCAGGTGACTGTGATTCCTATCGTCCTCGCTGCTCCGGCCTCGACCTCGACCTCGCTTCTCAGGCTCGACTTTGCTGCTTCCCGCCTAGTCTGCACTGCTACGGTCGACATTTCTGCTCCCGCTCGACGTCGCTGCTCCCGGCTCGGCCACCCAGCTCAAGCATCCCCGCCGTGTCCAGCTTCCGCCAGTAGTGGCGATTCTTTCCTTTTTAAAAAAACCATCAACGATTCTTTGTCGAGAACACTCCCCTAAACAAGAGAAATTTGTTTCTGGGATACAATTCTTGATGCTATCGCTTCGTTGTGTAACTTAGCCAGCTTAAGTTTGGGAGGTATCCTCTTGTGAAGTGCGAAGCAGTGCAGGTAAAGCCACTCTATTGTCAAGCACGAAGGTGTTTGATAAAATGTGCAGCTGAATAACTTAATAGGTCTTGACCACTCCTTTGTTTTTTTTTCTTTTTCCAGCCTTCTTTCTGCTTTATCATCAAGAATTTGAATATGGTGATTCGTTCTTTTATTGGGGATTCGCCCTTAGGAGTTCTTCCAATTTTAAACATATATTACACTCATCCGTTAGCTGAAATAGCTTGCTGAAGAAACAATTGAAGTCGTGTCTCATTACAATGTTAAGGGCATGATAAATATAAGTGGCCGGCTATGCTACTTTTGTACTAAAAGAAATTACTTCAGTGCCTTGCGGCCAATTGCTTGTCTTGGGTTAATTATGAGTCTTCGTGGGTTGGTGGCGTTTAGGTATCTGATATATGCTCACTGATTCCTTCTTTATGTTTCCATAGGTGGGTTCATGGTAATTTCTGGAGCTACTATGAAGAACGAAGAAAAGACTGAGCTTGCTGGGTTTCTGAAAACTCTACCGCCTGTTCAGTTTTGCTGTGTGTATGGTTCCACGCTCCATCCAAATAATTCTGACAAGGTTCTTCTTGTGTTCCTTGTTATGTGACATTTGCCTAAGAGGTTTCTAGATGTGGCTGTTCCCTTCTTTCGAATTTATAACTTGAAATGCAAATTATATTTGCTGACCTTGTAGTCTTCAATGGTGGATTATATACTTGGTGTGGCAGATCCCCTGAAATGGCATTCAGAGGTAAGAAAAATAGATTGCAAAGATATTCTGTTCTGCTTTATATTACATTCTAGTTGCCTGAACATCTAATATCCACTTCTGTTATTTATTTTTTTCAGAATCTGAAATTGAATAGAAGCCATTATGCCTCGTGGATGGTTCACCTAGGGGGAGCAAAACTGGTGTCACTTCCTCTCTCCTTATCTTTCTCCGTCGAATCTCAAGTATTTATTTCTTCAGTCCCAAGATATGATTTAGTGATTTTACTAGGTCACTAAGGTTGCAGATGGCATCGGTGTTGGAGTTCACTTCAACCCCTTTGTTACTTGGAATGACAAGGTATTCTAATTCATCGGAGATGTTTAACTCTAACAGCGCTCTGGCTTGAGCTATCTCATACAGATCAATGTTATTTTGTGTTTTTAGTGTGTTTCTTGTTCCAGTAATGAGTGGTAGTTTCTCATGCTCAGGAAATTTATGACAGATGCTCAAATATGGGGTTGTTAGAATGCATGATCTGGTTGAAGACATTCTAAATTGGCAGAGATTTTACATAAGTGGTCGTTTGCAGAAACCAGTATGTTTTCCTCTCTTTCATTGTCGTTTTACGAGTTTGTTGTTGGAGCATTCTCTAAAATCCGCTTTGCACTATGTTTGCACGAGTCTATTATGAGCCGAACCACAATTGAAAGACTTTGATTTAATTTTTTTGGAAGATATGTATAAAGTGTCAATGATAAGGCCAGTTGATATTTGTTAACAATCCCACCAACAAATGCCGTTCCTTTATATTTTTCCTTGTTCTTCCATCATTTTTTATTTGTTCTTCCCGGATTTCGAGTCAATTCTTGTGCAATACAATTGATTTACCATTGCTTGGGGTTTGTCGAATGTAGGTTCGTGTGCTTCTGGACAATTTGGATGTTGAAAATTTAAATGCTACTAACCTCAGGGCTGCCATCGCTGCTGCTCTCCTCATTTTGCCATCCAAATTCAACGAGGTTTGAGCGTATTACAGATTTCGACCCTTGAAGTGTTTAAGCAATCTGGAAGAAGAAATGAAAGAATAAAGATAAATATGCATAGAATTAATGGTGCTATATGCTTGTGCAGGAAGATCTCTATTCCACGATATGTAGCCTGTCCTACATGGGTGACTTGCGTATGATTTTCGCGGAGGACAAAAACAAGGTTTGCCTGACTCTAATTTACACTGTTCAAGTTTGTTATGTTAATACAATATTAAAAAAAAATGTTTGATGCTGTGATGATAGTCAACATATGGTTTTACCTCTGAAGGTTTAGCCTCAACCCTTGCTAAGGTTTAGATATGAGTCAAGACAAGAATTTGGGATGTGAGTTTATTGCTTGAGGAGGTTCAGATTGCAGAGCCACATTCTAATGCTATTTCTCGATAAACCCCTGGTCTCTTGCAGGCTACTGTTGTTTGCTGCCATTTTTCGCCCCATTAATAATATCGTTTTCTTTTATCTTTTAAGTTGCAGTTACTGTTCTGCTGTAGCTATAACATAGACGAATAAAACTCCTCGTTCCAGTCTTTCTGAATGACATGGTGATGATTCTAAGCTATTGCAAACATTCCTCAGGTGAAGAAAATTGTGCAAGGGCAATTCAATTTGTTCCGGTCAATGTATAAGCCATTCATTGAAGAATACGAGGCGAAGGATGTACTAAGAGTCTCCTCATTTGGTGGGCAACAAGCAAATTTCTCTCAGGTGCATTTGCAATGTCCTACTGATCTAACATCTGGTCATGATTTGTGTGTTTGGAATTAAAGCCGAACTCGAGAAAGAACGTTTCCCTTTATAGCTGTCAAGTGTTGTACGAGACTGTCATAGTATCCTTCTTATGTTCAAATTACATGCCTTATCCCCTGCCCCCTGCTCTGTGATGAATGTACTTGCTTCCTTAGTCTTACGTTCAAAGAATCCTTAGTTCCCGTGGATGGTCTTCATGTTTGCATTTGCAGCTATTCCAGAAATATTCCTTTTTCACATAACAAGTGCTCATTTATTGGTTTTATAGACTAACATGTTCCAAATCTCAAATAACTGCAGAACTGTTGTCTGCCAGCGACACGTTCTCTCGTTTGCTCTCTACCTCTGCTGGTCAGAAATAAAATGGGGACAGGACTAGGAGGATTGGGCGATTCGGGTAGGATAGGCCTACTTCAAATGGGGTTGCTAGTTAAATGGTTGGCACTAAATTCCAGAGTGCTAGTGGTCTATATTCTAACCCTCCTCATCGCCCATTTTGTGTAGGTCAGGTTGTACGGGAAGTAGTCTTCAGTTCAAGAGAAGAGGCTGCTAGAAGCATGCAGAAGGCGGTGAGGTGTACAGTAATGGTTTCCAGCTTAAGGCAGGCAGTCTCTGGCTTCGTGGCTGCTGGAGGAATGAATGCTGGTAGATACCTAGCTAATAAAGTGCGCAAGGCATGGAAATCATGGACATAGTCATGTGCTTTGTGGCCTCTGTATCGTGATCGCACTTTGGATCTGCTTGAGAGTTCAGCGACATGGCTGAAACCTGATGTGCAAGAGGATTGTCCTGATACGAGAGATTCAACCGATGATAACGTTTGATTGCTCAGGTGTGTGGCAAACATGTCCGGTTCCCCTGACATATCACCGAAAAAGAAGGCAGTACATCACCACATCATTGATCCAGTTTCCCTTGTTCCTCCCTAGATTTTTGATATCTTGGTAGCTTTTTCAGTTTCTTTGCTGCGAACTTATGCAGTAAGTTAGGTGGCTGGAATATTGAGAATGAGCATTAAGAGAACACAACTGCACAACAGTTGCCTACTTGTATCTGCAGTTTACTGGCCATTTTTCATTTTGTTAGCAGTTCATTGTATATGTACGACATTTCGGCTCCAGCTCCAATTAATTCATTAAGTCACCAGAGCAAGTTGAACTTCTGCAAGTTAATTAGTTTCTACCGTCTGCTACTAAGATATAGTTGATGCCTCAACTGTATCAGAATTGATATATTACCATTACATGGAAGATCCATTGACAAGGCCACATGCTTAAATTGTTGTCTTTGAATACTGGTAAACAATTGTTGCCTGTGACGGTAAGGCGACAACCACTGTTAACCTGGTAAGGGCTCTTGTGCATCCAAAAACTAGGACACCAATAATCTGTTAACCTGGTAAGGGCTCTTGTGCATCCAAAAACTAGGACACCAATAATAGCCACGCTTCTCGCGGTCACCATTTCAAGCGCATTCATTGCTTTCTTCTCAACCCTAGATGTCTTTACTGGCTTGATGAAAGACGAGAAAGATACACTAATATAACAGAACAATGAGAAACTGGGAATAGCTTCTGCCATCCTCAAAATACCCCACAGGAACTATCATTACAGTAATCACTAACCAAGAACATTCAAGCTTATTGCAATGTCTGTGTCACAGTAATGCTGCCTCGAAGTACATTTCACAGATCACGGAGAACTGGTTCTCATCACCTTACCGATGGAAACATGTTCTTGACAATCTCGGAGCACCGGATTCTCAACTCTTGCTATACTGTATGATAAGATGTGCATGAACAGTAACATTCGATGAAGAAGAATCGAAAGCTGTAGATAATTTTACGATTCGAGAATACCGGATACACGACCTTTCATTTCGAGAGACAGCAATATCCTCTTCCAGATAGATGGCCAAAATTCGAAGCCATCAACAAAGCAAACACAAATTCTGGGTTCTTACAAACTAGAACAAACCCTGAGAATCTAATATGAAGTATGCATCAACGGATCTATTTCCCTTTGTTACGCTTGGCGGCACCCTTTCCTTGTCCCTTCTTAGGGGGCCCTTTCCCTCGACGTTTCAACATCTCGAGCTTGGACAGCCGCCTGGAAAAAAAAAAAACGAAAACAAAAAGTTGCAGGGAACAATGAACATTGAACAAGAGCATTTCAGGGTTTCATTGCATATGCATCACTACAGTTTGCACCTATATCTACAAACAGATTATTGACTCCGTTCTTCAGGAGGCAGCACAAAGTTCTTTTCTTTCTTCAATAGAAGGCACAAACTAGCAGCAGGCATTTCGTCGAGCACATGGTGGGCAAAAATACTAAAGAGCGTGGGGAATAGAAGAGGGAAGGGGGGTCATACTCCTGTTCTCGAGCGGCCATAACAAGAGGGTCGTCCTTAGTGACGTCGTGAGGGTACCACTGGGAGACCTTGTCGCCGATGAGCTTCTTCCGGAGTAATTTGTGGGGAGATCTTTGCCCTGTTGGGTTTAGAACATGCCCAAATATCCTCGCTCTAGCTTCTGTCACCCCTTGGGTTACCGCTGTTTCCAGGAGCCTCCTCAGCCCCACGCCGCTCATCTTGGACTTCGGAGGATCTGCAATATACCGGCGTTGGAGACGGTGAGTGGAGGTTATGACGGCGACGGCGACGGGCACTGAAGAGGAGGCTGAGACGGACGGCTGTTAAAGAACGCATTACGCATTTTAAGTTTTGTAGGTGTATTTATTCGGGCTGAAGACGAAACGACAGCGTTTGGATGCTGGAACTTTTATTATTGATATAAAATGAATTTACGAAATCAGTTAAATTATTTTCTTATCTGCTCTTCTTCTTTCCCCGCCAATATCATCCTCCCGTCCAGTCCGACCTTCCTTCTTCTTCTTTTCTTCCGAACGGCGACTTGAATCATAATTCCGTCAACAATATATATGCATTCCGTCAACGATTGGACGAATTTCACTTCCGCCGGGAGATTATCGGTCATTCTCCGGAAATTCATTGCGATTGAGAATGTCTTCCTCCTACATTCTACAGCCTCTGGCCTCTATCTCCCTTCCCTCGCCGGCGTCGTCTCTTCAAGCTCAGCAACCCGCGTTATCGGTCCATCAGTACTCGTCTCCTCACCCTCTTCTCTCCACTTCAAAACCTTCCATGTCCACCTCCCGGTCTCAAGACTGGTGGGTCGAATCCCTGCGCGCCAAAACCGGCTCCAATCAGTTCCATGAAGCAGTTTCCGTATACATCGACATGATTCTTTCGGGAGCTAATCCAGATAACTTCATCTTCCCTCCGGTTCTCAAGGCTGTGGCCGGACTTCATGACTTGAGCTTGGGGAAACAGGTTCATGCCCACGCTATCAAATTCGGGCATGAAGGGTCCGTTCGCAGCGTAGCTAATGCGCTCGTCAATGTTTATGGAAAGTGCGGGGAATTATCTGATGCGTACAAGATGTTTGATGGAATTACTGAGAGAGACTCTGTTTCGTGGAACTCGATGATTTCGGCGTTATGCAGGGCTGAGGAGTGGGAGACTGCGCTGGAGTCGTTTCGACTAATGCTGGCGGAGGATCTGGAGCCTAGTTCATTCACGTTGGTGAGCGTGGCGCTAGCTTGTTCTAATTTGGACAAGCATCAGGGCTTGCGGCTCGGGAAGCAACTTCATGGGTACAGTCTCAGAACAGGCCACTGGATGAAAACGTTCACAAACAACGCTTTGATGTCAATGTACGCAAGGATGGGCAGGGTGGATGAGGCAAAAGGTTTGTTTAAGTTATTCGATCACCGTAACTTGGTTTCGTGGAACACCATGATAAGCTCCTTGTCGCAGAACGAAAGATTCATGGAAGCTCTTGTTTTCCTGCAGCGTATGGTCCGCGAAGGAATCAAACCAGATGGGGTGACATTCGCAAGTGTGCTTCCAGCCTGCTCTTGTTTGGAGATGCTATCTGCTGGGAAGCAAATTCACGCTTATGCACTGAGAAATGGAGAGCTCATCGATAACTCTTTCGTTGGTAGCGCTTTAGTTGACATGTATTGCAACTGCGGACAGGTAGAAAGTGGGCATCGAGTCTTCGAACGTATCTTGGACAAAAGAATCGGGCTTTGGAATGCCATGATTGCTGGGTATGCACAAAATGAGCACGATGAACAGGCATTGATGCTCTTCCTTCGTATGGAAACTGATGCGGGACTTCATCCCAATGCAACTACAATGGCAAGTGTTGTTCCTGCTTGTGTGCGGTGTGAAGCATTTTCCAGCAAAGAAAGTATACACGGATATGTTATAAAGATAGGCTTCGAGACAAATAGGTACGTACAGAATGCACTTATGGATATGTACAGCAGAATGGGGAAAATGGAGATTTCAAAGTCGATATTTGATAGCATGGAGGTGAGAGATGTAGTTTCTTGGAACACTATAATCACTGGATACGTCATTAGTGGATGCTTTGACCAAGCACTAGAGATGCTACAAGGGATGCAAAAAACAGATCGTGATGATGGGAGACTCGCTGGTTTTAAGCCTAATTCAGTAACATTGATGACAATACTCCCAGGATGTGCTTGGATGGCAGCACTAGCCAAAGGGAAAGAGATCCATACTTATGCGATTCGAAATGGCTTGGCTTCAGATGTTACTGTTGGAAGTGCACTAGTCGACATGTATGCAAAATGTGGATGCTTAAACTTATCAAGGCGAGTGTTCACCGGGATGACGAATAAAAACATCATCACATGGAACGTCATCATCATGGCCTATGGAATGCATGGGCAAGGAGATGAAGCATTGAAACTTTTCCAAGACATGGCGTCTCGAGCCAAGTTTGGAGGAGTGAAGCCCAATGAAATCACTTTGATTTCAGTATTCGCTGCATGCAGTCACTCAGGTTTTGTAGATGAGGGACTCCGCATATTTCACAGCATGAAAGCTGATTATGGGATTGAAGTTACAGCAGATCACTATGCTTGTGTAGTTGACTTACTTGGTCGAGCTGGCCAAGTGGAGCAAGCCTATGAATTACTGAACTCAATGCCTTCTGGGTTTGATAAGATTGGGGCTTGGAGTAGCTTGCTTGGAGCTTGTAGGCTGCACCAGAAGGTCGAAATTGGGGAAATTGCAGCAGAGAGTCTGATTCAGTTGCAACCAGATGTGGATAGCCACTATGTCTTGCTCTCCAATATATATGCATCCGTAGGAATGTGGGAAAAGGCAATGGGTGTTAGGAAGAGGATGGAGGAACTAGGAGTGAAGAAAGAAGCTGGATGCAGTTGGATTGAGTATGGTGATGAAGTCCACAAGTTTTTGGCTGGGGACATGTCTCACCCACAAAGCGAGAAGCTCCACGGATTTCTCGAGCTGTTGTATGAGAGAATGAAGAAGGAAGGGTATGTCCCTGATACTTCTTGTGTCCTCCATAATGTTGGTGAAGATGAGAAAGAGATATTGCTATGTGGGCATAGCGAGAAACTGGCAATAGCTTTTGGCATTCTCAACACCCCTCCTGGAACTACCATTAGGGTAGCCAAGAACCTTAGGGTTTGTAATGATTGCCATACTGCCTCGAAATACATTTCGAAAATCGAGGAGAGGGATATTGTGCTACGAGATGTGAAGAGATTTCATCACTTCAGGAATGGGACTTGTTCTTGTGGGGATTATTGGTAAGGGGAAGGGGGTTCAGATCAGCTTTTGCTGGGAGACCAAGTTCTTGACAATTTCTGAGGTAGGGGTTTCCTACACTTTCGACCTGTATCATATTATTCATAACATGTGGATGAACAGTATATTTGATAAACAGAAGTCCATGGTCCTTTCGGGGACATCCGATGAACATAAGTGTAAAGCTGTAACACCAAGACGATTTCTGTCCATGAATATCAAACACTGAGTTCTTGTTATAAAATCCGTTGAAACCATGATTGTGTGACTCGATTCTGGAATTGGGGAGAGCAGTGCTCGTATAATTTCTCCCACAAACATATGGAAAATTTCAAGTTAAAACTGGGTTAATCCATCTTAACTAAAAAAAAACAAGCAATCCTGATACATGTCCAGATCCTGGATGAACATTTACCCGTTTAGTCGGTACCTGTAGTGTTGCAGGGTTAAAAAATGGTCAAATCTGCCAAGTATAGACTCACATGATAGCTGATTTCAGGACGTTTGACAGCAAATAAAAAAAATTGTAGATAATTACTACAAGAAGAAGAGTTTACTTGATTGCAGCTTCAAGCGCTCTCCAGGGTTCTGTCATTCAATCTGTTTTGCTCAATGTAAGCAAACAACATCAGAAAACAGAAGCAGCACAAGAAAAAGACACTGCCTACTAGAACCTGTTCTGCATCTTCAAAATTTTTTCAGTTTACATATCGTCGTCGTCGGGTTTGTTTCTGTTGAATGTATCCGCCGTCGTTTGCTGGAGCTGCAAGGAAGAAAACATGAGCTTAGCTGCCGATCCCAAGCAGAAGTGCCGTTATCCGCCATCATGGAGGTAGACCAACAGAAGGAAGGAAGATAAAGTGCTGCCGGAGGAAGAAGTATATGCAGCAGTAGCACACGCAGGAAACTTAAGATATCGAAATCCCTAATCGTATTTTTTTCTATTTTCTCTTTACTTAAAAATGTAATTATGATAGTTTAATATAATTTGTTCATGTTAATTTTTATAATGGAGAAATTTTACAATGCTATATAGCATTGGTGCTATAGGTTTTTGCATTTATGGTACAACTTCAATTTGTACTTTTAACGTTATGGTATAACTTCAGCTTGTACCTATACTATTTTACAAATTCTTTTATGGTACAATTTGAACTTGTACCCTTATGTGATGGTACAACTTAAAGTTGTGAAATTGTACCATAACATAAGAGTACGAATTTCTTTATGGTACAAACCAAACTTATACATTTTAACGTTATGGTACAACTTTAAGTGGTACATTAAAGCACCCATGCTTTATAGTATAATAGAAGTGCTCTTTATATTGTTCGTCATCATTTTTAAATATAAATTTTTCGTTAGAGTTTTTTTTCCAGATTTCGAGACCTAACTTTTTCTGGCAAAAAATGATTGACATAATTTGGGTTTACACACAATAGTTGAAAATGATAAAGCTAATTATTTATTTTCTGAATGTGCTCGCTAAAGGGCTGTTTCTTGCTTTTTTCTCTAAGTTTTCCAGCAGGGTCCCTTCTGATACTTGGGAGACTGAAATGCAGTGGGCAATATCATCCTTTTCGGGTTCAGCTCGCCACTCTTCAGTGGGTCGATTGCTTTGGCAGATTCTAATCAGCAGCATCTGAAGAGATAGGTGTGCTGCGAGACATGGCCGTTTGATTCGAAGTGTTGCAGATAGGTACAATTTTTAGTTGTACCATAAAGGGATTTGTTAGAAAGTGTAGGTACAACTTAAAGTTGTACCATGGTATAGGTATAAGTTTGGGTTGTACCATAGCTGGATTTGGAGAAAGTGTAGGTACAACTTAAGGTTGTACCATTAGTATAGGTACAATTTTGGGTTGTACCATAAAGGGATTTATTAGAAAGTGTAGGTACAACTTAAAGTTGTACCATAGTATAGGTACAAGTTTGGGTTGTACCATAGAAGGATTTTTAGAAAGTGTAGGTACAAATTAAAGTTGTACCATTCGTATAGGTACAAGTTTGGGTTGTACCATAAAGGGATTTATTAGAAAGTGTAGGTACAACTTAAGGTTGTACCATTAGTATAGGTACAATTTTTAGTTGTACCATAAAGGGATTTGTTAGAAAGTGTAGAATGTTGTACCATAGTGTATAGGTACAATTGTGAATTGTACCAGAGAAGATTTTTAGGAAAGTGTAGGTACAACTTTAAGTTTAGTGTAAAGGTACAACTCTAGAATGTGAGATTTTGACGGGCGTGACAATGTCAAGTAGTAGCCGTGAAATTTCCTGGGATAGTGAGAACTGCTCTTTGCATCTCACGGGACATCTCACGGCCGTGATATTTGCCTGAGGAATGAAGCACTGCTTTTTACATCTCACTTGAGTATTTTACGGTCGTGAGATTACCAGTATAAGGTGTCAGATTTCCAGTAGGAGACTTTCACCTGTTGAACTATCCCGTGTACTTATTATAATGGTGTTTCAAACAGAATGGACTTTTTTCCAGAACTTCAAACTTATGAAAAAGATGATTCATAATGTTCTCTAAACCTTGACACGAGCATTACATAGATCCATTCACAATGTTCTCTAGTAACTGTACATCATATCAGATGAGATACCCTGTTAACAAAAAGTAAAACGCAGTCAAAGCATTACATTTGTCTAATAAAACAAGCATCCATAACACGATTAAATATGTCTAATTAATGCTTAAGTTTAGCTGCATGTAGCCCACACTAGTGCATCATCATATTCTAATTGGAAAACATACAAGCACAAACGCAAACACACATAGCTAAGTACTAAGGACTTTTGTTGGGTCATCTTCACTGCCCATCTTCCTCGTCAGTGCTCTCGTCCTCGTCTTCGTTTTGCTGGATTTGCTCATCTTCATTGTCCTCGCTAGAGTCACTGCCCTCTTCCTCAATGGTCCCTTTGTCCTCTTGATTTCTTTCCTTGTTTTGTTCATTGCCATTGTCCTCGTCGTCCTCTTCACTGCCCTCTTCCTCATTGGTCTCTTTGTCCTCTTGATTTCTTTCCTTGTTTTGTTCATTGCCATTGCCCTCGTCGTCCTCCTCTTCACTGCCATTTTCCTCATTGGTCCCTTTGTCCTCTTGATTTCTTTCCTTGTTTTGATCATCGCCATTGCCCTCGTCTTCCTCTTCACTGCCCTCTTCCTCCTCTTCACTGCCCTCTTCCTCATTGGTCCCTTTGTCCTCTTGATTTGTTTCCTTATTTTGTTCATCGTTGTTGCCCTCGTCGTCCTCCTCTTCACTTCCCTTTTCCTCATTGGTCCCTTTGTCCTCTTGATTTATTGCGTTGTTTTGTTCATCGCCGTTGCCCTCGTCGTCCTCTTCACTGCCCTCTTCCTCATCGGTCCCTTTGTCCTCTTGATTTATTTCCTTGTTTTGTTCATCGTCGTTGCCCTCGTCGTCCTCTTCACTTCCCTCTTCATTGCTTTCCTCGGTTGGCCTAGGAGATAGTTCCCAAGGTGTTGAGAATTTTTTGTAGTCAATCCTCAAGGACCTCATGATGTGATGGTTGCATTTGATGATGTAGCGTCGAGCTTCCTTTTCTCGATCGAGGCGGGAGAGAATGAGTGCATTTTGCTCGAGAATTTGGGCATTCTGCCGACCCAATGCCTCAAAATGGGAAATGTATCTGTCGGTGCATGGTCCGGCTTGAGTCGTAGTTTGGTGATGTTGTGCAGGTTGTTGCGGAGACTCCTCGACCATTTGCTGAACAACATGCTCCGATGCGTTTGCCTCATCTGTTGCAAGAGGTGGAGCAGGATGAGGGAGGCCAACAATGCCTACCACACCATTCTCCTTAACCACCAAACACAGACATGATCAATATCAGAAGCATTAGTTACATTTGCTCAATGTTCAAAAGGAACTAGATTAGTAGGCAATCCAAAACTTGCACAAAATCAATCCTAGATTGTTTGAATCCCGACTAGTTCTGTTTTAGCATTCACTGTGAAAAGGAAAGTGTTGGTTGGAACATTTACCTTTGACAACAAATATAGATCCGCAAGGTTTTTTTGGGAGATTGGTTGAGTGGACTGGGCAATGGTGCAATGAGAACCCACCGGATCAATGCCAAAATGCCGAGCTAGCCTTGTGATGTAGGCACCTCCATGGATGGTCTTGATTTGTTTGTTGGAGGTCATCTTCTGTAGGGTTTTCAGTATGACTAAACCAAGATGAATTGGGGGATCTTTTACCATAGAGAGGAAAAAGTTCAAATCCCGCTTGGTCACACTCCCCGGGCTCCCCTCCCTAGCTGCCACAGAATGAGCGATAATGTTGTGGATGATACGCCATGGGGGAAGAAGATCATTCCCTTTATAGTGGGCAGTGTCAGACTTGTCCACATGGTTTTATTTTACCCTTTTCCACATAGCATCGACCAATTGTGCTCTTGGTGAATATACTTTCTCTGAAATCAAACCATGACCTGTAGTGAGAAATCCTGGTGGGTATATCTGGAGTGCCTCTGTGAACTCAGTGATGCTCATCTGTCTCGCCTGTCCTCCAAGGCGAAAAGTTATGTTGTCTTCGGGCTTGTCGAGGTGAAATTCGCACATAAACTTGATGGAGAGAGTGCTGAGGAACTCAATGGTAAGCTCTCGGTAGATGACCTCATTGATGGAGAGAACCTCACACCATGCCGGGAGACGGAGGCATGTGCGAACGGGGTCCGCTGCTCCGAGGCGCTCTAGGAGATCCCAATCAATGCATCTTTGCTGCCCAAATGGGAGGGGAAGGAAGCGCTCTAAAGCCCTCCTATGTTTGTCGGGTAATTGGAGGAAGCCGTGAAGTCCCCCTCCTCCAAGTTGAGCCTCCGTTTGTGGTGGTGGAGATGGTTGACGTGCTCGTCCTTGGTTGTTTTTGCGTTGTCGTTTGGGGGGAGTGTCTCGTTCTTGGGTTTGGCGGCGACGACGATAAGTAGCCTTCACTTTAGCAGGTGAGGCTGATGGTTGCGTGGTTTTTTGTTTAGCTTTCCCCATTCCTACAAAAACCAACTAAGCACATTAAGTCTTTAGTGAATGAGAGGGAAAAGAATTATGTATAAGCATATGCAATTCACAAAGAGACGTCTACACCCTAAAAAAATGCAACAAACCAGGAGCATTCTAATCCCAGGAGCATTCTAATCACAATTAGGAATTCAAAACCCTAATTCAGACCAACCAGGAGCATTCTAATCCCAGGAGCATTCTAATCACAATTAGGAATTCAAAACCCTATAAACAGAACAATAACATAATATACTGTTTGTGAAAACTACAAGCTTATGAAAAGATACTGGAAGATATAGACTTACAGACTTCTCCCTTGACGTCTCTTTGAGTATTCCATCCTCTTCGATCTCCACGTTTGTAACTCCCCTTGGAGCTGGGGTGATACCGGACAGATCAAACTTTCCTAGCTAGATGCAACCTTGGTCAGGGGTTTTGCATCCCCTTCACTTCTGCGACAAACCAACCATTCACAAATGAAAGAAACCATAGCCTAAACCGTACTCCATACCAAGAAGAACCCATAAGTCCCTGATTTCTCAAAAGAACCCAAAGTCCGGCGAAACCCATAAGTTTCCCAAGAGAACCCGTGAGTGCAAATAGAAATCGAAAATGAAGCAACTAGAACCGCACAAATCTGGACGAAAACCAACAATTTCCCAAAAAACCCCGTGGAACCCTAAATTCGCAAGACTCAGACTCGAAATATGAGGCTACTAGAAGCGCAAAACACACAGGTAAAGCAGGAAAAGAGGTTATCGTACTTGACGGAGAGTGATGGAGAGCGGTCTGCGGGTCTTCGGCGGCTGACGAAGGATGGGCGAATAAAGGAGAATGGAAAATCGATGGTTGCGTAGAGAAGGGAATACGAAGGAAGGGAGATAGGAAGCAGGAAGGAAGAAATCGACAGGGAGGGAAGCAGGAAGGAAGAAATCGATGGTTTCGTAATATTGGTGGATAAGAGCCGACTAAGGAGGGAAGCAGGAAGGAAGAAGTCGACAGGGAGGAACCGAGGATCAGTCCTCTGGCGCCGACGAAGGAGGAGAAGGAAGAAACGGCATCACGACGGTGAGGGTTTAGGAACTAGGAATTTCTTCATTATGACCGACCCAAAAATTCATCGGTTTACAATTACATGGGTTGAACCCAATAACCATAATCAAATACTCACTAAACCATATATCACCAACCAATCTCACTAAACCATCGGTTTACAATTACATGGGTTCAACCCAAAACTGATAACCAAACGCTCATTCAACCATATACCTAACCTCAATCTCACATCGGTTTACAATTACAGGGGTTGAACCCAAAACCGATAATCAAACACTCATTCAACCATA